TCTTGGAAGCAAACATCGGAACCTTTGATGAAGAAGGACGCCCGCGCCCTTACCCTCGCGAAATCTACCGCAACTTCATCGACAAATCATGGAAGGATCCTGACGCAAAAGAAGAAATGAGCGTCAAAGAGGAGGAAGACAAGGTCAAGGCAGAAAAGAAGCAGAAACTGTACGAGGAGCGCGTAGCGGCCGGATGGGACGAGGAGTCAGCACGCCGTGGCGCATGGGGGGACGACGACTACGTTCCAGAGGAAGGCGCAACATGGGGATCCGCAACTGGCGCATCCGGCACCGTGCGAACAGGCAGATGGGGCGATACCGGAGGATGGGGAGGAGACGAATACGCGGATGCTCCGCTCACCAAAGAAGAAGAAGAGGAGATAGAACGAGAAATAGCTGCAGAACGCGGAGAGCGATCTCCACGCGTCCCCATTCCGCTAGGACGCCCACCCCGCAACCTGCCGTCATCACCGCGCTCACCATCATGGGGCTGGAACAGCCCTTGGTCGGAGATTGAGGAGGGGAACGTGCCACCAACTCCCCCACGTGACTCACTTGGTCCAATCTCCCGCCCAGATCCATTCGCCCGCCTTATCGAAGGCACGAGGACCCCGCTTAACATCATCCCCGATCGCGAATTCCTTGCGCTCTACCTCACGACGGCACCTGCAGCAACAGAAGCAGAAGCAGAGGAGCCAGACAACGAAGCGGACGAAGAAGAAGAACCTCCACTCCCGATTCCGCAAGAAACAGAAGCGGAAGTGGCGGAACACCGTGCCCGTTCCATGCGCACTTCCGGAATCTGCGCCGAAGATGACCTCTGGCATTAGCGACTTGGTCACCCCTCGCGCTAGACACTCAACAACTGTCTCCGCGCTAAAGTGTTCCCCCCAGGAGCGCTGCTGTGCCCCGACGGAACGGAACCCCACAACACCCCACACCCAACAACCTACACCGTTTGTCCCACAGCTGCCCTCTCTCACAACGCCTACCCCTCCCTGGAGCCAAGCACCAACCGCTACAAGAAGCTGCAGAAGGTGTATAGCGACTTCATCGTGCTCACCTACGACGGCATCAACGGCGAAAGGTACACACTCACCTTCGTGGACGCCTACTCACGCCATGTTTGGATCGCCAACGTCGACGCTCGCTCCAAGGCTCCAGAGGTCCTCCGCATCTGGCTCGCACATGCGCAACGACAATCGGGGAGGAAGCTAAAAATCTGGCAGAGCGACGGGGCCAAGGAGTTCCGCAGCAACGAGCTGGAGGGCGTCCTCACGGAGAAGGGGATCCAGCATGAGGTCTCACTCCCCTACGCTCACCAGCAACAAGGCGTCGCAGAGAGGGTTAACCGCACCCTCATGACAAAAGTGCGCGCCCTCATGAATCAGTCCGGCCTTCCCAAGAAATATTGGCCGTACGCCATGAACCACGTGGTGCGACTGCACAATCTTCTCTCCACCACGGCCAACCGGAACAACCTCTCCCCGCACATGAAGTGGAACGGCTCAAAGGGAGATCCCTCCATGCTGAGGGTTTGGGGGTGTATGGTGCAGTACCGGCCGACGACCGCTACAATCGGCAAGTTCACTCACCATGCACGCTGGGGAGTCCATCTGGGACTCAGTAACGAGTACAAGGGTTGGCTCAATCTTGACATTGACAGCAAGCAGATCGTCCCCGCTCGTGATGTTCTCTTTTATGAGCGACTCACCTTGCAGCAGTGGATTAACGACGAGCGTCGCAACGAAGCACGCGGCTATGTCAACAGCGGCCGCAGTTTCGCATCCCCAGAAGACGAGGCAGCAACAGCAGCACTCGACCGCGATCCCGCCGACGAACATCCCGGCGTTCCGCCTCGCCCACGCGACGACGACGACGATGATGACGACGACACACCCGCGCCAGGACCATCGCGTCGCCAACCCGAGCCCAGCACTGCCGCAACTGCTCACGAGAGTGACGATGACGATGTGGTGGAGGTCACCACCAGCAACACCACCAATGTGTCCGGCCTGCAGCTTCTCGGCCTACACACGTCTGTCACTACCCTCACGCACGCCGTCGAACCCAAGAACCCTCGCCAGGCTCTGACCGGTCCCCACGCCAAGGAGTGGCGTGCTGCTATGGACGCGGAGCTGCAGGCACTGGAATCACGCGACACATGGGTCCTTGTCGATCGTGCAGCAGCGAAGGGGAGGAGGGTGCTCAGCGGAAAATGGGTATTCCGTCTCAAAACCAACGCCGACGGCACCATCGAGCGCTTCAAAGCACGCTGGGTCGTACGCGGGTACGATCAGCGCCACGGCATCGACTTCGACCAAACCTTTGCTCCCGTCAGTTGTCACACATCCGTCAGAATTCTACTCACCATTGCCACCGCTAAGCACCTACCACTGCGGCAGATCGACGTGAAGAACGCGTTCTTATACGCGTTGGTGGATGCAACCATCTTTGTGGAATAGCCGCACACCTACGGGGAAGGAGACCCCAGGGACTGCCAACTGAAGAAATCCCTCTACGGGATAAAGCAAGCGCCGTGTCTCTGGCAGCAGCATCTGCACAAAATCCTCCTGGAGATCGGCTTCAGGCAGTTGCCGCACGACCCGGGAATGTACCGCCTTCACTTTAACGGCGACTACATCCTTTTGACAGTCTACGTCGATGACCTGCTGTACAGCGGCACCTGCAACAAGCTTCTTAATCAGTTCGAAGAGAACGTGGCGCAGCGCGTTGACATCACCATCAACCACAACGTCACACAGTTTATGGGGTTAAACATCACCTACGAGCCAGAAGCAATTAATCTGTTAGCCTCTAAGTACGCAGAGCAGCTGGGGGGACGCTTCAACATTTCACCCGTACCACACTCAACTCCTTACCGCAACCCCAGTGCCAACTACAAACCGGACAACAAACCTCTGTCGCCCGCAGGACTCCAAATGTACCAGCAGAAATTGGGGTGCCTGCTGTTCGCCTCTGTCACCTGCCGACCCGACCTTTCGTACATTGCCAGCCAACTCGCACAGTACTCTCGCAAGCCAGTAGCAGAGAACCAGCTGGATCTGGAACGCGCCTTCCAGTACTTCATTTCCACACCTGACATCGGGCTCTCCTACTCCACGCGGACGACAACCTCCTTCAACCTCAACGGCTACGTGGATGCAGATCATGCCGCTGACCCTGCAAATCGACGGTCCCGAACCGGCTTCGTCTTTCGCCTGGAACCAACAGGACCAATCTCCTGGAACTCGCAAAAGCAGGAGCTGGTTGCCATGTCATCGGCCGAAGCTGAATACATCGTCGCGACAGCAGCAGTTCGCGAAGGTCTGTACCTGCAAAATTGACCAGGGCAAGGTTGATCTCACGTACTGCCCCACCACCGAGATGGCAGCCGACTTTCTCACCAAGCGACTGCCACGTCAGCAGTACAAGCACTGTTCCGACCTCACTGGAGTGGTCAAGCGAGTCAGCCCTCTGACGCCCAGGAATGAAGGGGAGTGTTACGATATGAAACTTTATGAGAAGGCATTCCTGTATGCTACACGGACCGACTCTAAAGTGTATGAAGCCGAGGAGTCAGAAGAGTCGAAGCGACACTCGTAACCGTCTGATCAAGACCGATGCAGGCAGAAACATTCGAAGTGAAAAGAGCGGGAACAGGTTTGAAACGGGTTCCCGCGCCGCACGGTTTGAACTACGCTGTAATAAGGGAATGTACCCATTAGAGTAAATGGCTAGTCTAGGTCGTTTCGAATTCCTTCGTATTTCCTATATAAACTCAATGTATGCATGCTATTATCATCTCAGTCATTTACATTCACTCTGACCTGAGTTCACTACTTCCGCTGCAATCCTACCCTGCGATCAACCCTGAGCGATCCTTCGCTAAGTCCCACTTGGGATTGTAACAAATTCCTTGCCTTGTCCCATGTAGTACTTACTAATGCAATGTCATCGTAACGGCTGACATTATAACATGCATGTTACATCCCTCACCCCAACAGCTGGTGGCGATGATCATCGTTCACTCCCACGATTATCCCAAGGCTTTGTATTTATAGCTCATTTATGGTACAACATGCTCCATGTGTGAGGAAGCGAGCACGAGTTCACTAGCATACCTTTATTGACTGTATCCTATTCTTTGTAACGCATCAAGTGTCTCCTTTCGAATCTGCAAGCAGAAGATGGACAAAAAGAGGGTAATCTTCAAAAGCCCCAATACCAGTAACAACAAATCAAAAGAAAAGAGAATTGCATAATCAAGTGGAAACTGCTCACCCATTCAAGTTGTTGAACTGTTACACCGGATCCTCCAGTCCTGTACATTCCGCCAAGAACCTGCACCATCACCTCAGAACAAAGGAATGAACCAGCGTAACTTGCCATACACGGTACCCGCGTAACATATCGGATTTTTGAGATGCAAAGTGTAACTTGGTTACGGTGTCGAGCAGGTGACCTGGCCGAACAGGGGCAGAGCCTTTTGATTGCTGAACCTGCCAATGCCGATTGCACAAGGAATACAGTGTGCAAGTGAATCACGCACAAAAGGTCTGGGAGCGGTGTGAAATATCAGCGAACAGAGTGAAGAAACCATGAACCACGGGTTTGATAACGGTGTGAAGCTTGATTCTGAAAATTCTCAAAATCAACTTCTAAAAATGTCAGCGAACGAACACAGTGAAGAGTCCGTGAGCCATAGGTTTGATGACAGTGTGAAGGGTGTAGGAGCAGTGTGAAGGGTCAAGCTGCTTTCGTCACAAACACTGCACCTATCGCACCAACATGTTTCCTTCAGAAGGTGTAGATGTCCAGGCATTTATGAAGTAAAAGCACACAAAGCATGATTCCATCAAGTGCCACACAAAGCACAGCCCACCTTGATGGGGCCATCACTACCCTTCTTGTACTCGCCCTCCTGCCGCCCCTCCGTGAATAAAATATCTCACGGTCACCAGTGTTGATACGATGAACCACACCTGCTTTGAGAATTCTCAACACAAAGCACAGCCCACCTTGATGGGGCCATCACTGCCCTTCTTGTACTCGCCCTCCTGCCGCCCCTCCATGACATCAAATATCCGGTTCTTCAGTGCATCGGGAGATCGCATGGCCACCAGTGTTGATATGAACCGCACCTGTGTGGAACCCATACAGAAGGCACGCACACAGGGCAGGAAATCAGCAGACCCCAACTGTTGTTGAGGAGTTGATGGAAGTAAGGCCTCCGCAGCCCACCTGTCCGTTGCTGACACGTCATACAAAAGGCACGCACACAGGGCAGGCAATCAGCAGACCCTAACTGTTGTTGACTCGACTCACAAACTCTAAACGCATTTGTTATAAAAAAAGCAGTGCTCAGCTTCTTCCCGTGCCTCCTCCCCATACCTCCTACCCGCACCTCCTTCCTGCACTCCTCCCCGTACCTCCTCCCCATACCTTCTCCCCGTACCTCCTCCCCATACCTGCTCCCCGTACCTCCTCCCCATACCTGCTCCCCGTACCTCCTCCCCATACCTGCTCCCCGTACCTCCTCCCCATACCTTCTCCCCGTACCTCAGCCTCGGGGACGTTCTTTAAGCGGCGGACATCGTTGCGAGGGTCTTGAACGCCCCCCGCCATGAGACACAGCGCCTCCTCCATCCTACCATACCTCCTCCCCCACCCCGTACCTCCGCCTCGGGGACATTCTTTAAGCGGCGGACATCGTTGCGAGGGTCTTGAACGCCCCCTGCCATGAGAGTCCGCGCCTCCTCCCTTGCCAGCAGCAGCCGTGCCAACAGGCGGCGGTCCTGAATGGGCAGCTGCTCCTCCATTGACTGGGGTGTGTAGAGGTGGGGCGGGGGAGATTGGAGGGGAAGGGAGGGTATGGAGGAGACGAAAGGGTCCTGAATGGGCAGCTGCTCCTCCATTGACTGGGGTGTGTAGAGGTGGGGCGGGGGAGATTGGAGGGGAAGGGAGGGTATGGAGGAGATGAAAGGGTCCTGAATGGGCAGCTGCTCCTCCATTGACTGGGGTGTGTAGAGGTGGGGCGGGGGAGATTGGAGGGGAAGGGAGGGTATGGAGGAGACGAAAGGGTCCTGAATGGGCAGCTGCTCCTCCATTGACTGGGGTGTGTAGAGGTGGGGCGGGGGAGATTGGAGGGGAAGGGAGGGTATGGAGGAGACGAAAGGGTCCTGAATGGGCAGCTGCTCCTCCATTGACTGGGGGGGACGGGAGAGCAGCGGGGGAGGGGGAAAGAGTAAAAGGAGAGTATGATGGATGGAGGGGAGGGGAGAGTTCTGAACGTTCCTGAATGGGCAGGGCAGCTACTCCTTCATGGACTGGGAGGGACGGGAGAGCGACGGGACGGGCGGTTGGAAGGAGCACGAGCACATACAGTCAGCACAGCACAGCACAGCATACATTCAACCTGGGGATTGAAAGATTCTTTGAGGCACCTCAAATCACAAGAGCATGAGCACCTACAGTCAGCAATAAGAACGTATCAGCATGAAAATTTCACACCAGCACTCACAGCAACGAGGTCATCCGCCTGAGCAATTATTTTCTCCAGCCTGGCTCCTGGCACATGCACCTCCGATGGTTCCGTTCAACCCATTCCTTTCCTGCCCTTGCCTGCCACCCATACCCTTCATGCATGGATTGAAGTGTGCTTCAAGGAAAACCGAACACGCACAGCAGCACTCACAGCAACGAGGTCATCTGCCTGGGCAACGATCTCCTCCACCCTGGCTCCCGATACATGCACCTCCTCCGGTGGTTCCGTTCAACCCATTCCTTTGCTGGCCTTGCTCCGGCACCCACAGACTCACAGCACTCACAGCACGCACAGCAGCACTCACAGCAACGAGGTCATCGGCCTGGGCAATGATCTCCTCCAGCCTGGCTCCCGGCACATGCACCTCCGGCGGTTCCATCCCATCAATTTCGGCCATAGTGTGAGAGGTGTGCTTTAAGGGAAAATCACCCACTCACAGCAACGAGGTCATCGGCCTGGGCAACGATTTCCTCCAGCCTGGCCCCCGGCACTTGCACCTCCGGTGGTTCCATCCCGCCCATGCCGCCCATGTTGCCGCCCGGACTCGCCTCCGCAGGGAGCTTGCCGCCCCCTGCCAGCGCGCGTGTGATGATGTCTTGCCGGCGGTTCTTGTCTGATGTGGCCACAAGGAGGGACACCACCTGCACCTGGAAGCAGGAGAAGGGAAAACGAGGAAAATTTTACTCTCTTTCTTACTTGCTAAACGCTTTCTCTAGCACTGCTGCTCTTCCAAAACCATGAGTGACGGCAACAAGGAGGGACACAACCTGCACCTGGAAGCAGGAGAAGGGAAAAAAGGAAGATATTTCAGGCGACCAAAAATTGGCTCATGTGGAGATGAGGAGAGACACCACCTGCACCTGGAAACGGGAGAAGTGAAAACGGGAAAAAAATCGGGCGACAAAAAAATGGCTGATGTGGAGATGAGGAGAAACAGCACGTGCACCTGGAAATGGGAGCAGTGAAAGAGAAGAGAATTTGACGCGACCAAAGAAAAGGCTGATGTGGCGAGGGGAGGGGAGAAACCACTAAGGGTTCATTCCTGAGAAGACATGTCTTTAATTTAGGCGTCACAAAAGCAGTGTACCGCTCTGCACCGCATTACACCTAAGCATCAAACATTTCCACCGCACTGAATCTCGTCTTTTGAGACGCGAGGCTTTTGTGACGCGCTCCAGGAATGTACCCTAAGAAAGGAGCTGAGAGAAGAAGAGGAAGCGAGAAGCGGCGATGCGACAAGCAATTTATCAGTCTGACCAGACCTGGGGTGGCACCTGGAGCACAGCGGCTGTGCCACAGCCCCTCTAGTTTTACCTGGGGAGGCATTTTCTGCTGCAGCTGTGACAGGAGCTGCTCCTTCACCACCTCCAGCAACCAGCGACCCTGGAAAGGAGGGAAAGGAGATGGGGAGGGAGGAAAGGGGAGGGTAGGTGGGAGGGAGAAGAGCGAATCGAATATAAGTTGAACAGGAATGAGGGCTCAATCTCCCAGTCATGCGCGCTGCTGCAGCTGTGACAGGAGCTGCTCCTTCACCACCTCCAGGAACCAGCGACCCTGGAAAGAGGGAAGGGGGAAGGCACGTGCAGTAATCTACAGATGAGTGGTCAGCAGCAGAGGTGGCTCCATCTGATGCAGTGGTCAGCTCGGTTACTGACTGGTGCGATAAGTGCGACAAGAGCGACTGGTGTTGTTTTTGAGATGGGGGGATGAGAAGGGAGATGGAGTTGGGAACGTTTGGGGAGAGAGACAGGGAAAGGTAAAGGGTAGGGGAAAAGGGCATGGGAAAAGGGCATGGGAAAAGGGCATGGGAAAAGGGCATGGGAAAAGGGCATGGGAAAAGGGCATGGGAAAAGGGCATGGGAAAAGGGCATGGGAAAAGGGCATGGGAAAAGGGAATGGGAAAAGGGCATGGGAAAAGGGCATGGGAAAAGGGCATGGGAAAAGGGCATGGGAAAAGGGCATGGGAAAAGGGCATGGGAAAAGGGCATGGGAAAAGGGCATGGGAAAAGGGCATGGGAAAAGGGCATGGGAAAAGGGCATGGGAAAAGGGCATGGGAAAAGGGCATGGGAAAAGGGCATGGGAAAAGGGCATGGGAAAAGGGCATGGGAAAAGGGCATGGGAAAAGGGCATGGGAAAAGGGCATGGGAAAAGGGCATGGGAAAAGGGAATGGGAAAAGGGAATGGGAAAAGGGAATGGGAAAAGGGCATGGGAAAAGGGCATGGGAAAAGGGCATGGGAAAAGGGCATGGGAAAAGGGCATGGAAAAGGGCATGGGAAAAGGGCATGGGAAAAGGGCATGGGAAAAGGGCATGGGAAAAGGGAATGGGAAAAGGGAATGGGAAAAGGGAATGGGAAAAGGGCATGGGAAAAGGGCATGGGAAAAGGGCATGGGAAAAGGGCATGGGAAAAGGGCATGGGAAAAGGGCATGGGAAAAGGGCATGGGAAAAGGGCATGGGAAAAGGGCATGGGAAAAGGGCATGGGAAAAGGGCATGGGAAAAGGGCATGGGAAAGGGCATGGGAAAAGGGCATGGGAAAAGGGCATGGGAAAAGGGCATGGGAAAAGGGCATGGGAAAAGGGCATGGGAAAAGGGCATGGGAAAAGGGCATGGGAAAAGGGCATGGGAAAAGGGCATGGGAAAAGGGCATGGGAAAAGGGCATGGGAAAAGGGCATGGGAAAAGGGCATGGGAAAAGGGCATGGGAAAAGGGCATGGGAAAAGGGCATGGGAAAAGGGCATGGGAAAAGGGCATGGGAAAAGGGCATGGGAAAAGGGCATGGGAAAAGGGCATGGGAAAAGGGCATGGGAAAAGGGCATGGGAAAAGGGCATGGGAAAAGGGCATGGGAAAAGGGAATGGGAAAAGGGAATGGGAAAAGGGAATGGGAAAAGGGAATGGGAAAAGGGAATGGGAAAAGGGCATGGGAAAAGGGCATGGGAAAAGGGCATGGGAAAAGGGCATGGGAAAAGGGCATGGGAAAAGGGCATGGGAAAAGGGCATGGGAAAAGGGCATGGGAAAAGGGAATGGGAAAAGGGCATGGGAAAAGGGCATGGGAAAAGGGAATGGGAAAAGGGCATGGGAAAAGGGCATGGGAAAAGGGCATGGGAAAAGGGCATGGGAAAAGGGCATGGGAAAAGGGCATGGGAAAAGGGCATGGGAAAAGGGCATGGGAAAAGGGCATGGGAAAAGGGCATGGGAAAAGGGCATGGGAAAAGGGCATGGGAAAAGGGCATGGGAAAAGGGCATGGGAAAAGGGCATGGGAAAAGGGCATGGGAAAAGGGCATGGGAAAGGGCATGGGAAAAGGGCATGGGAAAAGGGCATGGGAAAAGGGCATGGGAAAAGGGCATGGGAAAAGGGCATGGGAAAAGGGCATGGGAAAAGGGCATGGGAAAAGGGCATGGGAAAAGGGCATGGGAAAAGGGCATGGGAAAAGGGCATGGGAAAAGGGCATGGGAAAAGGGCATGGGAAAAGGGCATGGGAAAAGGGCATGGGAAAAGGGAATGGGAAAAGGGAATGGGAAAAGGGCATGGGAAAAGGGCATGGGAAAAGGGCATGGGAAAAGGGAATGGGAAAAGGGAATGGGAAAAGGGCATGGGAAAAGGGCATGGGAAAAGGGCATGGGAAAAGGGCATGGGAAAAGGGCATGGGAAAAGGGCATGGGAAAAGGGCATGGGAAAAGGGCATGGGAAAAGGGCATGGGAAAAGGGCATGGGAAAAGGGAATGGGAAAAGGGAATGGGAAAAGGGCATGGGAAAAGGGCATGGGAAAAGGGCATGGGAAAAGGGAATGGGAAAAGGGAATGGGAAAGGGCATGGGAAAAGGGCATGGGAAAAGGGCATGGGAAAAGGGCATGGGAAAAGGGCATGGGAAAAGGGCATGGGAAAAGGGCATGGGAAAAGGGCATGGGAAAAGGGCATGGGAAAAGGGCATGGGAAAAGGGAATGGGAAAAGGGCATGGGAAAAGGGCATGGGAAAAGGGCATGGGAAAAGGGAATGGGAAAAGGGAATGGGAAAAGGGCATGGGAAAAGGGCATGGGAAAAGGGCATGGGAAAAGGGCATGGGAAAAGGGCATGGGAAAAGGGCATGGGAAAAGGGCATGGGAAAAGGGAATGGGAAAAGGGAATGGGAAAAGGGCATGGGAAAAGGGCATGGGAAAAGGGCATGGGAAAAGGGAATGGGAAAAGGGAATGGGAAAAGGGCATGGGAAAAGGGCATGGGAAAAGGGCATGGGAAAAGGGCATGGGAAAAGGGCATGGGAAAAGGGCATGGGAAAAGGGAATGGGAAAAGGGAATGGGAAAAGGGCATGGGAAAAGGGCATGGGAAAAGGGCATGGGAAAAGGGCATGGGAAAAGGGCATGGGAAAAGGGCATGGGAAAAGGGCATGGGAAAAGGGAATGGGAAAAGGGAATGGGAAAAGGGCATGGGAAAAGGGCATGGGAAAAGGGCATGGGAAAAGGGCATGGGAAAAGGGCATGGGAAAAGGGCATGGGAAAAGGGCATGGGAAAAGGGCATGGGAAAAGGGCATGGGAAAAGGGCATGGGAAAAGGGCATGGGAAAAGGGCATGGGAAAAGGGCATGGGAAAAGGGCATGGGAAAAGGGCATGGGAAAAGGGCATGGGAAAAGGGCATGGGAAAAGGGCATGGGAAAAGGGCATGGGAAAAGGGCATGGGAAAAGGGCATGGGAAAAGGGCATGGGAAAAGGGCATGGGAAAAGGGCATGGGAAAAGGGCATGGGAAAAGGGCATGGGAAAAGGGAATGGGAAAGGGAATGGGAAAAGGGAATGGGAAAAGGGAATGGGAAAAGGGCATGGGAAAAGGGCATGGGAAAAGGGCATGGGAAAAGGGCATGGGAAAAGGGCATGGGAAAAGGGCATGGGAAAAGGGCATGGGAAAAGGGCATGGGAAAAGGCATGGGAAAAGGGAATGGGAAAAGGGCATGGGAAAAGGGCATGGGAAAAGGGAATGGGAAAGGCATGGAAAGGGCATGGGAAAAGGGCATGGGAAAAGGGCATGGGAAAAGGGCATGGGAAAAGGGCATGGGAAAAGGGCATGGGAAAAGGGCATGGGAAAAGGGCATGGGAAAAGGGCATGGGAAAAGGGCATGGGAAAAGGGCATGGGAAAAGGGCATGGGAAAAGGGCATGGGAAAAGGGCATGGGAAAAGGGCATGGGAAAAGGGCATGGGAAAAGGGCATGGGAAAAGGGCATGGGAAAAGGGCATGGGAAAAGGGCATGGGAAAAGGGCATGGGAAAAGGGCATGGGAAAAGGGCATGGGAAAAGGGCATGGGAAAAGGGCATGGGAAAAGGGCATGGGAAAAGGGCATGGGAAAAGGGCATGGAAAAGGGCATGGGAAAAGGGCATGGGAAAAGGGCATGGGAAAAGGGCATGGGAAAAGGGCATGGGAAAAGGGCATGGGAAAAGGGCATGGGAAAAGGGCATGGGAAAAGGGCATGGGAAAAGGGCATGGGAAAAGGGAATGGGAAAAGGGAATGGGAAAAGGGCATGGGAAAAGGGCATGGGAAAAGGGCATGGGAAAAGGGCATGGGAAAAGGGCATGGGAAAAGGGCATGGGAAAAGGGCATGGGAAAAGGGCATGGGAAAAGGGCATGGGAAAAGGGCATGGGAAAAGGGCATGGGAAAAGGGCATGGGAAAAGGGCATGGGAAAAGGGCATGGGAAAAGGGAATGGAAAAGGGCATGGGAAAAGGGCATGGGAAAAGGGCATGGGAAAAGGGCATGGGAAAAGGGCATGGGAAAAGGGCATGGGAAAAGGGCATGGGAAAAGGGCATGGGAAAAGGGCATGGGAAAAGGGCATGGGAAAAGGGCATGGGAAAAGGGCATGGGAAAAGGGCATGGGAAAAGGGCATGGGAAAAGGGCATGGGAAAAGGGCATGGGAAAAGGGCATGGGATAAGGGCATGGGAAAAGGGCATGGGAAAGGGCATGGGAAAAGGGCATGGGACAAGGGCATGGGAAAAGGGCATGGGAAAAGGGCATGGGAAAAGGGCATGGGAAAAGGGCATGGGAAAAGGGAATGGGAAAAGGGCATGGGAAAAGGGCATGGGAAAAGGGCATGGGAAAAGGGCATGGGAAAAGGGAATGGGAAAAGGGAAGGGAAAGGGCCATGGGAAAAGGGCATGGGAAAAGGGCATGGGAAAAGGGAATGGAAAAGGGAATGGGAAAAGGGCATGGGAAAGGGCATGGGAAAAGGGAATGGGAAAAGGGCATGGGAAAAGGGCATGGGAAAAGGGCATGGGAAAAGGGCATGGGAAAAGGGCATGGGAAAAGGGCATGGGAAAAGGGCATGGAAAAGGGCATGGGAAAAGGGCATGGGAAAAGGGCATGGGAAAAGGGCATGGGAAAAGGGCATGGGAAAGGGCATGGAAAGGGCATGGGAAAAGGGCATGGGAAAAGGGCATGGGAAAAGGGCATGGGAAAAGGGCATGGGAAAAGGGCATGGGAAAAGGGCATGGGAAAAGGGCATGGGAAAAGGGCATGGGAAAAGGGCATGGGAAAAGGGCATGGGAAAAGGGAATGGGAAAGGGCATGGGAAAAGGGCATGGAAAAGGGCATGGAAAAGGGCATGGGAAAAGGGCATGGGAAAAGGGCATGGGAAAAGGGCATGGGAAAAGGGCATGGGAAAAGGGCATGGGAAAAGGGCATGGAAAAGGGCATGGGAAAAGGGCATGGGAAAAGGGCATGGGAAAAGGGCATGGGAAAAGGGCATGGGAAAAGGGCATGGGAAAAGGGCATGGAAAAGGGCATGGGGAAAAGGGCATGGGAAAAGGGCATGGGAAAAGGGCATGGGAAAAGGGCATGGGAAAAGGGCATGGGAAAAGGGAATGGGAAAAGGGCATGGGAAAAGGGCATGGGAAAAGGGCATGGGAAAAGGGCATGGGAAAAGGGCATGGGAAAAGGGCATGGGAAAAGGGCATGGGAAAAGGGCATGGAAAAGGGAATGGGAAAAGGGCATGGGAAAAGGGCATGGGAAAAGGGCATGGGAAAAGGGCATGGGAAAAGGGAATGGGAAAAGGGCATGGGAAAAGGGCATGGGAAAAGGGCATGGGAAAAGGGCATGGGAAAAGGGCATGGGAAAAGGGCATGGGAAAAGGGCATGGGAAAAGGGCATGGGAAAAGGGCATGGGAAAAGGGCATGGGAAAAGGGAATGGGAAAAGGGCATGGGAAAAGGGCATGGGAAAAGGGCATGGGAAAAGGGCATGGGAAAAGGGCATGGGAAAAGGGCATGGGAAAAGGGCATGGGAAAAGGGCATGGGAAAGGGCATGGGAAAAGGGCATGGGAAAAGGGCATGGAAAAGGGCATGGGAAAGGGCATGGGAAAAGGGCATGGGAAAAGGGCATGGGAAAAGGGCATGGGAAAAGGGCATGGGAAAAGGGAATGGGAAAAGGGAATGGGAAAAGGGCATGGGAAAAGGGCATGGGAAAAGGGCATGGGAAAAGGGCATGGGAAAAGGGCATGGGAAAAGGGCATGGGAAAAGGGCATGGGAAAAGGGCATGGGAAAAGGGCATGGGAAAAGGGCATGGGAAAAGGGCATGGGAAAAGGGAATGGGAAAAGGGCATGGGAAAAGGGAATGGGAAAAGGGCATGGGAAAAGGGCATGGGAAAAGGGAATGGGAAAAGGGAATGGGAAAAGGGCATGGGAAAAGGGCATGGGAACAGGGAATGGGAAAAGGGAATGGGAAAAGGGCATGGGAAAAGGGCATGGGAAAAGGGCATGGGAAAAGGGCATGGGAAAAGGGAATGGGAAAAGGGCATGGGAAAAGGGCATGGGAAAAGGGCATGGGAAAAGGGCATGGGAAAAGGGAATGGGAAAAGGGAATGGGAAAAGGGCATGGGAAAAGGGCATGGGAAAAGGGCATGGGAAAAGGGCATGGGAAAAGGGCATGGGAAAAGGGCATGGGAAAAGGGCATGGGAAAAGGGCATGGGAAAAGGGCATGGGAAAAGGGCATGGGAAAAGGGCATGGGAAAAGGGCATGGGAAAAGGGCATGGGAAAAGGGCATGGGAAAAGGGCATGGGAAAAGGGCATGGGAAAAGGGCATGGGAAAAGGGCATGGGAAAAGGGAATGGGAAAAGGGCATGGGAAAAGGGCATGGGAAAAGGGCATGGGAAAAGGGCATGGGAAAAGGGCATGGGAAAAGGGCATGGGAAAAGGGCATGGGAAAAGGGCATGGGAAAAGGGCATGGGAAAAGGGCATGGGAAAAGGGCATGGGAAAAGGGAATGGGAAAAGGGCATGGGAAAAGGGCATGGGAAAAGGGCATGGGAAAAGGGCATGGGAAAAGGGCATGGGAAAAGGGCATGGGAAAAGGGCATGGGAAAAGGGCATGGGAAAAGGGCATGGGAAAAGGGAATGGGAAAAGGGAATGGGAAAAGGGCATGGGAAAAGGGCATGGGAAAAGGGCATGGGAAAAGGGCATGGGAAAAGGGCATGGGAAAAGGGCATGGGAAAAGGGCATGGGAAAAGGGCATGGGAAAAGGGAATGGGAAAAGGGAATGGGAAAAGGGCATGGGAAAAGGGCATGGGAAAAGGGCATGGGAAAAGGGAATGGGAAAAGGGAATGGGAAAAGGGCATGGGAAAAGGGCATGGGAAAAGGGCATGGGAAAAGGGCATGGGAAAAGGGCATGGGAAAAGGGCATGGGAAAAGGGCATGGGAAAAGGGCATGGGAAAAGGGCATGGGAAAAGGGCATGGGAAAAGGGCATGGGAAAAGGGCATGGGAAAAGGGCATGGGAAAAGGGAATGGGAAAAGGGCATGGGAAAAGGGAAGGGGAGAAAAAGCAGCACGTCGTTTAGAGAGAGCGACAAGGAGGAGGGAGAAGGATGGGGGGGGGGGGGGGGAGGGAGGGAAGAGAAGAAAGGGGGTTGCCGAAAACGAGAGAATTCAGGTTTGTAGTTCCCCAACTTTCATTATAACATGGAAGAGCGGTGAAGGACGTGCCTGCCATTCAGGTGCGTGGGAGGAGGTTAGGTGAGACATGCATCTTTGGAGTGTCTTAAAGCGGCAGTATACATTTGACAGCGGGGTTCAGGGTTTTACAGTGTGCCCCACAATTTCGCCCCCACCATGTACCATTTATAAAATTTTGGCACTCTCCCTGCCAAATGTATACTGCTGCTTTAAGACAAGGGTACAGGTAAATATGTGTTGAGAGTCCAAAAGGCCCTTGCATCAGTAGTGTTAAAAACATATCAAATCGTTATAAAATTGACAGTGCAACTGAGCTTGCTCATGCATTTAACACAGCTGATGCAAAGGTCTTTTGAAGTCTCACCACATATTCTCCTGTAGTCTTACCTTGACATGCCTGTCTTACCCAACCCCTTCCCATGCACCTAAATGTTACGCACATCCTTCACCCACTCTTTCATGCTATGATGGTTAAATGTGATTGACATGAAAATGTGGCAACATAATCAAATTCTTTCCTGACCACGAAAAGTGCTGCTTTTTTTAGAAACCTCAAAAGTTAATAGCGTCTCTCTGTCCCAGAATGAACTCTAGAAAGGCCGCCAGGAACGACTGATGGAGCACTCTCAATCAAATTCATAGTGGTGACTGATGGAACGACTGATGGAGCACTCACCTTGGAGTCGTTATTTGCGTCAGCCTGCCCCATCATGAACTCCAGCGCCACCAGGAACGACTGGTCCAGCGTGCTGACCCAAACCCACCCAAGCCAGCCCCCATCGTACCACCAACACCTCCCTCCCCTCCCTCCCCCACATGCCCTTCCTCATTCTTCACCGCACCTTGGAGTCGTTATTAGCATCAGCCTGCCCCATCATGAACTCCAGCGCCACCAGGAATGACTGGTCCAGGGTGCTCCTGACCCAAACCCATGCTGTGACTACCCTGCCCCCTCGCCCCTAGACACACCTTGGAGTCATTATTCGCATCAGCCTGCCCCATCATGAACTCAAGCGCCACCAGGAACGACTGGTCCAGCGTGCTGACCCGACCCGCTATGGCCGCCGCTGCTGCCATCTGCACTGCCAGCTCCTCCTCCCGCCCTTCCAGGCCCGATATCTCGTCCAGCTGGATTCAATGTGTTGAGCATGCATAAGGGAGGAGAAAGGGACACATTCATACATCCAACTGCCGCCATCTGCACTGCCAGCTCCTCCTCCCGCCCTTCAAGGCCTGATATCTCGTCCAGCTGAGTGTGTGGGTGTGGGTTGTTGTGGATGCAACAAAGGGGAGGAACGACATAAATGCTAACTGCCGCCATCTGCACTGCCAGCTCTTCCTCCCGCCCCTCCAGGCCCGATATCTCGTCCAGCTGTGTGTGGGTTGCACAGCGAGGGAGAAAGGGACAAAAAGGTGCACTCAATCACCGCACAATGCTGCATCATATCCGCAGGTGATTGCAATCAAAGCCGCAAAAGCTCCTCCAGTGCTGCACTCTAACGCCGCCATCAGCACCGCCACCACCTCCCCCTCCCGACCCTCCAACCCCAACATCTCACCCAGGTGGGCGTGGGTTGTTCAAGGGTCAAATTTCCATGTCAGTGCACAAGGTCTAGGGTTCAGGGTTTGGAGACTTACAATAATTAACAGGGTTCAGCGTTTGGAGACTTACAATTATCTACAGGGTTCAGGGTGAAGGAATTTACAATGGGCCAGCATGCGCGCATGCGCTCTCACGATGTTGGCCGTGTCCCACATGACTTGCTCCTCGCAGCAGCTTCCCCTCCCTCACCAGAAACCCAGACGGAGGGTTCAGGGTTTGTGGTGTACCATGCACTCCTGTGCAGGAAGGAATTCAGGTCTGGAATTTACCCTGCACGGTCTCCTGCGCTCTTACATGTAAGCCGTGTCAGACATGACTTGCTTCCCGCAGCAGCTCTCCTTCACTCAACTCTAATTACAGCTAGTCTAGGGTTTAACGGACTACACGGTCTCCTGCGCTCTTACGATGTTAGCCATGTCAGACATGACTTGCGCCACGTCCTCCCCGCCCCGCAGCAGCTCCCGCCACGCGTCCGCGTCTGATTGGCTGCTCGACTCTCCTGCTCCCCCGGGCGCTCCAGGTCCTTGCGCTCCGCCCATGCGCGATATTCGCACCCGCATGTCGCGGGGCATATCACGCCGCATGTCACGGCGCGGCCGCGCTGTTAGAGGGTGCTTCTGCCGTGACGTATCAAGAGCCGAATGAGGTTGTGCTAGTGAAGATTGTGCTTCTAACGAGAGGACTACGGCGCATGGTCGAGATGCTGCGGTTTGGGTTCCGTAATGGCGGGGTGCTTGGAATGCCGATGGTAAAAGTCTTATTCGCGATATCGCAAGGTGCGACGTAGGAGTCATTGTGCGCAGCGTGGGAACGACACTGGGAGCTTGAAGTGGAAACCAACGACACTGCGAACGACGACGGTTGTCCTTCCTACGAAATCAGGCAGGTCTGTATCGTCGAGCGACGAATTCGACGAGGGAGAGAATTTAGACGAAGGGAGGGGAGAGGAGGGGGCTGGTGGGAGTGGTGTTGGTCAGAATTCCTCCAGATTCCATGCATGCGCACGAATCAACATAATCGGATTATCTGGCGTGGTAACTGTACTATTTCTTGTTAATCCACATACGAGGCAGCTTTACAGCGTGAATCTGCTACTATCGAGGTTCCGCTGAGTTCAGTTCAGATTCCACCTGCAGTCCCTGAACGAATCGCCTTCGTTCCCTCCCAACTGCCCCCGTGCAACGATGCTCGAATTCAGAGAGGCCGTGGGACTAGGGCCCCTTCTGTGAGGAGTTTCGAAAATCCCGAGAAACCAGATGGCGCTTGTGAGAGGTTGCTTGCTGCTCACACTCGCAGGTTTTGCACCGAGTCACTGACCTATTGCCCTTGACCGCCAGGTTCAATCCGACTGGTTCAACAGATGGCGTTTCTGAACACGCTCTCGAATTGATCTGCACCCCGCCATTGAAATTGTCAGTCAACACTGGGACTTGTTTCTGAAAAGTGTTCCGCGCATTTTCGTCCTGATCATTCAGTGCGTTTGAAAAGGGTGCTACACGGTGAAAAAACTGGTCCCGGCCTTTACCGTCTAGGACCGCAACGTACCAGACATAACCGTGGTGAAAGCCCAGGCCAGTCATAGATTCTTTCCTGCCTTACTAGTTCGATCCTCAGATTCCACTCACAGCCACTTGAGTTCGATCCTACAGTAATGATCTTGAGCTCCACTGTTTCAACGTAAAGCTCAGTGGGGCTGTCCATCGCCTCTACGAGCTTCTGTTTTATCGACATTCGCGACGATAGTCGGCTTTTTTTCCGGTGGAGGTGTGAAACGATGTTGGGCGTGATTTAGGTTTTCGTTGATCCGATTCATCGAATTTTCATTCTGAGCTTCTCCCATCTGCCAGTCCTGCTTGCGCCAAGTCACTTACGCCCTTGCAGAATATCACTTTTAGTTAGCATTGGGACCGTCAGCGAGCATTTATGCTGTTCTCCCTCTCCAGATCACATTCGCCAAATGAGTCGATGACCTCCCTCTGTCCGCTCTTCGACCCGTAACTCCACGCAGCCTCGTCGCGAGACGTCTCCTCTCCAACCCTTGCACCCTGACTAGCTCCACTCAGCAGCTTAACGGATTCTACCTCTCAGACCCTTACTAGCTCCACTCAGCAGCGTAGCGGATTCTACCTCTCAGACCCTTACTAGCTCCACGCAGCCATGAGCGACGCGGTGCTGCAGGAGAACGGCATGGCGAGGCCCGCCATGTCGGACCGCGAGATGCACGTCATCGCGTCCGTCGAGGAGTGGAACAAGGGCCTTCCGTCGTCCGCCTTGGCGCATAAATACGCGCTCATTGGCCGCTCGCCGGTTTCCTTCTTTCAGGGAACCAATCACCTCTTCTGGGCTGACCTAAGGTGAGGAAGTGTGATGAGTACGCAAATGTGTACGGGTGGTAGGTACATACTTTCTGGAGCTCATATGCTCTCATGCGTTTACCGTCCTCTGGATGAGCGCATTCAGATCCCAGTCAGTTTCTCCAGAAGCTGTTGAATGATTTTACTTGGACTTCCTGATTGCCTCGTAGAGTTCAGGTGCCCTCGCGGGATATTTCTAGGTTGATCGTTATTCTTCCTGACAGGGTATGCTGCTTTTCCTCGAATTCCTTTTCCGATCCCTATTTTGTTGCATCACTCACCCACCATCCACGATTACCCTTTCGCGATTGCTCAGCGGCGACGAGCGCCTGACTCGTTTCGGCAACAGTCGCACGGTGACGTGGATCGTCGGCGACTGCTCCACGTCGTCGTTCACAGCGTCGGGCAGCGACAGCGAGGGCCCCATGTACGGATTGTCGCTCACCGACGAATCCGTGATCGCAGACTACCAGTACGACGTCTGGCGACTCGCGACGAGCATCGTGCTGCTCGCACGGGAGAATATCGCGGCGGCGGGGTCGGGGACAGCGGCCGCTTCCGCCGCTGGCGGAGCTGCGGGAGGCGGAGGCGGAAGCGGAGGCGGGGGAGCGGCGGAAGAGTCGATCTTGCGCGCGGTGGTGTTGGCCTTTGCGCGGAAGTACCTGAAGACGATAATGGGGTTCAAGCAGGGGGAGGTGAAGGGCGGAGGGGGCGGGGAAGGCGGAGCGGAGGGGGCGAACGCGCGGAAGCTGTCGCAGGTGCTGCTGATGTCCGGGGGGAACATGAAAGGGCGGCTGGTGCGGTTCCTGGCGATAGTGGAGAGAGAATACAGCAGGCGACGGCTGCTGAAGAAATGGTGAGCTATTTTGAGTTGACTGAGAACAGGCTTGCTGATGTCCGGGGGGAACATGAAGGGACGGTTGGTGCGGTTCTTGGCGATAGTGGAGAGAGAATACAGCAGGCGGCGGCTGCTCAAGAAATGGTGAGATTTGAGTTGACAAGAATGCGCTTGTTGATGTGGGGGGGGGAACATGAAGGGGCGGCTGGTGCGGTTTCTGGCGATTGTGGAGAGAGAATACAGCAGGTGGCGATTGTTAGTTTGACTGAAAGCACACCTGCTAATGTCGGGTGTTTTTTTTGGCGATCGTGGAGATAGGCTAAGGCCGGAGACAGCTTTGCAAGAAATGGTGAGTTGTTTTGAGGCGTGAGTTGTTTTGAGAAGTGAGCTGTTTGAAGAGGTCTCAAAGCACTGGTGAGTGTAAGCAGGTTGAGAAGTGAGCTTGCCACGAGGTTGACATTCGCAGAAGTAAGCAGTGGAATTTTCTCCCTTGATCACAATCCTTCCATCCAACTCTTCCCCTTCCATGGCATCCCATACCATCCCATCCCATCCCATCCCATCCCATCCCATCCCATTCCACACCATCCAATTCCATCCCATTCCACCCCATTCCACCCCATTCCATCACATTCCATTCCGCCGCTCGTTCCCTTCAACGCCCAGGTGTGTGGAGGAGGGCGGGCGGTGGGCGTTCCAGGAGCAACTGGGGCGGCTGCAGGCGTGCCCCAAGTTCGAGGAGGACGCCGTCGTGGCAGCGCTCGCCCACACCCCACCCCCCCGCCCCCCCCCCTCCGCCCGCCCCTCCCCTTTTCCTGTTCTTTGTCAGACGGTCAAGTTCGAGGAGGACGCCGTCGTGGCGGCACTCGTCCGCACCTTCATGCACACTCTTCCGACCCCCCCCCACTCCCCCCGGACCCTCCCCTCCCCTCCCCCAGGTGCGTGGAGGAGGGTGGGCGGCGGGCGTTTCAGGAGCAGCTGGGGCGGCTGCAGGCGTGCCCCAAGTTCGAGGAGGACGCCGTCGTGGCGGCGCTCGCCTCGTATGCGGATGGAGTCAACGTGAAGGGGCTCGCCCGCAGCATGCACGCTGATCCTGCTTCATGCGGGGTTCCAAGATACATGGCACTAGTGAGTACATTAGTTGAGGGCCTCAGTGTGTGTCAACAAGGCGCTCGCCTCGTATGCAGATGGGGTCAACGTCAAGGGGCTCGCTCGCAGCATGCACGCTGATCCTGCTTCCTGTGGCGTGCCACGCTACATGGCACTAGTGAGTGTAGGCACCGCATGCACTTGGCACCGCATGCACTTGGCCCCGCATGCACTTCTCATCTCATATTTGTTCACCCTCTAACTGGCAGACCGAAACCAGCAGTGGCGAGTTACACGTGTTGGACGTGCGCATGCAGCAGTGCCCCACCGCCTACCACTTCATGAACCCCGATGAAGAGCGTGGGGCACACGATTCTCTCATCTCTCATCCCATATCCGATCATCACATCTCGTGTCTGTTCACCCTCTACAGACGGAAACGAGCACTGGCGAGTTACACGTGCTGGACGTGCGCATGCAGCAGCGTCCCACGGCGTACCACTTCATGAACCCCGACGAGCGCCGCGCGTACCGCCACCGCTTCCCCCACGAGACTGACCGGTTTCTTGAGGCCAGCGCTGCTCTGTGCTCTTTGCATGACAGCAGCAGCATTGGGTGGATGGAGCTGCAGGTGAGGGGTGGAGATGAGGGGTGGAGTGAGGTTTGAGGTGGGAAGGTGGAGGTGGGAGATGGGGTGGCCACCGCTTCCCTCACGAGAGGGATCCCTTTCTGGAGGCCAGCGCTATGACAGCAGCAGCATTGGGTGGATGGAGCTGCAGGTGAGGGGAGAAACGAAGGTGGATGGAGCTGCAGGTGAGGGGAAAAACGAAGGTGGGGGGAGAAGCGCAGGTGATGGGAGAAACGAAGGTGGGGGGAGAAGCGCAGGTGATGGGAGAAAGGAAGGTGGGGGGAGAAACGCAGGTGATGGGAAAAAGGAAGGTGGGGGGAGAAACGCAGGTGATGGGAGAAAGGCAGGTGGGGGTGTGCACGTATACCTAACAAGCACCATGATTCCGTTTCCGTTCGTCCTGGCAGGAGGGTGTGCACCCAAGTGCGGCGGGGCGGTACTCAGTAAGAGACGCGTGATACGAGTGAATTTTCTAGACGTCTCAATGATTCTGTTTCTGCTCTTCCTGGCAGGAGGGCGTGCATCCGAGTGCGGCGGGGCGGTATTCAGTGAGAGACGTGTCACCATACGAGGAGGAGTACCCGGCCGCAGTTTCTGCAGATGTCAAGTCGAAACTCAAGGGGTTTGCTCTCACCACTCAGGTGGGTTTGAGTGAACACCACGTGGGTGCCATGATTTCCGTGGCAGCAGCACAGGTGTTTTGAGCAGTCCCAAAGCATGGTTCGCTCTCATCACCAAGGTGGGTTCGCTCTCACCGCTCAGGTGGGGCACTGCTGCTGATGAGGTAACCCTCCATGTGCTGGTAGGGCTTATGTGGTAAGGTAACCTGCACCTTGTTTAACAATCCTACACAGTACCTCTTCATTTTGGTGTCCCTGTCAAATCTGCTATCAGGCTGATCCACACATTGCTCTTTCCAACCCCTTTGTCCAAACAACAGGAGGGGTTAGTGGAGCTAGCAGAGGATTGGGCGCGTATACTGGCATCGCAGCATGCTGTTGCTGCTAGTCTGCTAGATCCCGACCCCCCGGTGGATCAACGGCCAGCATTGTGCCAGGAGCTTGCGCTTCTATCCAAGGCAGCGGCTAAAAACGAGTTTGAGGAGCTTGTGTGGGAGGTGGCGTTGAGTTACTCGCGTCAAGTGGAGTATGACTGGCGGTGCTTTCAGAAACACTTGTCACCCCAGTTGTAGGCGAATTTTTGTTCCTATGACACTTTCTGTATCTAGCACCCACTCTAGAGTCAATTGCTTCCATTTGTGGTTTGAAGAACTAGTCATATGTATCGTTTATAACTCTTGTATACGTTGTTGTGACATATCTGTAACGGATCGTTTCGCCGCCACATTCCTGCTTTGAGCCGTTTTCGTGGGCGCCATGTTTCGTGTAAGCTTCGCTCATCATGTCCCCCCAGTCGCAGGTTTGCGCGCTAACCAGCCGTCAGAATAACGAGGGCGCGCACTGTCTCCATCTCTGAGCATCAGTTTCATTCCGGCTACAGTCAGCCTTTGAACAAGACGCAAATCCGAAAGCTAGTTTCAAGGTGTAGCACATGTATTTGTAAACAGAAACAAGCCCGAAACGAGTCGCTTGTGAACCAAATGAGGATGGTGTGTCTTGTAGCCGTTGCTGGTTGGGTGTAAATGCTGCATGGTGGCAAATCAAGCACCCCTTGCGAGCACGTCACACACGCCACTACACCTGCTCCGCAAGGCATGTGCACCAGCAGAAGCAGAGAACAGACCAGCTTCAGTTGCCCGCCAGTTCTTCAACACTCGTTAGGTGCTTTCACTAGGGCTGGATAGGTGTTTAATTTAGGTGTTTAGTTCAGCCTGACGTCTAGTCAATGTCCATCACATCGATTCCTCGCGCCCTGCTTTGACCCCAAAGCTCGATTTTCCAGTAGCCGCCTCCAGCCTGGGTCGAAAGCCCTAGAACTGTTCCCGGCCTTCCTGCTAGGTGTTTCGGTATAGTCTGCTCCTTTACTACCAGTGGTCGGACGCGTGGCCATGTCGGCCAAAGATGTGGACCCCGCATTTCAAGGAATCAGCCATAAACCGTAAGACCCGCTCGGCTGGAACCCCCAGGCGTCAGACGCGGTCTTTATCCGTTTCACACCAACCACCCATGGCGTCATGATGTGATGCCGTCCATGGCGTCGCTGTCCTTAGTACCTGCTTTTGCAAGTCGTCGAACCGCTCTCGTGTTGGTGTGATTTCCGCGTTCTTGCAGCCGCACTTTCAGTATCTTCCCAGTGGAGGCGATTCTTGATTTCTTGATTTAGTGTAAACATCGGCATGCGTAGCGGCTGGAAAGATTGCTGTTTAATGCCGTAGGCCTGCATGCGGCCCGATAAAGCATGAACCGGAAGAATGTCCGGCCGGAATTGCGTGTCTTGCCGAGCATTGATCCTTCGTAGCGTGTTGGTCAGACATCAGACATCAGACATCCAATTATTAACAAATAACACGAATGCTGGCATTATCTCCCTCTCCATGGACGCACATACTCTTGAAATGGGAACATTGAGTGGCAACGCGCGGCCATTGGGTTATAACGCGGACATTGTCCTGAAACGGGACAACACTATAGTGTCGCACATGGCTCCCGCGACTGGTTTCGTTTACTGCTGATGGCACTGACCTGCTGACGTGGCTGTTCCGTGTTTTCAGAGGATTGGACATATGGCGATTGGAGCAGGGCAAGGTGGTTTCTGTTCCCAAGGCCGACCATGGCAAGTTCTACACCCGAGACATCTACATTGTGCTCAAGGTGCGCTATAACGCGGATTTTGAGCTGGTGCACCATACACTCCACTCCACGCTGTCTAGGGTAAAGTGGTTATGGTTCAGTAGGTTGAGTGCGGTACCCTGACACCTACATTGTGCCTAAGGGGTGTTTCAAGGTGCTTCAGTCCTACCGCTTACCCCAGACACCAGGATCCAAAGCGACTGGCAGCGTCACCCACGCTTTGCTGTCTTTGCTGGACAATTTTCACGTGCCTCATGCTCCCGTTATCCCCCCTTTCCCACCTTCCCTCTTCCCTCCAGACGGCGGGATCCAAAGCGGCAGGCGGCGTGACCCTCGCCGTGCACTAAGGGAGCCACACCAGAGGACGCGTCTTCCTCTCTCACGTCTCTCACCTGTCTCATCCTCTCGTGATTTCCCCTTCCCTCCTCCCTTCCCTCTCCCAAGACCTCGGCCCTCGGGTTCCAAAGCGGCAGGCGGCGTGACCCACGCCGTGCACTACTGGCTGGGCAAGGGAGCCACGCCAGAGGACGCGTCTTCTTGTCTCTCATGTGTCTCACCTGTCTCATCCTCTCGTGATTCCCCCTTCCCTCCCTTCCCTCTCCCAAGACCTCGGGTTCCAAAGCCTCAGGCGGTGTGACCCACGCCGTGCACTACTGGCTGGGCAAGGGCCTTTCTGTCTCACGAGTCTCATGCTTTCCATCTTCTTTGTTTCCTTTATCCCTTGCCTCCACTCCCCCAGACCTCTGGATCCAAATCCTCAGGAGGCGTGACCCACGCGGTGCACTACTGGCTGGGCAAGGGAGCCACACCAGAGGACGCGTCTTCCTCTCTCACGTGTCTCATCCTCTCGTTATTCTCCCTTCCCTCCTTCTCATCCTCTCTTCTCCCCCAGACTACGGGATCAAAAGCGGCAGGCGGCGTGACTCACGCAGTGCACTACTGGCTGGGCAAGGGAGCCACACCGGAGGACGAGTCTTCCTGTCTCCCACGTGTCTCATCCTATTCTCCCTTCCCTCCCTTCCCTCCCTTCTCTCTCCCCCAGACCTCTGGATCCAAAGCGGCAGGGGGCGTGACCCACGCCGTGCACTACTGGCTGGGCAAGGGAGCCACAGCAGAGGACGCGTCCCGGGCGGCACTGAAGGCGCTGGACCTAGATATTGCCGTGGGCGGCAAGTCAACGCAGCACCGCGAGCAGCAGGGGCACGAGTCGCCGCTGTTCCTGTCCTACTTCCGCCCCTGCATTATTCCCATTGCGGACGGGGCGTCTGGGGAACCGAGGCTGTACCAGGTCAAAGGGAGACGGTTCCTGCATGTGCGACAGGTGAGTGAGGGGCTCTCACTGTGAGTGGGACGGGACGAGGAGGGCTGGCATCAAGAAGGGCTAGTAGCACCAGGGCAGGGGAGCGGACGGGGCGTCCTGGGAGGCGAGGCTGTACCAGGTCAAGGGGAGACGGTTCCTGCATGTGCGACAGGTGAGCGGAGAGGAGGGCTGAGTGAATGCCGACTGAGCGGCGCTCACAGTGAGTGGGACGAGGAGGGCTAGCATCAAGAACGGCTAGTAGCATCAGGGCAGGGGCTATGCCCCGGTGCCACTGGTAGTTTTGGCACGAGTCGCCGCTGTTCCTGTCCATCAGGCTCACACCACCATCGGTTTGAACTGCACTCACACCACCAGACGGTGCCGCACCCTCTCTGCATCCCATCCCAGGTGCCTTTCGCGCGCTCCTCCCTGAACCACTCGGACGTGTTTGTGCTGCACACACCAACCAAGCTCTACCAGTTGAACGGCGCCAACCGCGGTCACTAAATGCTTCTCCTTTCCTCTTTCCCCATCACATTCCCAGGTGCCCTTTGCGCGCTCCTCCCTGAACCATCCAGAGGTGTTTGTGCTGCACACACCAACCATGCTCTACCAGTTGAACGGCGCCAACCGCTGTCACTAAATGCTTCTCCTTTCCTCTTTCCCCATCACATTCCCAGGTGCCCTTTGCGCGCTCCTCCCTGAACCATTCAGACGTGTTTGTGCTGCACACACCAACCAAGCTCTACCAGTTGAACGGCGCCAACCGCTGTCACTAAATGCTTCTCCTTTCCTCTTTCCCCATCACATTCCCAGGTGCCCTTTGCTCGCTCCTCCCTGAACCATTCAGACGTGTTTGTGCTGCACACACCAACCATGCTCTACCAGTTGAGCGGGGCAACCGCTGTCACTAAATGCTTCTCCTTTCCTCTTTCCCCATCACATTCCCAGGTGCCCTTTGCGCGTTCCTCCCTGAACCATTCAGACGTGTTTGTGCTGCACACACCAACCATGCTCTACCAGTTGAGCGGGGCAACCGCTGTCACTAAATGCTTCTCCTTTCCTCTTTCCCCATCACATTCCCAGGTGCCCTTTGCGCGCTCCTCCCTGAACCATTCAGACGTGTTTGTGCTGCACACACCAACCAAGCTCTACCAGTTGAATGGCGCCAAGCGGACTAGTCTTGACGTGTTTCAAGTACTTACCACTCACCCGGCCAGGCTGTTTTCCCTTGCCCTTTGCCCTTTACAGGTGCCCTTTGCGCGCTCCTCCCTGAACCATTCAGACGTGTTTGTGCTGCACACACCAACCAAGCTGTACCAGTTGAACGGCGCCAACGTCTCCAAGCAGGAGCGCATTCGAGCCGCCGATGCCACTCTGCTGCTCAAGCGCCAGTCTCCTAACGGCAGCATGCCCGTTGCTGTGATTGGTAAGGCTCTGCTGTTACAGGTGAGCCTGTGTGGTTGAACCTGTTGCAACTGCGTGTTTGCGAGTCAATGGAGCGCATTCGAGCCACGGACGCCACTCTGCTGCTCAAGCACCAGTCGCCTGGGGGCATTGTGCCTGTTGCCGTGATTGGTACGTTTGTTCTGCTGATCAATTAGACTCCCCCACAAGCTCGATCGGTAAGCCTCTGACTGTTGTTTTGTGCCGTTCAACAGCAATCAGAATGCTAAGATTCTGGGGTTTTGGGTTTTGGGTTTTGGGGGTTTAGCCCTACAAGTTGGTTCCTCTTCCGCTCCTCCTCATCCCCCATTTCCCCTCGTCCTTTCCCTCCTCCCTCCTCCCTCCCCTCCCCTCTCTCTCCACACGGCAGACGATGGCAAGGCGGACGATGCCAGCTCCAGTGAGTTCTGGGACCTGTTTGGCGGCTTTGCTCCCATTGTAAAGCAGACTTGCATGCCCCTTCCTCATACCCACCATTCCCCCCTCCTTCTCCCCCTCCTCCCTCCTTCCCCGCTCCCCTCTCTCTCCGCACGGCAGACGATGGCAAGGCGGACGACGCCAGCTCCAGCGAGTTCTGGGACCTCTTTGGCGGCTTTGCTCCCATCGCCAAGAAGAGTGCCAGTGACGACGACATAGAGGCCAAGGCAGTGCCTCCCACGCTCTACCTGTGAGTTCAGATGTGTTCTTGCGTGTATGTAGCTAGCAACTGGTACATGTCATGTCACTGTGATTAGCTAGTAGTGAATGCCTGCCACTGCTTGCTCCCATTGTTAAGAAGAGTGCGAGTGGGGACGATGTAGAGTAGAGGCCAAGGCAGTGCCTCCCACGCTCTACCTGTGAGTGCAGTGCAGATGTGTGTGTGTGTGTGTAAGCGTATATGCCTGGCTGCCACTGCTTGCTCCCATTGCCAAGAAGAGTGCGAGTGAGGACGACGTGGAGGCCAAGGCAGTGCCGCCCACGCTCTACCTGTGAGTGCACATGTGTATATGTGTGTGTGTGTGTGTACTTATGTACCTACCATGTGGCTGCCACTGCTTTGCTCCCATCGCCAAGAAGAGCACCAGTGAGGATGACGTGGAGGCCAAGGCCGTGCCTCCCACACTCTACCTGTGAGTGCCTCCCACGCTCTGCCCGTGTATGTATGTAGCTAGTATATGCCTGCCATGGCTTTGCTTCCATCGCCAAAAAGAGTGCCAGTGAGGACGATGGGGACGTCAAGGCGGTGCCCCCCACGCCTGTGAAAACCAAGGCGCCTCTCAAGAAGAGCCTGCTGTAAAGCAGCAAGCGCTACCAACCTTCTTATCACTTGGCTATTTCCTTGCTTTTACCACTTTGCTACCCTCCAGAGTCACTTCAAGCGGCCTGCAGGAGCAAGCAAAATCTCCTCTCAAGAAGAGTCTGCTGGAGAGTAGCAAATGCTACCCACCCACCTCGCACCTGCTAACCACTTGCTTTTGCCTTGCTTTTACCACTTTGCTACCCCTTCCAGGGTCAATTCAAGCGGCCTCCAGGAGCAAGCCAAGGCGCCTCTCAAGAAGAGTCTGCTGGAAGGCAGCAAGTGCTACCTGCTTGACTTGCTTTGTGATTTGCCACCTTCCCCTCCCTTCTCCCTTACAGAGTCACTTCAAGCGGTCTTCAGGAGCAAGCCAAGGCGCCCCTCAAGAAGAGTCTGCTGGAAAGCAGCAAGTGCTACCTGCTTGCCACGGGCCCGAACCTCTTTGTGTGGTTCGGGAAGCTCAGCACCGTGCCTGACAGGCGGGCGGCCTGTGTGGCTGCAGAGGTGAGCAGTGTGGGGGGATGTGAGGGGGAGGGGTATGAGGAGTGAGTGGTGAGACTCGTGAGGGTTCGGGAAGCTTGCCACCGTGCCTGACAGGCGGGCGGCGTGTGTGGCTGCAGAGGTGAGCAGTGTGAGGGGATGGGAGGGTGAGGGGTATGAGTGAGTGTGAGTGGTGTGAGGGGGAGTGGTGTGAGGGTGAGTGATGTGAGGAGTGCTGTGAGGGGGAGTGGTGTTCGGAGTGGTGTGAGTTGGTGGTGTGAGTGAGTGGTTTGAGGGTGAGTGGTACGAGGACTGTGAGGGTGGGTCGTGTGAGTGAATGGTGTGAGCAGTGAGGAGTGTGAGGGTAAGTGTGGTGTGAAGAAGAGTGTGAGTGTGGTTTGATTGAGTGTTTTTCCTTCAAGCCTTGCTCATCCCTGCTTGTAAGCTGCCCATTCCCCCCCTTTCCCCCCTTCCCCCCCTTCCCCCCTTCCCTCACCTCCCTTCCTTCCTCCCTTCCCCGTCCCTACCTCCCACCAGGCACATCTGTCCTGCCGGCCCCCCTCGGTGTTAGTGACGATAATGAGCGAGAGAGGCGAGACAGCAGCCCTCAATGCCCACTCAACCACCCCCTAACCCACCTCCCCGCACCAGGCGCACATGTCCAGCCGGCCCCCCTCGGTGCTAGTGACGTGAATGAGCGAGAGAGGCGAGACAGCCGCCTTCAATGCCCACTCAACCACCCCCTAACCCCCCTCCCCGCACCAGGCGCACATGTCCAGCCGCCCCCCCTCGGTGCTAGTCACGAGAATGAGCGAGAGAGGCGAGACAGCAGCCTTCAAGGCGGCTTTTGCGGAGTGGCCGCTCGCCCCTGTGATGGGCGGAGGGGAGGGAGGCGCCAGCAAGCTCAAAGGTGAGAGGGGAGGCGAATAGTGAGAGTAGGAGGGCGGGACTGGTGTGAGATTTTTCAGATATGCTTTACGACATTGTAGAAATCTTTTTTTTTCCTGTAAGGGGGAGATGGAAGGCCATCAAACTGAAAGTACAAGCAGAGGAGAGGAGACGAGGAGACGAGGAGTGCAGGATGCTAGTGTGATGCTTCTGAGGGTTCTCAGAACCCAACCATGCCTCTCCCCCTCGACCTCCCCCTTCTTCCTTCCCCTCTCCCCCCACAGCCATGCTGCGGCAGTCAGGCATGGTAGACAAGGCAGTGGGGAGGGGGCCGCAGTCAGCAGCAGGGGCAGCAGAGCCGCCACCCCCTCCGCTTGCTGAAGTTGCTGGGGAAATGAAGGTGAGGATGAACGTTGATTCGTGAGTGCGGAGAGTGTGGTAAGAGGAAGGAGAGACGAGAGGAGACCAGCGCTTTGCTCCTGTAGTGGAGATTTTGACATGCCTTGTAAGTCGTTCCATTACCATCACATCACATGCACCAGTGGCAGCAGAGCTTCCACCTGTGTATTTTTCACCTTGGAATTCTCTTTCTTATGAATGCATAGGAAAACCAGTTTCAGCAGCAGCAGCAGCAGCAGCAGCAGCAGCAGCGGCAGCAGCAGCAGTCCCCTCTTGCTTATCGACAAAATGTACGAATACGCGGGTTTCTGACAAAAAGTCCCCTTCCCTCCTCTCGTCCGTTCAAAGCAGGTGTGGCGGGTGAACGGCAGCAGCAAAGCGTTGGTAGCAGCGGAAGAGGCAGGGCGGTTTCACAGCGGCGACTGCTACATCGTGCAATACACCTTCACTCGCGCCAGGAAGTTCGAATACGTGGTCTTCCTCTTACCCTAACCCCGCTCTCTTCCTCCCCCCCCTGGCCCAACAGGTGTGGTGGCCGAACGGCAGAAACGTTGCCTTGCCTTCCTCTTCACCCAACACCCCCTTTCTCTCCCCCTCCGTCCATTCAAAGCAGGTGTGGCGGGTGAACGGCAGCAGCAAGACACCAGTAGCGGCGGAGGAGGTGGGGCGGTTTCACAGCGGAGACTGCTACATCGTGCAATACACCTTCACTCGCGACCGCAAGTTCGAATACGTGGTGTTCCTGTGGGCGGGCCGAGACAGCACTCAGGAGGAGCGCGCGTCTGCTCTTGCTGTGGCCTCCAAGACCGTTGACGCGCTGAGAGGAAACGCCACTCTGGTATGTGTGTATGTTGTGTGTGTCTGTCTGGTGACACACGGCAATGCCATAGTGTGTGGCAACTTTGAATAGGTGGTGTTCCTGTGGGCGGGCCGAGACAGCACGCAGGAGGAGCGCACGTCTGCTCTTGCTGTTGCTTCAAGGACAGTCGATGCACTCAGAGGAAACGCCACTCTGGTATGTGCCATGCCATGTGGTGTCTGTCTGTCTGGTAACACGCCGATGTCATACTGTGTCTGGTAGCACGTTCTGAGGCGCCTCAGCTCTTGCTGTTGCTACAAGGACAGTCGATGCACTCAGAGGAAACGCCACTCTGGTATGTGCCATGCCATGTGGTGTCTGTCTGACAACCTACCCGCTCACCGCCTCCCTATACTGTTCCCAACATCGTCCCCTCTCCCTTCCCTCTCCAACCACCCCCCTCCCCAACCCCCGTTTGCGTTTTCCTCCACATCTACTCCCCCTTGCCTTCCTCCCCCGTTCCCTCTTATCTTGCCAGGTGCGGGTGGTGCAGGGGAGGGAACCCGAGCAGTTCCTCTCCTTGTTCAAGGCTCGTGCTTTTTGTGGTCCCTCAGAAGTCAATTTTGGTATTTGCCTCTGCTCCTTGCCTGCCTCTCCCTTGCCGACCTCCCACCTGGCCTCTGCTCCATACCAGGTGCGGGTGGTGCAGGGGAGGGAACCCGAGCAGTTCCTCTCCTTGTTCAAGACTCACTTCTTCTGAGGCGCCTCAAGATCCACCTTTTGCATTTCCCTCCACATCTACTACCCCTTGCGTGCCTCCCCGTTAATCTCTGCGCCCTGCCAGGTGCGGGTGGTGCAGGGGAGGGAACCCGAGCAGTTCCTCTCCTTGTTCAAGACCCACCTCTTCTTCCTCAAGGTAAGGCCGAGCCAGAGTCGGTTCAAATAAGACAGCTTCTGAGGCACATAGAAACCTTCTCATTCGACGCGAAACTGAACCCAAGCAGTTCAGTTCCTCTCCTTGTTCAAGACTCACCTCTTCTTCCTCAAGGTAAGGCCGAGCCAGAGTCGGTTCAAATAAGACGGCTTCTGAGGCACATAGAAACCGTCTCACTTCACGCGGAACGGAACCCGAGCAGCTCCTTCTCCTTGTTCAGGACGCACCCCTTCTTCCTCAAGGTAAGGTTGTGAAGTGTGCTGTGTCAAAAGGTGTAAGAAGAAGTGTTTTGAGACGTCTCAGAACCCGAGCAGTTCCTTTCCTTGTTCAGGACGTACCTCTTCTTCCTCAAGGTAAGGTCTAGTCGGAGAGGAGTCCGCTCAAGCAAGACGGATATTGTAGGCACATAGAAACCGTCTCACTTCACGCGAAACTGAACCCGAGCAGTTCATCTCCTTGTTCAGGAGGACGCACCTCTTCTTCCTCAAGGTAAGGCTGTGAAGTGTGCTGTGTCAAAAGGTCGGAACTTGGTTTGCTGCCAAACTCTGTTTGCTTGTTCGATCAATGTCACAGCGTTGACTGAATCGACTCTTTTGACACAGCGTTGTTGCGTTCAATTCAAAGCACTCTTCTCACTCGATGTTCCCCAACCTACTCAACCCAACCAGGGCGTAGTTTTGAGTCGACTCAAAACTTCGATCAATATCACAGCGTTGACTGAATCGACTCTTTTGACACAGCGTTGTCGCGTTCGATTCAAAGCACTCTTTTGAGTCGACTCGAAAGTCACCTCAATATCACAGCGTTGACTGAATTGACTCTTTTGACACAGCGTTGTCTCGTTCGTTCAATTCAAAGCACTCTTCTCACTCGATGTTCCCCAACCTACTCAACCCAACCAGGGCGGCAGCAGTGCGAGCTACAAGGCGAAGATCGCCGCCCAGGGCGGCTCTGACGACACGTATGACCAAGCAGGCGTGGCCCTGTTCCGCGTGCGCGCCCGGGGGGCGGCATCTACTGGCGCAAGTGGTGCAGCGCTCTTCAAAGCGGTTCAGATGGATCCGGTGGCGAAATCGCTGAATTCGGAGGATTGCTTCTTGCTCCAGACGCCGTCCAGCCCGTTTTTGTGGCTGGGCAATGGCAGCAGTTCGGCTGACAAGGATGCTGCTGCTGCTGCAGCTGAAATCATTAAGGTGATAATACTTACTACTCTCTAGGTGATGCCCTTTAGCAGGTTATCCTAGTGCCCTGCCCTCTATTCCCTCTAAGTCTCTCTCTCAGTGACAATCTCTTTAGTGGTCTGCCTGTCCCCCGTTCCCTCCCGTTCGCCATGTTCCCTCCCTCTCTCCCTCCCTCTTACCCTCTGCCCCTGCAGCCCGGAGCGCTGGTGAAGCAGGTGGGGGAGGGCAAGGAGACGTCCGTGTTCTGGCAGCATCTGGTTATGCCCCATCCCTGCCTGTTCCTGCAGCCCGGAGCGCTGGTGAAGCAAGTGGTGGAGGGCAAGGAGACGTCCGTGTTCTGGCAAGGAGCAGTTGATTGATTGTACCCCATCCTTGGCCAACCCTCTTTTTCCCTCTCCTTCCCCCTTTCCTTTTCCCACCTATAGCCCGGCGCGCTGGCGAAGCAAGTGGTGGAGGGCAAGGAGACGTCCGTGTTCTGGCAGCATCCCATGATCCCATTATGCCCCATCCTTGACCCAACTCCCCTCTCCATTCCGCCTTCGCTCTGTCTTTCCCCTGCCTGCAGCCTGGCGCGCTGGTGAAGCAGGTGGTGGAGGGCAAAGAGACGTCCGTGTTCTGGCAGCATCTGGGCAGCAAGGGCGAGTACCCCGCTTCCCGGGAGGGCAGGGAGGCAGCGCGGGACGGCAGGCTTTTCCAAGTCACGGGCAGTGGCGACAGCTTCAAGGTATGATGGAACCAGGGAGGGGGTTTTAAGTCGGTGTACCAATGTACCAGGCGGTGCAGAGAGCAACCGGGAGTACCCGCTTCCCGGGAGGGGAAGGAGGCACCGAGGGACGGCAGGCTATTCCAAGTCACGGGCAGTGGCGACAGCTTCAAGGTAGGGCGGTGGTGAGAGGGAGGGGGTTTTAAGTAGCTACAATGTACCAGGCGGTGCAGACAGCAAGGGGGAGCACCCCGCTTCCCGGGAGGGGAAGGAGGCAGCCCGGGACGGCAGGCTGCTCCAAGTCTCGGGCAGTGGCGACAGCTACAAGGTATGATGATGGTAGCAGGGAGGGGGTTTCAAGTAGCTACAAAGTACCAGGCGGTGCAGAGAGCAACCGGGAGTACCCGCTTCCCGAGAGGGGAAGGAGGCAGCAAGGGATGGCAGGCTGTTCCAAGTCACGGGCAGTGGCGACAGCTTCCAGGTACCAGGGAGGGAGGGGGTCTGAGGGGCTTCGAGGAAAGACCATAAAAGGAGCAGAGCAGGTGGTGGAGGTGCCAGGGTACAGGCAGGACGACCTCATCAGTGAAGACGTGATGCTGCTGTGCACACACGCGGAGGTGCCTATAGCTCCAACACACCTGAATACCGTGCAACCCTCTCTGCCCTCCCCAGTAGAGTTTAAAACTCTTGTGTTGCCAGTTCAAAAAACAAGATCGAAACTGAGCTCTAAGTCCACTACAACGATTAAAACGCAAACATGTTTCGGACGACTGGGACAGACCCCCGTCAATCCTTCATCAGTGCTAGCGGAATAAGAAACTAGAGCAGAAAGAGCAACCCTTAAGCAAGAACTACCCATCAAGAAACAATCGAGGTTGGGTACAACCGTGGCTGAAATCTGGGCAGCCAATCCACAACACCCTGGAAAAAACCGAGGGGCTGAGGTCTTCACTCCTCGAGGCGTAACGTTGTTGAATCACAACTCGCCAGCTGGTGTTTCGGAAGCCTCGCACGAACAAGTAACTTTTGCAAGTTACAACCTGTTTTCCAAGCAACAAACAATTTCTCCATATAAAATCCGCGGGAGAGTAAGCGTGTTTTGAGACGTCTCAAAACTACCCCTAGCCCGAGTCGAGCCGACACAGGTGTGTAGGTCGTCTTCAAGACTAGGGGCCCGCGTGTAGGAGGAGATGTTCGTCGTTGTAACTGGTTAGCGAGGGTGCTGGTGAGAAGAGTCGCACGTTGTGCGAAATGGACGCCGTTGAAGATCGGTCGTAGGAAGACTGGCGGGTAACCGCGGGCACGAAGTCGCTGGAAGAAAGCGACCTTCGTCGTTCGGAAGGCCGTCGCCGAGGTCGAGCGTAGCAAGTAGCGCTGCAGTTCGGCGCGGATGAACCCCTCTTTACAGTGCCGCGGGTGGAAGGAGGAGAAGGGGAGATATAGGTACCTATTCATCGGTTTCTGGTAAGTACCGAGGTCTAGGAAACCACGTTCGTGGAAACGAGGCCCTTTGTGAAGAACCACATCCAGAAAATCCACGGAACGTTCCGAGATGTTCCACGTGATCCGAATGTTCGGATCCAAGCCGTTGAAGGTGCGCAGGTACTCCTCCAAATCAGACTGCGCGCCTGGCCAAATGATAAGGCCATCGTCAATATATCGGACGTGGTAACAAGGTGACACCCCGGTCCATCTCTTTGCAGCTCATCGAGACGACTCATGAACAGGATGGCGAAGCAAACGGCGACAGGAGTTCCCATCGCGGTCCCCTGCACTTGGTGGTACATCCGGTCGTCAAATTCCACAAAGGAATTTCTCATAACCCAACCCAGAAGGGCCATGAGCGGTTGAGCGAGCTGCGGGTTTTCTCTCGTCAAGAAACTGCTAACTGCTTCGAGTCCTCGGTCGATGGATATGCTGGGGTAGAGCGAGGTAACATCGTAGGTAGCTAGGAGGATATGAGGCGGGAAGGCCGTTGTCTCCAGCTTCGCTAGCAGTGCGAGAGAGTCGCGCAGGTAGGTAGCTCGTTTTAAAACTAGCGGTCTGAGCTGCGCATCCAGCCATCGACTCGCATTAGTCGTCACCCATGAATGAGAAGCTGCAATCGGACGTCCCACGGGTAACTTCTTATGGAGTTTAGGCAGGATGTAGAACGCCGCTGGGTGCCACCCTCCTGGCGGTTTGTCAAACAGAAATTTCCAAATACTGTCTGGGAAAGCAGGCCCCCATGTCGCCTTCAGCTCACTCAGCTGCTGCAGAATTCGAGGAGTCGGGTCGTGACGAACCGGTCTGTAGACATCCGCGTCGTTCAGGTGTTCCATGCACATCGCGACGTAGTGTGCTCGATCCATCACGGTAACTCCTATATTCTTGTCAGCTGGCTTGATGACGATGCTGCTGTCGAGCGATAGGGAACGTATAGCCGCACGTACACTCCGTGAAAGGTTCTGTCCACGCAGCGGCTTACACGTCTTCAGCAGGAAAGAAAGGTCGGCTCGCGCCTCCTTGAAGACTTGCTCCGGGACCTCATCCCGATCGGGCCACCAATTAGGATTCTTCACCCGGAAACGTGATGAAGCTGATGGTCCTTTCCCCTTGAAGAAAAAGTCGAGGGAGATCTGTCGATGCAGCTGATGCAAATCTGCTTCGATGGAAAAGTTCCAGGCTGGCGTTGGTATGAACTTCAGTCCCATCCCGAGCGCTTTGGTCTCGTCGCGAGACAAAACCTTAGCGCTCAGGTTGTGTACTCCCCGGTTCAGAATGCGTGACTGCGCCTGTCGTAGAGTCAGCTTCCCGAACCAGCGGAGCGCGAGGTCCCGAGGTGTTAGTTCTTGCGCGGCCCTTTTCCTGGGCCGCCGCCGCCGTTTTTTGGAACGTGGGCCGTAGTTGAGGAAGTTTGTTGGCCCTTCCCTCCGTCGCCGCCTGAAGACTTCGCTTTCTTCTTTCCTTTCCCGCGACGCCGCGTAGCCTTCGGTACATCTGCCTTGGAGCCAGTGTTCGTCTGGCTCTTTGACGGGTCCGCCTTGGGCTTCGCTGCTGCGGGGGCCGACTTGGAATCCTGCGATCCCATCGACAAGCTCTTCTTAAACTTGGCAGTAAGCTTCGCTTCGACGCTCGCCGTAATCTCCTTGCGCATCGTCTCCGCGTACTTCTGAGTAGCTTTTCGAACAAGCTCGTTGATCGTCGGATCCGTTTCCAGGTGCTCCATCTCTTCGGCAGCGGCTGCTTTCTTCAAATCTTCAGCGTCCCTGATCCTCTGTCTCTCCAGCTCCTTGATGATGATATCATCTTTGGCTGCAGCAATCTCCGACTTGGCTTTCTCGATGCAGATCCCTTTGATTTTCCGGAATTTTTCTCTAGCCGCATCAGATACGGTTAGATCCGGATCCGCAGTCAAGCTTTTGATGTAGTCTTCGAGCTTAGTAGCCAGAGTGGTGAGATGTGAGGAGGACGCCGCCAGGATTTCCCCAACCTCCAACTCCTTAGACTTGATGAAATCCTCCTGAATGCGCTTCTGGTTCTCGAGATGAACCGAGGCGACGGACGCGGCAGATTTCTCCCGAGTAACCGGGTACTTTGTCTGGAACTCCACGACCTTGGTGCGGATGCTGTGTAAGATCACACCTTGGCCGTTTAGCGTCTTCATCTTCTTCAGTTTGGACTTCGCCTTGAGGAGCGCCTTAAAATCCTCTCTGAAGCCCTTGACAGCAGCCGTCGTCCAGCCTTTTAAAAGCTCCGGAATCGTGACGGACGTGTTAGTGGCAGCTGATGGGTTGACGGGAGCCATGTTGACATCCTCGTCGTTCAGAGAATCCATGTCGGCAGCGTCGGGAGAATTTCCTGTCTGCTTGTTATGCTCGTTGTCCTCGTGAATTGGTGCAGATGCGCCAGCGATTCCGTCAGCGTTGCGAGAACGTTTGTAACCCGCGTAAGTTTTCGGGAATGGGCCTGCTTCACGGGGAACTAGTGCGAAACTCGAATTTCCTAAGCCGGCGTCACCCGTAGAATTTGGGAGACCCCAAGTACCTTCAGCCATGAGACTAGGCGAGCTGCAGCTTAGGAGAATTCTTTAGCAGAAGAAAAACAGTAGAGTTTAAAACTCTTGTGTTGCCAGTTCAAAAAACAAGATCGAAACTGAGCTCTAAGTCCACTACAACGATTAAAACGCAAACATGTTTCGGACGACTGGGACAGACCCCCGTCAATCCTTCATCAGTGCTAGCGGAATAAGAAACTAGAGCAGAAAGAGCAACCCTTAAGCAAGAACTACCCACCCATCAAGAAACAATCGAGGTTGGGTACAACCGTGGCTGAAATCTGGGCAGCCAATCCACAACACCCTGGAAAAAACCGAGGGGCTGAGGTCTTCACTCCTCGAGGCGTAACGTTGTTGAATCACAACTCGCCAGCTGGTGTTTCGGAAGCCTCGCACGAACAAGTAACTTTTGCAAGTTACAACATGTTTTCCAAGCAACAAACAATTTCTCCATATAAAATCCGCGGGAGAGTAAGCGTGTTTTGAGACGTCTCCAACACACCTGAATACCGTGCAACCCTCTCTGCCCTCCCCATGTGCCATGTCCTATCTCTCCACCTTGCATTACAGGTGGTGGAGGTGCCACGGTACAGACAGGACGACCTCATCAGCGAGGGCGTGATGCTGCTTGCTAGCTCTAACACACCTGAATACCGTCCCTCCCTATGTGGCATCTCCCCTCCCCTCCAATGCAGGTGGTGGAGGTGCCAGGGTACAGCCAGGACGATCTCATCAGTGAAGACGCTATGCTGCTGGATGCAGTCAGCCGGGAGGCGCTTGTTCCCTCTGAGGCGCCTAAGAATCCTGTCTCCCCTGCTCGCGTCCCACATCTTGCCTTGTCTCCCCACTGCGCAGGTGGTGGAGGTGCCAGGGTACAGCCAGGACGATCTCATCAGTGAGGATGTGATGCTGCTGGACACACACACGGAGGTGTTTGCATGGACGGGGGTTAACGTACCTGACAGGGAGAAGAAAGAGGCTCTCAACTGTGCACTGGTGAGTGGTTGCAAGGTGGTGAGGTGAGGTGAGGTGCTGCAAGGTGGTGAGGGGTTGAGGCTGGTGAGGAGTTGAACGCAGTCGCATTTTCGGAAGCACTCAGTGATGCATAAGGCACTCAGAATAAGGCATGAAGCACGGGCGAATGGTGATGCTGCTGGATACACACAGGGAGGTGCTTGTGTGGACGGGGGTTTTTTAGTCGACTCAAAAAAAGAGGTGCTTGTGTGGACGGGGGTTACTGTGCCTGACAAGGAGACAAATGAGGCTCTCGACTATGCGCTGGTGAGTGGTGGACGGTAGGAGGTGGTGAGAGGTTGAAGGCGGTTGAGATGTTGCTGAGGGGGGGCACACAGGGAGGTGCTTGTGTGGACGGGGGGACTGTGCCTGACAAGGAGACAAATGAGGCTCTCGACTATGCGCTGGTGAGGAGTGCAAGGTGGTGAGGGGTGCAAGGTGGTGAGGGGTGCAAGGTGGTGAGGGGTGCAAGGTGGTGAGGGGTGCATGCAAGGTGGTGAGGGATGCAAGGTGGTGAGGGATGCAAGGTGGTGAGGGGTGCATGCAAGGTGGTGAGGGATGCAAGGTGGTGAGGGATGCAAGGTGGTGAGGGGTGCATGCAAGGTGGTGAGGGATGCAAGGTGGTGAGGGATGCAAGGTGGTGAGGGGTGCAAGGTGGTGAGGGGTGCATGCAAGGTGGTGAGGGATGCAAGGTGGTGAGGGATGCAAGGTGGTGAGGGGTGCATGCAAGGTGGTGAGGGATGCAAGGTGGTGAGGGATGCAAGGTGGTGAGGGATGCAAGGTGGTGAGGGGTGCAAGGTGGTGAGGGGTGGCAGCGCTACCACCTCCTCCCCCCTCCCTCTCCCTTTGGCGGCATTAGCGGAGGGGAGGTCAAAAGACACCACGGTGGTGCGAGTGGTGGAGTGGAGGGGTACGAGCCCCCACTTACACGTGTATGGTGTGCCCCTCACTCTCCCCCACCCCTCCCCTCCTCCCTCTCCTTGTCTCAGCGCTATCTAGACCGAGTGGCAGCAACAGAAGGGAGGTCAAGGAACAGCACGGTGGTGCGAGTGGTGGAGGGACGCATGCAAGCCCCCATGTTCACTGCGTGGTGTAACCCTCACTCGCTTCCACCCCTCCCCACTCCCTCTCCCTGCATCAGCGTTACCTGGACCGCGTGGCAGCAACGGAAGGGCGATCAAAGGACACTATGGTGGTGCGAGTGGTGGAGGGGTACGAGCCGCCCATGTTCACTGCTCTCTTCCCCCACTGGGACCACGCTGCGAGTGCGGTGAGTCAGGGTCAGGGCAACTGGTTGGGTGTGCGTGCATGGCCAACTGTGCGTGCTGTGCGCCAGCATTCGTTCACGAGTGGTGGAGGGGTCCGAGCCGCCCATGTTCACGGCTGTCTTCACCCACTGGGACCACGCTGCCAGCGCGGTGAGTCAGGGAGTTCTGGAGGCATCGTGCACATGCAATGCCCCCTCTGCTACCCCCCCAGCTTCCCCCTCTGCTACCCGCCCAGCTTCCCCCTCTGCTACCCGCCCAGCTTCCCCCTCTGCTACCCGCCCAGCTTCCCCCTCTGCTACCCGCCCAGCTTCCCCCTCTGCTACCCGCCCAGCTTCCCCCTCTGCTACCCGCCCAGCTTCCCCCTCTGCTACCCGCCCTGCTACCCCCTCTGCTGCCCTTTGCTGGCCTGGCCCCGCCTCTGCTTCAGGGCACACCTCATCCTCTCAACTTGCACACTGATCATCTCAGCATCTTCATCCTCCTCGCTCGGCCCTCATTCTTCTCCTCTCTCCTTCGTTTTCCCCCCTCGCCCTTGCTGTTGCTGAACCGCCAGGCCCTAGCAGACCCATATGACCGCAAGCTGGCTTTGCTGCAAGGAAAATCGATCGAGCTCTCTGATGTGAGTCCTTCAAACCCGAAACCTTAAACCCTCACTATCCCCACCACCCCCTGTTCTCCTTTCCCTTCCCTGCTGCTCGTCCTTCTCATACCCCGTTTCTTCTATCTCATCCCGCCCCGTCCTTTACATGCTAGAGCCAAAGCTGTGAATCTGCTCTCCACCCTCAACTGTAGGCATTTTGAGTCAACGCATACCACACTCAAAACCCTGAACTCATTCTACTCTCATGGAGCTCATGAGCTCCAAACCCTGAACTCCAAAGCCCAGAACTTTCGTCAACATAGACCAAAATCCCATCCCGTTCGTTCCTACATCTCTCACTTTGCCCTCCCCTCCCTAACCGCCCCTCCCCACCTCCCCTCCCCACTTCCCACGACCGTTCCCCAGACGGCCAAGTGTCGGCTCGCGGCACTCACGCACCAATCCCCGTCCGCTACTTTTGAGTCGACTCAAAAGTCCCCATCCGCTACCCCCCTATGAAGCACCCTCCTCCTGCCATGAGCGCTTTTTGTCCCCAACCTCCCCGCCTCCCCCCCTCCCCGCTTTCCTCCTTCCCCAATTTCCTTCTCCTGGTTTCCCCACTCACCCCTCCCCATCCCCGTCCCCCCCGCACCTTTCCCAGACGGCCAAGCGTCGGCTCGCAGCACTCACGCACCAATCCCTGTCCGCCCTCTTCCATCCACTCACTCACTCCCTTTCCCCTCCCTCTCCCTCCTCTTCCTCCCCATTCCCCTTCTCCTCCCCAACCTCCCCCACACCCCAGACGGCCAAGCGTCGGCTGGCAGCGCTCACGCACCAATCCCCGTCCGCCACGTCATCCTCCTCCACCCCACGCTCCTCCTCCACCCCCCACTCCCCCTCCGCCAAGCCCTCTCTCTCCTCGCTCACCATCTCCCCCGCGCTCATCAAGGGGCTGGCGGGCAGGAGGGGGCCCTCCCCCGCCCCCTCGCCCTCCACGCAGAGAGCCGCTGCTATGGCTGCACTCACCGGCACACTCAAGGGCGAGCCGAGACTGGGTGAGTGAAATGGAAGGGGAGTAGGAAGGCAGGCGAGTGCTGGGCGAACTGGCATGGAGGCACCTCTCCCGGCCCCTCGCCCTCCACCCAGCGCGCTGCCGCCATGGCTGCACTTACTGGATCACTCAAGGGCGAGCCGAGACTGGGTGAGTGAAATGGAAGGGGAGTAGGAAGGCAGGCGAGTGCTGGGCGAACTGGCATGGAGGCACCTCTCCCGGCCCCTCGCCCTCCACCCAGCGCGCTGCCGCCATGGCTGCACTTACTGGATCACTCAAGGGCGAGCCGAGACTGGGTGAGTGAAATGGAAGGGGAGTAGGAAGGCAGGCGAGTGCTGGGCGAACTGGCATGGAGGCACCTCTCCCGGCCCCTCGCCCTCCACCCAGCGCGCTGCCGCCATGGCTGCACTTACTGGATCACTCAAGGGCGAGCCGAGACTGGGTGAGTGAAATGGAAGGGGAGTAGGAAGGCAGGCGAGTGCTGGGCGAACTGGCATGGAGGCACCTCTCCCGGCCCCTCGCCCTCCACCCAGCGCGCTGCCGCCATGGCTGCACTTACTGGATCACTCAAGGGCGAGCCGAGACTGGGTGAGTGAAATGGAAGGGGAGTAGGAAGGCAGGCGAGTGCTGGGCGAACTGGCATGGAGGCACCTCTCCCGGCCCCTCGCCCTCCACCCAGCGCGCTGCCGCCATGGCTGCACTTACTGGATCACTCAAGGGCGAGCCGAGACTGGGTGAGTGAAATGGAAGGGGAGTAGGAAGGCAGGCGAGTGCTGGGCGAACTGGCATGGAGGCACCTCTCCCGGCCCCTCGCCCTCCACCCAGTGCGCTGCCGCCATGGCTGCACTTACTGGATCACTCAAGGGCGAGCCGAGACTGGGTGAGTAGTGAGGGACAGTCTACAGGTAATGGGAGGCAACCAAGACTGGGTGAGTGGGGAATGGAGACGAGGCATTGCGAGCAGAAGCATTTGCATGGAGGGGTTGAGCGGGGAGGTGAGGTTGGGGGGTTGAGGTGGGGGGGTGAGGTGGGGGGGTGAGGTGGGGTGTGAGGGCCGACCAGCCAGCAGTCCTGCGGCCTGCAGCCATCTCTGCATGCTGTCTTACCCAAATCCTTCCTCTTGCCCTCTCCCTCCTCAACTGAGCATCTCAAGCTCGCCAGTTCCTCACGAACCCTCTCCTCCACGACCCCTCCTCCTCTCCCTCACGCCCCTCTCCCTCTCCCACAGAGCCTCTCAAGCTCGCCAGGGGAAACGCTCTCTCAGGCTCTCTCAGGCGCTCTCAGGCTCTCTCAGGCGCTCTCAGGCTCTCTCAGGCGCTCTCAGGCTCTCTCAGGCGCTCTCAGGCTCAGTGCATGAAACGGATAATGATAGCTCTGCCTCATCCATCCATACAACCACGTTTCCTCCCGCTCTCCTACCCCACCCCTTTCCCTCCGCACCCCTCTCCCTCACCACCCTCCCTACCCCTCTCCCTCTCCCACAGAGCCTCTCAAGCTCGCCAGGGGAAACTCTGTCTCGAGCTCGGTGCATGAAGCGGATAACGAGGATGACGATAGTGAGGACGGCGAGGAGGAGGGGAAGAAGGGCGGTGGTGGCAGCAGCGACAGTGCAGCAGCAGGAGGAGGAGCAGGAGGAGCAGGAAATGGGGAGGCTGCAGTGGAGGGAGTGTGTTATGCCTTTGACAGGCTGATTGTTGACAGCAAGAACCCGATTCGCGGGATTGACACTGCGAGGAGAGAGGTGAGAGAGATTGGGTGAGGGGAGGGGGGGGAGGAGGGGGAGGCAGCAGTGGAAGGAGTGTGTTATGCGACCAGCTGATTGTTGACAGCACGAACCCGATTCGCGGGTTCGTGAAGGTGAAGGTGTTGACACTGCGAGGAGAGAGGTGAGAGATGGGGAGGGTGGTGAAAGGAGGGAGAGACAGCAGTGCAAGGTGTGTGTCATTCGTTTGTCATTCGTTTGTCCTGCTGACTGTTGACAGCAAGAACCCGATTCGAGGGATTGAAACTGTGAGGAGAGAGGTGAGAGATGGGGTGGGTGGTGAAGGGAGGGAGAGACAGCAGTGCAAGGTGTTTGTCATTCGTTTGTCCTGCTGACTGTTGACAGCAAGAACCCGATTCGAGGGATTGAAACTGTGAGGAGAGAGGTGAGGAGAGGTGAGGAGAGACGCGAGGAGAGAGGTGAGAGGGGGGGAGGTGGTGAATGAGTTTTGAGACGTCTCAGAAAAGGAATTGAAACTGTGAGGAGAGAGGTGAGAGGGGGGGAGGTGGTAAATGAGTGGTGGCTTTTGAGTCGACTCATAACTCCTGATGATACTGCGAGGAGGAAAAACGGGGCGAGGAGAGAGGAGGGAAGGAATGCGAGTTTCGAGTCGAGCCGCACATTTTTCCATAAGTAAGGCTTTTCCCATTCGTGCCTGCCACCTATTCCCCTCCTCACGAATCTGCGTTCCCTTTCCCGAGTCCCTTCCCGTATCCCCCATTCTGACCCGCGTTCTTCCCCACATGCATTCTACCCCACATTCTCGCCTGCATTCTCCCCTGCATTCTTCCCTGCCCTGCATTCTCTTCCTGCATTCTCCCCTGCCCTGCATTCTCCCTCTGTATTCACCCCTGCCCTGCATTCTCCCTCTGTATTCACCCCTGCCCTGCATTCTCCCCCTGCATCCTCCCCTGCCCTGCATTCTTCCCCTGCATTCTCCTTTGCCCTGCATTCCCCCTGGCCTGCACCAAAATTCTTGCCCCTGCTTCTTCGATGCGCTCCCTCTTCCCTCCCTCCCCCGTCCAGTCCTACTTGTCAGATGCGGATTTCCTCCGCATATTTGGGTACGACAAGGGCAAGTTTTACGCAATGCCCAAGTGGAAGCAGGACCAGAGAAAGCGTGCTCTAGGGCTCTTTTAGCTTGCCTGTTTGCCATATTTTTTTTACATAAAAGACAATTGCCCCGTTCTAGAAAACGCAGGAGGGACGCGTCGTAGGCATCGCAGGACAACTAGAATGGTAAAGCATTATTCTTTAGGTGGCCCACTGTAGAGTGAGGAATCTATAATGATGTTCGGCAGATGCTGCCATTGCTCAAAGGGAGAACCATATTTTCCTAAATACAACCTTGTTATACGATAAAAGGTTCTTCCCCTTGTCTATTGCTGATTGCTTTTAATGCTGATGAAGTAGGCATACACTGCTGCTGTTAGACAATACACAAGTATTACCCTGCCGTCTTATCGCAAGCATCTGTCGAGGATATACTCGCCACGCATACCGAGAGACGAATATACACAGAGCGCATGATTTGTGCAAGGACGCACAAAGATCTCAAAGTACCCGTTTTAATTGGTGTTCGACACGTCAGGTATCACCAATTAGGTGATGCATCGTCAGCGCCAGCGCTGCACGCCGCGCTGTCCAGTGTTTGTTCCCCACCTTTCAATCCGTAATTCATCGAAGTTTGGGACGCATTTTGCATCCCAGTTTCAGTCGTCAGGTGTCGATTTTCGCCTCAACTCATCTTCTGCACCTATCCAAAACAGCGTAGAGATCCTTTCCAGTGGACGTTTCTTTTCACTCAATTCAAACCGGAAGCCTTGAACAGGCTCTACTGTTTCTGTATACAGTCGATGCTCAACCCCTGCGCGCGAATTTGCCTTGTACGCGATGGAAATTCTGCACCCGTGTATTTTGCGTCAGCCAGTTGCACCCACGTTACAAGCATCCCAAGCAAGTTGCAGTGACTATGAACCAATAGTAACCACAGAAACCAAAGTCAAACTGAAGAGACCGAAGTCATAAAGTCAACGGAAAGTTACAATTGTTTTATAAGCCCTTTTTTGCTAGTTGCGAATTGACGAAACCTTTGCAAGAATCACTTAAACGCCTTAGTAAGGCTACAGTTGTCTACTCAAACGAGCATCATTTGTACCACCTTAGTCAGCATATTATCCGCAACAGTACGTACGGGCCGAACTGCGTCTGCGCCTGCTATTGCTCGTTTGCCGAACCTCGTCCTTACCTTCGTCCGCCACCTTCGCGCTGTGGAAGCAAGCAACCACCTTTGCTGGAATTTCACTCCACTTCCAGGAATCCATATCAAACACTCCCTGCGTGCTCTTGCCGGTACGGCGCCTCAACGCGCAAATCCGCGTTGTCCTTAGAATCTGCTCCGACCCTCCGGCATCTCCGGCTGCTCCGACTCCCTCAGCGTCCATCGCTCGAAGCAGCTCCTCCAGTTGCAGCAGAGGGTTCTGTTGCAGCAGCTATCAGGAGAGTTCCGTTCCGTTGATTTTCTTTAGGCGCCTCTAAAGTCGTTGAGTTGTTGCTGATCACGCTGTCTTTTGAGTCGAGTCGCGTCCTCTGCGTTGTACCAAAAGTCGCCTTGCGCGTGAGAAAGTTTTCGTCGTTGCTAGTAAACCGGCAATAATGCCTGCGACGCTCTTCGTCTCCGCATTCCCCGGGCTATCCGCAAGCCCGGCCCTCCCTCTTCTCGCGTCTCGCCGTCCCGTTTGGCACTCGTCGCCGCCCGGTTTCCTGCGGCTTGGCGAAGTCCGGCGAGGGAATGCCGCTCGAGTGGTAACCACGCGTGCGAAGAAGGACGGGGACGAGCCCGGGAACGACGCGGCCGCGGGAGTCGCGCTCCCGTCGACCAGAAGCCCGCGACTCGACGACTTCGAGCTCCCCGCAGTTGGCGGCGGCCGGCCCGGCGACGATGACGGCGGCGAAATCGGCGCGATTCACGGCGGCGGGTGGGCCCCTCGGGTTTACCACCACGAAGATCTTTATTTGAGCGATCTGGAGAAGAACGGAAAGGGGAAGAAGAAGGGAGATAAGAAGAAGAAAAAGGGGGATACGGGGGAGGAGGATGAGGATGGAAAGGAGGCGGAGGTTGCGGCGGGAAAGGCGGAGAGCGAGAAGAAGGAGGTGAAAAGCCCAGCGACGGGCAGCGAAACGGGCAGCTCAACGGGCAGCGAAGGGAAGAAAAAGTCGAAGAAGGAGAAGGAAAAGAGCGGGCGCAGTCGCGGGGTGGAGCCAACGGGGCATTACCCGGACGACCTTTCGTCGCACGCTAAGGCGGCGGAGAAGGATAAGGGGAAGAAGAAGAAGAACTACAACTACGAGGACGAACTGGAGAGGCTGCAGGTGAGCTTGTAACGCGTACGCAGTGATTTCGGGTGAAATGATGGTGGCACGTGTTTGCTTTCGTCGCACGCTAAGGTTGCGGAGAAGGAAAAGGGAAGAAGAAGAAGAACTACAACTACGAGGACGAACTAGAGAGGCTGCAGGTGAGCTTGTAACGCGTACCAGGTGTTTTTCGGGGTTGGGTAAAATGGGGAGGATATAGGAGAAAGGGGTGGGGGATGGGGAAGAGGAGGTGAAGAAGAAGGGAGGAGTAAATTAACAAAATAGTTCGGGATTTAGCCTAGTTGATGCGCTTTCAAGCAAAGGAAGATACAAAATATATTTAAACAACGTGTTTTAAGCACACTCCGTTTGAAGCACAATGCACCGCCATGTGCTTGAGACCTGGGGAATTGCTGTATGCATTTTGAGATATGCGAGTGGTTGATGTGCGAGAATGCCAGTGGTTCGCATGCATGATTCGCATTGCACAAGCTATGTCCTCCCCCTCCTCCTCCTCCTCCTCCTCCTCCTCCTCCTCCTCCTCCTCCTCCTCCTCCTCCTCCTCCTCCTCCCCCCCTTCCTCCCCCTCCTCCTCCTCCTCCTCCTCCTCCTCCTCCTCCTCCTCCTCCTCCTCCTCCTCCCCTTCCTCCCCCTCCTCCTCCTCCTCCTCCTCCCCTTCCTCCCCTTCCTCCTCCTCCTCCTCCTCCTCCTCCTCCTCCTCCTCCTCCTCCTCCTCCTCCTCCTCCTCCTCCTCCTCCCCTTCCTCCCCCTCCTCCTCCTCCTCCTCCTCCTCCTCCTCCTCCTCCTCCTCCTCCTCCTCCTCCTCCTCCTCCTCCTCCTCCTCCTCCTCCTCCCCTTCCTCCCCCTCCTCCTCCTCCTCCTCCTCCTCCTCCTCCTCCTCCTCCTCCTCCTCCTCCTCCTCCTCCTCCTCCTCCTCCTCCTCCTCCTCCTCCTCCTCCACATCATCATCATCATTTCCCCCCCTACCCCTCCCCTTTCCACTCTCCCTTCCCCTCCCCACCCTCCTCATCCTCGCCTACCCCCGATTATCAGCTCAAGCTGGTGAAGCTGCGGGCTTAAAGCCCGTCACACGCTTCCCTTCCCCCCCTTACCCTTCCTTCCCTTCCTTCCTCCTCCCTCTCTCCCAGCTCAAGCTGGTGAAGCTGCATGAGTGGATCAAGAAGAAGGGCCTGCGCGTGGTGGTCATTTTCTTAGGAGTGTCTTGAAGGCCAACCCCCCCTTTACCCGCCCACCCTTCCCCCCCACCGTCCCCTTTCCCCACCCCCCCTCTCCCCCCTTCGCCCCCTCAGCTCGAGCTAGTCAAGCTGCAGGAGTGGATCAAGAAGAAGGGGCTGCGCGTGGTGGTCATTTTCGAGGGCCGCGACGCAGCAGGCAAGGGCGGCATAATCAAGGTCATCACGGCACCACTCAACCCGCGCGTCTGCAGCATCAAGGCGCTCGGAACCCCTTCCGACCGCGAACGCACTCAGTGGTACTTCCAGCGATATGTAGCCCACCTTCCCTCTGCCGGTGAGATGGTTCTGTTCGATCGGAGCTGGTATAACCGCGCAGGGGTGGAGCGGGTCATGGGGTTCTGCTCGGACGAGGAGTATCGCGAGTTTCTCCGGTCGTGCCCGGAGTTTGAGCGTATGCTCGTGCGGTCGGGGATTATTCTGGTCAAGTACTGGATTTCGGTGAGTCCCGAGGAGCAGGAGAAGCGGTTCAAAGAGCGGCTGGACCGGCCGGAGAAGCGGTGGAAGCTGAGTGATATGGACCTGCAGTCGCGGGCGCGATGGGCGGATTATTCGTACGCCAAGGATGTGATGTTTGGGTATTGTGATATCAAGCAGGCGCCGTGGTATGTTGTGCCTTCGGATGATAAGAAGGCGGCGAGGCTGAGTGTGATGGCGCACTTGCTCAGCTTGATCCCGTATGAGGATCTGATTGAGCCAAATGACGTGAAGATCCCGCCGCTCCAGGAGGATTATTATGTGCGGCCACCAGTCACGGACCAGACCTTTGTCCCACAGTTGTTTTGAGGGGACAGATGTGGACATACTTCAGAATAGCTGGTGCTGTGGAAAAAGCGCTGTTTGGCACCTGTGCTCCTGTTAACCATCTCAGTTAAGAGCTTGAGATGTACTCCAGGATGTTTAGTTGATCCATCCTTGGTACTTTCTTTGTGCTTGCTTGTGGATTTTGCTCTGATCCACTACTGTGTTCCGTTAAATGTTAGTGTTTGTATTTTATCTTTGTACTACTCAAGTTTGTCTTGCATCTTACTACATGTGGAGCCTACTTTTCACGTTGCTTCCACGGATCTCGCCAATGAGGTTTGGATGTATCCGAGCCAGAACCGCTTGCTAGGTGGTCGTGTCGCGCCTACATATCCTTCCACAGCATGCAAACCCGCACTTCTCTGACACCACTTGCGATCTGTCGTCTGGACCAATACTGCGCAAGAGTGTCACATGATGCGAATAGGAGGCTGGTCGCAGCCAATAGACAGAACGCATCGTGGTTTGTGCTGGCCAGTGTAGCTTTCGCGAACTTCTTGCCACATTCCTCCCACACGAGCATGACGTTTTGCACGCTTGCACCCTTTCGTCCAATGAAACCCCCCAGCCGCCCCTGCTGACGTTTTGAATCGGTGGAAGCAACAGACAGCGACTCATTGACGGTAATGTCAACTGCTCGCACAGTTGCGAGGAATCACGGTAATGTGGTAACCCATTTCGTTTGCTCGTGACAGTGTGCTTTCTGACAGGACGGATTGAGGATGATCTCAAGGTGTTTCCCGCCTTTCATTTCTGTCCCCTTCAACTCCCTGACTCCTGCGAATCACCGTGCTTCCCTGACCGCCATTCTTCCCTGAATCTGGTGGCCAAATCCTTCTGTGGCCTTGCTTCGCCTCGCCTTGCATCCCTTCACATCACTCCCCTCTTGCCTGAACAATTCCTATCCTTTAGCTCAATGTTCAATCTAAACAGCCGTTGAAAGTGACGGCTCGCCGATACAATCGATGCACATCAAGGCATAAGACTTGCGTCTCTTTGCCTGCTCAGCGTGACAGGGTAGTGATAGGCGGATCTGCATAGGTTTGACAGGCCAGTTGACTTCTCGTGAGAGACTTGCGGTTCTTAATTAGTTTAGTTGTTCCTGCTAAGAGATGTGGTTCTGGCTTAACCTGGAATAACGTTTTCCTAAAGACATAGTTATTTCTGCTCTAGATTTCCTTCGTGTGATACTCCACGATGTTGCCTGTAGCTAATGGAACCGCGTTCAGCGGAGGGGCAAACATGGTGGCTGAATACTGCCGTGTCCTTGGGGGAACACGGCCGATCAACAGCGTCCTTATCGCCAACAATGGCATCGCAGCCGTCAAGTTTATCAACAGCATAAGGTTAGACACAGTTACATAACAATGAAGCGCTTAAGCATCACGAAACAGCGGAACAGATCTTGCTGCTGCAGTTTTCAATGCGTATGGTGTTTTACGTTAAACTTGTTAAGAAGTAAGGTAGCTGACATTTTCGTCGGATGGTACTTTCTAACCTTCGTCCGTCAGATCATGGGCGTTCGAGACCTTCGGTCAAGAGCGAGCCATCCAGCTGGTCGCCATGGCTACGCCTGAAGACATGCGTGCGAATGCCGAACACATTCGCATGGCGGATACATTTGTTGAGGTCCCTGGTGGGACTAACAACAACAACTACGCTAACGTGCAGCTTATCGTCGAGGTATGACTAATGTCCTTATGCTTTACATAAAGTTACTGTTTCAAACAAACGAAAATCAGAAATGCTTTGACATGCATGGTTGTAATCAAGTAACCATTCGTTATTCTGAAATGTTACTTTTCAGGTCGCGGAGCGAACTAAAGTGGACGCCGTGTGGCCCGGCTGGGGTCACGCGTCTGAGAACCCAGATCTTCCGCACTCGCTCTCGGCTAAGGGCATCGCGTTCCTCGGTCCTCCGGCGAATTCCATGGCGGCGCTAGGCGACAAGATCGGCTCCACGCTTATAGCGCAGACAGCCCGAGTTCCAACCATCCCGTGGAGTGGCTCCAGCGTAAGTGCAGGCTACGTTTGAGAATCAAAATAGAACCCTCAACGATCTCACTCCATGAAATGGTGTCAGCGTAAGCCCAGGTCACGTAATTGTTGTCGCGATTCCTGAATCACTTAGTGTAACGTCAGCACCTCACTTGTAAGAGCGTCGTCGTCATCTGTGATAGTCTCTTATTTGCCAGAAAAGCACATCAGGTCAAGAGAATCTCACAATCAGTTCACGACTAATGTCTGTGCCGTTTCTGTCCTTTTACCAACGGCTAATATCTGTGCCGTTTCTGTCCTTTTACCCCACTGTCTGTGCGGCCTCCTGGCGTACCAGATAATCTTGCCGGACGACCAATGCAGGGCGGAGATCGACGAGGACCTGTACCACCAGGCGTGCGTGCGCACCACGGAAGAGTGCCTCGACTGCTGCAACCGCGTCGGCTACCCGGCCATGATCAAGGCCTCCTGGGGTGGCGGCGGCAAGGGTATCCGCAAGGTGACCTCACTGTTTCTTGCTTCTTCTTTCGTTGATGGTTTGTTTGATTGGTTGGTTTCGTGTTACTGATTTCTTGTCGCGATTCTTTTCCGCTTTGAATGATCGGTTGCGTGCTACTAATGAGTGGGTTTTCCCATCTTTTGGCTGTGGCGGCGCGTGCAGGTGCACAACGAGGAGGAGGTGGTAACCCTATTCAAGCAAGTGCAGGGCGAAGTGCCCGGCTCGCCTGTGTTCGTCATGAAAGTGGCGGCCCTGGTAAGCGTTTGTTGGTAGACTTAGAAACCCGCTCAGGCGATATATGAACACGAAAGATATTCACGAAAGATGGCATGAATGTTAATCACGGGTTTGGGGAGTTTGAACGAGGCACCGCCGCACACTGCACTGCGTTGCACTCCTAACCCCAAAATGGTTAAAGCGACGGTGCACATTTGCCACCCAAAACCCAGAACCCTGGCGAACTGTTACTGCGGATGGAAAGTGTCCGCACGAAATCCTGGTTTTCGCCAGCCAGCACTTTCGCGCTGGCAAGCCTGGTTAAAAAAAAAAACTTCTGAACCCAACACTGCCAAAAGTTGCCCGTCGCTTTAGCGAGCTGTTGCAACTCCTAACCCCCTTTCGCCCTTTCTCGTCTTCGCATCTCAAAGACAATTCCATGACAGTAATGTCTCTTCCTTTGCCCCGCGACCTCGCTGTTCCGCAGAGTCGGCACTTGGAGGTGCAGCTGGCGTGTGACGCGTATGGCAACGTGCGGTGATGTTTTCGAGAATTCTGGAAAACACCCTGCAGATTTATGACGGTATTGCCCCTTCCTTCGCCCTTCACCCTCGCTACTCCGCAGAGTCGGCACTTGGAGGTGCAGCTGGCGTGTGACGCGTATGGCAACGTGGTGGCGCTGCACAGCAGGGACTGCAGCATCCAGAGGCGCCACCAGAAGGTGCGTTCGTGCTTGTGTGAGGAGTCTTGGAACGAGTATGAAGCCCACAAACGAAGCCCACGGTGGACGGTGAGCGAGTAACGTGTACGAAGCCAGCAGCAGGTTGTGCTGCGCTGTGCTGTAGGGGCATCAGAAAGTGCGTTAAATTTAAGGTGTCTTGTAACGAGTACAAAGAACGAACAGTAAGGGAGTAACCCCGTGCGAAGCTGATGAGAAACCGAGGGGCGGACTGTGCTGTACCTTCCATGCCGGTTCGCGAGTGCTGGACTTCTCAGAAAATGCAAGTACGCGTTAGTGGGAATGGCTTGAAGGTACCATGACTGTTCCAAAGAGCGCGTTGCAGCAGATGCCAGATGCAAGCCAAGCTTGAGGCGATAGTGTGGGGCAGGCAGGGTGCTCACTTAAGGGTAGAGAGGGGAACGGCCGGCTCAGCTTCTGTTATTGCTGAGCAGTCGCGCTCTACACTGACCTGTTACTGACCCGTTGTTGACTCATCGCTGACTGTGCGCTGACTGTGTGCGCAGATCATAGAGGAGGGGCCGATCAGCGTGGCGCCGCCAGACGTGGTGCACGAGCTGGAGCAGGGCGCGCGGCGGCTGGCCAAGATCGTGGGGTACTGTGGCGTGGCGACGGTGGAGTACCTCTACAGCATGGCTGGCAACTCCTTCTACTTCCTCGAAGTCAACCCGCGCCTCCAGGTACGCTCCTGGTAACCCGCGCCTGTAGGTAGGCTCGTGGTAACCCGCACCTGCAGGTAGGCTCAGCCCGGCTTGCTGTGGTCCGAGGTGGTCTGGCGACGGTGGAGTACCTCTACAGCTTGGTTGGCAACTCCTTCTATTTCCTTGAAGTCAACCCGCGCCTCCAGGTATTCTCGGCCTGGCCTGGGTGGGTATCTAATGGCTGAAGCTAGGGGAAGATCGTTTCTAGAGGCTCCCTACTCATATCCATAACCCTGTCATAACCCCGCCTAAACCCCTCCTGCACCCTTCATAACCCCTAAATAACCCCCTTCCCTTTGCCTTTCTTGATTGGAACGTCCAATGACCCCTATCTCATCCTTCCAGCAGCACATCTCTTCCTTGTCATGGCTGCTATCTCGTCCACTCCACACAAGTGTGCTGCTCTTTGAATCTCAATTTCCATCTTCTCCCCCCGTCCCCCCAGGTGGAGCATCCAGTGACGGAGTGGATAGCCGGGGTGAACCTGCCAGCAACGCAGCTCTCCATCGCCATGGGCATCCCGCTCTTCCGCCTTCCCGAGATCCACCGCTTCTACGGACAGGGTGGCGGCGGCTCCAGCGACTGGCGCAGCTGCGCGGATCTAGACTCGTTCAATTTCGATGATGTGACCACCACCAAGCCTAAAGGGCATGTGGTGGCGGTGAGGGTGACGAGTGAGGACCCGGAGAACGGATTCAAGCCCACGAGTGGACGCGTGCAGGAGCTGAGCTTCAGGAGCAAGCCGGATGTGTGGGCGTACTTTTCGATCAAGGCCGGCGGGCAGATTCACGAGTTCTCCGACTCGCAGTTCGGTGAGTCACAGGGTGGTTGAAGCTGGGGTTACGACAGAGTGAAAGGGTGACGCAGCCAACAGAGGCCTGGCACTCGAACCGTTCCGTTTCCCTCGCATCTCGCTCGCCCTCTCGCCTGCTACGTCTCAGCCTGAACCCGGAGGTCACCTGTTAGCGTCTTGGCCGGACTAGGCTGGCTGCCATGGCCTGGATGGACCTGGATCTTCAACCTCGCGTTATTTTTTTATTCCCTCCCTCCCGTCTCGCCCTCCCCGCTTTCCTGCCACAACTCCACCCATACACGCAGGTCACCTGTTTGCGTTCGGGCAGGACCGACCAGCAGCCATAGCCAACATGGTGCTGGCGCTCAAGTCGGTGCAGATCCGAGGAGAGATACACACCAACGTTGACTACACCGCCGACCTGCTCCAGGTATGTTGTTCTGAGTAGAGAAGGCTAACTTGCTACATCTGCTTGTTGGAGGTGACTGTTGAGTCACCTGAGCTCAAGTCGGTGTGGATCCGAGGGGAGATACACACCAACGTTGACTACACCGCCGACCTGCTCCAGGTGCTACTCTCGTCCGCTCCTTCACCCTTTCCTTCACTCGCTTTCCGCTATTCGCTCACTCGCCCCACGACTCTGAACTTCGAACCTTGAACCTGGAATCGCGAATCCCAAACCCTCAAACCTGAACCCCGAATTCCAAACCCGTGACTTCGAATCTCAATTCCAGAACATCAAACCCTGCCAATGTCACGGCTGATGGCTCGCCAAGTCTCTGCACTGCCGTCCGACTGCAGAGGGAATAAGAGCAGTGTGATTCACACAGGCTGGCTGAACTCCCAAAGCCCAGCCTTCCACTCCAGCTCGCCATCCTTGTGCTTGTGGTGCCTCGCGATTTACCCTTGATTTACCGGTTGTTGGTTACTTTGTATTCCTCTCGTGTATCTGGCAGGACAAGAGTACAAAAGCAACACATTCACACACGCTGGCTGGCTGGACTCCCAAAGCACAGTCTTTCCCTCCAGCTCATCCATCTTCTGCTTCCTGTACCCCACGATCCACCCCTGTGCTTGCTGCAACTCTTTGTGGTCCCGTGTGTGTGTGTCTGGCAGGACAAGGAGTACAAGAACAACGTGATTCACACAGGCTGGCTGGACTCGCGCATTGCCATGCGCATCAAGACGCAGCGCCCCCCCTGGCACATCTGCGTCATTGCTGGCGGCCTCTTCGTGAGTACCCCCCATTTGAAATCCCCACCCGCCCCTTTTTGTCGCCCCCTCACCGTTTCCGCCCATTTTTCTGCACCTGGCACCCTGAGAATCACTCCGGATTCTGCAACGTGACGTCTAAGCACTCACTGTTGCGTCCCTTGCTCCCAACCCGTGTCCTGCATGAGCAGATGGCGTCCCGCACTGCAGCTGCCCGCGTGTCTGAGTACATGGGGTACCTCGAGAAGGGCCAGATCCCCCCTGTGGTGAGCCTTGGGTCTTGAGCAGGATTAGCGATATGAGGTTAGCTGCACACACGCAGGCACATGCAGAGCCTAGGCACGTCTGTGTCCCCGCACAAAGCCGTGTGATTTCTGGTGTGGTTTCTGGGTTGTATCACTGGAATCTTATCATGCCAGACTGAGACCTCTTGTGTGGGTTTTGCCACTCTTCCCCATCTTTGGGCTGAACCGACACTCACAGAATCAATTTCCCCTCATTTTTTTCCATCTCTGTGCCTGGTGGGTTGGGTGGTTGGTTGGTTGGTTGCAGAGCATCTCACTGGTACACTTCAACCTGGTTCTCAACATTGATAACGTCAAGTACATGGTGAGCTCTCTTCCCAGCAACATACACTCTTCCCTCCACCCATACTCTTACATGGTGAGGCCTCTCAGCATCAACCTGGTGCAGAGCAGAGCATCTCACTGGTACACTTCAACCTGGTGCTCAACATTGATAACGTCAAGTACATGGTGAGCGCACTACATGGTGTGTCTCGTCTCCCTTACTATCTCAATTGTGCCTCTTCCTGTTGTTGCAATCACCGCTTCCTGTTGTTGCAATTAATTAACCAGCACCCCACACCGCCCCTCGCCCCTTGCTCCGCCCTCACCAGCTTGCGCTCAGCAGGCAGGGCCCTGGCAGTTACAAGATCCGCATGAACCAGCAGGAGGTGCTGGCGGAGGTGCACACGCTCAGAGATGGTGGTCTGCTGTGCCAGGTAAGCTTCACCCAGGTGAGCTTCCGAAACGTTCGTTTCTTAGCAGAGGTGTACACACTCAAGACAGAGCAGACTCTAAGCCACCTCCCACTTCTCCCCCCCCCACTCCGTTTCCAGTTGGACGGCAACAGTTACATTGTGTACGCAGAGGAAGAGGCTGCGGGAACCCGCCTGCTCATTGGGGGCCGTCCGTGCCTGCTCCAGGTGAGAATTCATCACGAAGGTCACCTGTGCTTTTTCCTGGTAGAGGCTTGCTGACCCGGTGAGTTTCTCTGAATGGGTGTTTGCGTGGGTTTGCCCTGTTATGATTATCGGGACTTGGGATGTGTGAAGCTTCCCGTTCCCTTGTTCCTCCAAATTTCATCCCACTCCCTCATTCCCGCTCACTTCCTGTTCTTTCCTCACAACCATTCTCAACCACTCCAGAACGAGCACGACCCGTCCAAGCTGGTGGCCGAAACCCCGTGCAAGCTGATGCGTCAACTGGTAGAAGAAGGGGGCCACCTGAACATGGACGAGCTATACGCAGAGGTGGAGGTCTATTCACTTGTAACCCCCCGTTTCTCTCTCTCTCTATCCTCTCCCAATCACTTCCAACCACTCCCAACCACCCCAGAACGAGCACGACCCGTCCAAGCTGGTGGCGGAGACGCCATGCAAGCTGATGCGGCAGTTGGTGGAGGAAGGGGGCCACCTGAACATGGATGAGCCATACGCGGAGGTGGAAGTCATGAAGATGTGCATGCCGCTGCTCGCCCCCGCCTCTGGCTGCATCCAGTGGCTCATCTCCGAGGGCCAGACCATGACCGCGGGAGATCTCATCGCGACCCTTGATTTGGACGATCTGACGGCCAGGAACGTCGTGCAGCAGTTCACGGGGGATTTCCCCGAGCTGGGCACGCCCACAGTGCAGCCGGATAAGGCCCACCACCGGTTTGCAGAGGCGCTCAAGAAGGCCGGGCTGATCCTGGCGGGATACGAGCACAACAGCGCAGAGGTGAGGCGCTGGGGGGAAGCCGGAAAATGAGGGAGGGGGGTGAGGGTGTTGCAATCAACAGGGTGTGGAGAGAGGGATGAACCCGGGTGGCTGCGCTGGCTGAGTTGGTACAGCATTGCGCCTCTGCCCTCATCCTTGTGAATGAGTCGATCCCGCACCTCTTTGCATTGCAAAATCATTCCTCTTAATCTGCCCTTTCCCTTGTCTGTCAACACATCCCCTCCTCGCAAGTGGTGGAGGAGCTGATTCACGGGATCAAGGACGAGTCAGTGCCGTGCCGCACCTCTATTCATGCATTGCTCCTCTCCTTCCACACTCTCCCTGCTCGTTGCATCACTCAATCATCCCCGCAGGTGGTGGAGGAGCTGATTCACGGGATCAAGGACGAGTCGGTGCCGGCGCTGCAGTGGCAGGAGATGGCGTCCGTGCTCGCCACGCGCCTCCCCAAGGAGCTCAAGGCCGAGGTGAGCTGTTTTTGTATGTGTGCATGTGTGGTGCTTGTGTGCGTATGTGGGTTTGTGTGCGAGACGGTCTCAAAAGGCGTCTGTTCACGCCACGTGCCTGCCCATGGAGCTCAAGGCCGAGGTGAGCTGCTCGTCGTGTGTGGGGGTGGAGAGAGGAGGGGGGAAGGCGGGAGCAGTCTTCTTAGAATAATTCGTAGTATGTCTAGTCTTCTTAGTTGTCTGTGGAATGGGAGTATGTCTGGGTGTGGTAGGTCGTCCTGAAGAAGGCTCGTGGCGGCACGGCTGATGCTATTGTGTGGCGCCATCTCTGACAGGCTATCAGAAACTGTCCCCCCACTTCCCCACACCCCTTCACTCTCCTCCCTCTCACTCCACACCACAACACCCCCCTCAAACCTCAGCTGGACGCGCTGCTGAAGGCGTCGGAATCAAGTCAAGGAACGTCCTCCCCGCGCCTGCTCTCCTTCCCCGCGCCCGAGTGCCTGCATGTGCTGCGCTCGTTCCTGGACCGCCTGCCTGCCAAGGACCGCATGGGGCAGCAGCAGCTCGTGGCGCCGCTGCTGCGAGTGGCTGAGTTGCATGCGGGTGGCAGGGAGCAGTTCGGGCTGACGGTGATCCAGGACCTGCTGAGCCAGTACCTGAGTGTGGAGAAGAACTTCTGTGAGACGCCGCAGGTGGGTTCCAGGACACGTTCAACGGAGTGACGGGGTCAGTGAGAGTGAGAGAGGGAGCGTGGGAGGGTAGCGCCGCTGCTGCACGTGGTGAGTTGCATGCAGGCGGCAGGGAGCAGTTTGGGCTGACGGTGATCCAGGACCTGCTTAGCCAGTACCTGAGCGTGGAAAAGAACTTCTGTGAGACGCCGCAGGTGGGTTGGAGGGGCCTTGGAGTGAGTGATGGAGTGTGGGAATGAGCTGCGCGTGGCTGAGCTGCATGCGGGTGGCAGGGAGCAGTTTGGGCTCACGGTGATCCAGGACCTGCTGAGCCAGTACCTGAGCGTGGAGAAGAACTTCTGTGAGACGCCACAGGTGAGTTGGAGGGGCCTGGGAGTGAGAGAGGGAGTGTGGGAATGAGCTGCGAGTGGCTGAGCTGCATGCGGGTGGCAGGGAGCAGTTTGGGCTCACGGTGATTCAGGACCTGCTGAGCCAGGACCTGCTGAGCCAGGACCTGCTGAGCCAGGACCTGCTGAGCCAGTACCTGAGCGTGGAAAAGAACTTCTGTGAGACGCCTCAGGTGGGTTGGAGGGAGTGAGGGAGTGTGTGAGAGAGTGAGTGAGTGACTTTTGATTCTGACTCAAAAGGCACCTGGACCGCCTGCCTGCCAAGGACCGGGGCAGCAGCAGCTCGTGGCGCAGCTGCTGCGAGTCGCTGAGTTGCATGCGGGCGGCAGGGAGCAGTTTGGGCTGACGGTGATCCAGGACCTGCTGAGTCAGTTGAGTGGGTGTGATAGGTGGCTGTGTCAGACGCACAAGGAAAGCATTGTCGAACCTACACTCTTCTCTTCCCTTCGACCCCTCCCCACTCCCCCACCCCACACCCCACACCCCACACCCCCCACCCCACACCCCCCACCCCACACCCCCCACCCCACACCCCCCACCCCACACCCCCCACCCCACACCCCCCACCCCACACCCCACACCCCACACCCCCCACCCCACACCCCCCACCCCCCACCCCACACCCCACACCCCACACCCCACACGCACGTGCATTCTCTCCCACAGGCGGATGTGATCGAGGGACTGCGCCAGACGCACAAGAAGGACCTGGCCAAGGTGGTGGACGTGGTGCTCTCTCACCAGGTGAGGGCTGCTCTCTGACCTGCTCTCTCACCTGCTGCTGCTGCTGCTGCTACTCTCCCTCCTTGAGGTGCCTCAAAAAGGGCCTGAGGCAGACGCACAAGAAGGACCTGGCCAAGGTGGTGGACGTGGTGCTCTCGCACCAGGTGAGATGTGTGCTATCTCTCCCACTGCTGCTGCTGCTGCTGCGCTTTCTCTTGCTGGAGCTGCTCTCTCTCCTGATGCTGCTCCTGCTGCTGCTGCTCTTTCTTGCTGCAGCTGCTCTCTCTCCTGATGCTGCCCCTGCTGCTGCTGCTCTTTCTTGTTGCAGCTGCTCTCTCTCCTGATGCTGCTCCTGCTGCTGCTGCTCTTTCTTGTTGCAGCTGCTCTCTCTCCTGATGCTGCTCCTGCTGCTGCTGCTCTTTCTTGCTGCAGCTGCTCTCTCTCCTGATGCTGCTCCTGCTGCTGCTGCTCTTTCTTGTTGCAGCTGCTCTCTCTCCTGATGCTGCTCCTGCTGCTGCTGCTCTTTCTTGCTGCAGCTGCTCTCTCTCCTGATGCTGCTCCTGCTGCTGCTGCTCTTTCTTGTTGCAGCTGCTCTCTCTCCTGATGCTGCTCCTGCTGCTGCTGCTGCCACTCTATGTCCTTGTCCGGACGGAATTCCCCCGACGCCTTTCGCCCCTCTCACCCCCCTCTGCCTGCAGGGAGTGGCGCGCAAGAACGAGCTGGTGGTGGCCATTCTGGACCGCATGGTGGCGCCCGACCAACATCACTATTCCCCCCAACTCCCCACGTCCTTCCCAACCCCACCCCCCCCCCTCCCCCGCCCCCACCCGCCCTCTTCCACGTGTGCAGGGAGTGGCGCGCAAGAACGATCTGGTGGTGGCCATTCTGGACCGCATGGTGGCACCCGACCAGCACTCTTCCCCTCAACTCCCCACACCCTCCCCACATCATCCCACCCTCTCCCCTCCTGCAGGGAGTGGCACGCAAGAACGAGCTGGTGGTGGCCATTCTGGACCGCATGGTGGCGCCCGACCAGCACTATTCCCCCCAACTCCCCCCATCCTCCCCACCCCCCACCACACCTCCCCACCTGTGCAGGGAGTGGCGCGCAAGAACGAGCTGGTGGTGGCCATTCTGGACCGCATGGTGGCGCCCAACCCCAGCAAGCACAAGGCGATGCTCAAAGAGCTCTCCTCGCTCTCCAACATCAAGCACTCCAAGGTACGCCCACAGGAGACGCATTTCTCCCCCATTCAAAGGTGATCAGTCTCAACTCAACTAGTCTTGTTCCAACCCCAGCAAGCACAAGGCGATATGCACGCCTCTCTCTTTCTTCTCCTCTCCTCCTCCCTCCCTGCGTCTATCTCTCCCCCTCTCTGCTCCGCCTCTCTGCTCCTTCTCCTCTTCCTTCTCATCTTGATGCGCTGCCTCCCCTCTCCCCCTCCTCCTCCCCCTCCCTACCCCCCCGCTCAGGCCCTGGTGAAGGCGAAGCTCCTCCTGCAGCAGATCCTCACGCTGTCCCCTTCTGAGTCACTCTTGGGTTTCTCAAAGCATAACGCCCATCTGCCTCCCGTCCTCCCACTCAGGTGCTGGTGAAAGCCAAGCTCCTCCTGGAGCAGGTGCAGCTGACAGAGCTGCAAGCCGGCGTGGTGCACAACCTCTCCAACCTCGATATCTCCGAGGGCGCCCTCTCTGCCAACAGCAGCAAAGCCGAGTTCTCCTCCACAGCATCCGGAGCAGCAGGAGTAGCAGGGGGGGGAGGAGTAGCAGGAGGAGACGCAGGGGATGTGTTGACTCCGAGATCGCTGGACCCGAAGGCAGTGAAAGAGTCTCTCGATGCACGCATGGAGCGGCTTGTAGATGCTCCCGTGGCCATCGACGACGCGCTCACCTCCCTCTTTGACTACATGGACTCGGGCGTGCAGTCCCGCGCAGTCGAGACGTACATTCGGCGGCTGTACCAGCCGTATATTGTGAAGGACTCGGTCACGGTGGTTGCCGGGAACAACAAGTCGGTGGTGGCTTCCTGGGAGTTTTGGGAGGAGGGGCCGCCGCCGTCGATTGAAGAGCTCGAGGAGGGCCCCGATAGCCCCACGTTCAAGGCGAAGTCGACGGGGGGTGTGAAGCGGTGGGGAGTGATGGTGGTGGCGTCGACGCTCCAGGAGGTGAAGGACTTGTTGCGCCCTGTGATCTCGCAGCCGGACGGGTGGTTGCTGAGTGCGGTGGATGGGAAGCAGACGAGAGTGGCTGCGGCCAGGAAGGGCAGTGCGGAGGATCTGCCTTTTGGGGGGATGAAGCGGATTCGGACGTTTTTGGGGATCCCGTTCGGTGCTGGGAATGTGGCTCATGTGGCTCTGCTGCCGAAACTCGACAGCCTGTAAGCGCCATTGTTCTACGTGACCTGTTTTTTTTGTCAACCCTGGCGGCACTATAGTCTGGCTTGAGCAATTATGCGCCCGTGTATGGCTTTCTCCCGTTTGCCTTTGCTTGTCCTTTAGCTGTGCTCCTCCCGTTTGCCATTGCTTTCTTTCCCCCACAGAGCGGACAGCCCGTCCACCTTCGGCATGGAGGACCGCATCCACACGCGCTTCCCCTTCCCCTTCCCCGTCCCCCCTCCCTTACAGAGCGGACAGCCCGTCCACTTTCCGCATGGAGGACCGAATCCACACGCTGCGGCGGTCCCTCCTGGATGCCGACGCGGCCTCCACACTGCACGGCGCGGGCGTGACGGCCGTGAGCTGCATGGTGGTGCAGCACGGGCAGGGCCGCGTGCCGCTCCGGCACTGCTTCCACTGGAGCGAGGAGCGGGAGACTTTTGAGGAGTGGCCGCTCATGCGCCACGTGGAGCCTCCTCTCTCCGACCTGCTGGAACTGGTTCGTAGCTTCCTGGGGCTGTTTGTGCTGTGTGCTGTGGTGTCTTGGGTCGTGGCGTGTGTTGTTGAGATTGGGAGAGGCTGAGGAGGGCGAGTGACAGCAGTGAGCTGCATGGTGGTGCAGCACGGGCAGGGCCGTGCGCCGCTCCGGCACTGCTTCCACTGGAGCGAGGAGCGGGAGACGTTTGAGGAGTGGCCGCTCATGCGCCACGTGGAGCCTCCGCTCTCTGACCTGCTGGAACTGGTTCGTGTCGCGGTTGTGTTCTGTGGTGTATGGGGTCGTGGGCGGGCCTGGTTGAAACCTTAGTAAACTGTCATTCGTAGTCACTCTCACCCTGCTCGCTCGGCCCCTCATCCCCTCTTTCCCCCTTTCTCCACCGCACCCCCCCACCCCAAAACAGCAAAAGCTGATGAGTTTTGGCGAGATGCAGTACAAGCGGTCGCGCAACCGCCACTGGCACATCTACTCCACCACCGAGAAGCCCTCCGGCATCCGCCGCCTCTTCCTGCGCTCCGTCGTGCGCCTCCCCAAATCCGCCACCGGCGGAGGAGGCGACTCCAGCCCCCCCGGCGGCAGCAGCGGCGGGAGCAGCTGGATTGGTGGGGGTGGTGGGGGTGCGGATGGTGTGGGTAGCGGGGCGGAGGTGACGCGTGAGCCGTCGTTTTCGGACTCGCTGGTGAGCGAATGTACGGTTCAGATCGAGGTGGCGGCGCGGACGCTGGCGGCGGCGATCCAGGAGGCGTTGGATGAGCCGGAGCTGGAGACGACGCTCAAGGCGGACCATGCCCACATCTTCATGGCCCTGCTGGGGTCACTGTCGTTTGAGATGAGCCCTCGCGCCTCAGGGTGAGTCCCAGTGATAGAGTCCTCACGGTCAGAGTGAGTGAGTCCCAGTGGGAGTGCATGCTGTGTGGATTGGGTCGCCTGGCAGATGCCAAGGGTGATGTGCCATGCCTTGCATTCATAGCTTCGCTTTATCCCTTCCCTGATCCACCTTTTCTCGCTGCAGCTTCAACCTAGCGGAGGTGGAGCGCATGCTGTGCGGCCTGGGCCGCCTGGCGGACGCCAAGGTGGATCATGCAATTCCTTCAACTCTCCCCCCTTCCCCCGTCTCCCTTGCTCCAGCTTCAACCTGGCGGAGGTGGAGCGCATGCTGTGCGGCCTGGGCCGCCTGGCAGACGCCAAGGTCGCCCCTCGCATGCGCTGATTATGATTCTCCCCCACCCCCCCCAACCCTTCCTTCCCTCACACACCAAGGGTGATGTGCCATGCCTTGTACCCATACCTTCTCGTTATCCCTTCCCTGATCCACCTTTTCTCGCTCCACCTTCAACCTGACAGAGGTGGAGCGCATGCTGTGCGGACTGGGTCGCCTGGCGGAAGCCAAGGTTGATCCAACTCTTTCCCTCCTCATCCCGCTGTCTCCCCCCTCCCTGCTGACCTCCCCCCACCAGCGTCAACCTAGCGGAGGTGGAGCGCATGCTGTGCGGGCTGGGCCGCCTGGCGGACGCCAAGGTGGTTGCTCTTCTCACGTATCACCCCTATCCCCTATCTCGCCAACCTCCCCCACCTCTTCCTCTTACCCACTCCAGCTTCAACCTGGCGGAGGTGGAGCGCATGTTGTGCGGCCTGGGCCGCCTGTTTGACGCCAATGTCGCCCCGCGCATGCGGTCGCTTCAACTCTTTCCATCCTCTTCCCACTGTCTCCCCTCTCCATCCCCCCTCCCTCCCCCACCAGCTTCAACCTGGCGGAGGTGGAGCGCATGTTGTGCGGCCTGGGCCGCCTGTTTGACGCCAATGTCGCCCCGCGCATGCGCTCGCTTCAACTCTTTCCATCCTCTTCCCACTGTCTCCCCTCTCCATCCCCCCTCCTTCCCCCACCAGCTTCAACCTGGCGGAGGTGGAGCGCATGCTGTGCGGGTTGGGCCGCCTGGCGGACGCCAAGGTCGCCCCGCGCATGCGCTCGCTGGCGCTGTGCATGTGGGAGGCGCGTGTGAAGGTCAAGGGCGTGGGCGTGGGCTCCGGCGCCTGGCGTCTCGTGGCAGAGAACCCCAGCGGCCATGCCTGCCTCGTCCAGGTGAGAGGCTTGCCTTGAGTCTGCTCTTGAGGCGCCTTGAGAGACTCGCTGGCGCTGTGCATGTGGGAGGCAAGGGTGAAGGTGAAGGGCGTGGGCGTGGGCTCCGGCGCCTGGCGTCTGGTGGCAGAGAACCCCAGCGGCCACGCCTGCCTTGTCCAGGTGAGAGGCTTGCTTTGAGCCTGCTCTTGAGGCGCCTTGAGAGACTCGCTGGCGCTGTGCATGTGGGAGGCAAGGGTGAAGGTGAAGGGCGTGGGCGTGGGCTCTGGCGCCTGGCGTCTCGTGGCAGAGAACCCTAGCGGCCATGCCTGCCTTGTCCAGGTGAGAGGCTTGCTTTGAGCCTGCTCTTGAGGCGCCTTGAGAGACTCGCTGGCGCCGTGCATGTGGGAGGCGCGTGTGAAGGTCAAGGGCGTGGGCGTGGGCTCTGGCGCCTGGCGCCTTGTGGCTGAAAACCCCAGCGGTCATGCATGCCTTGTCCAGGTGAGAGGCATTCTTAGGAAAAGGAACTCCTAGTCTGAGTGGGAATGCGGAATGGAGTTGCTGGCGCCGTGCATGTGGGAGGTGCGTGTGAAGGTGAAGGGCGTGGGCGTGGGCTCTGGCGCCTGGCGTCTCGTGGCAGAGAACCCTAGCGGCCACGCCTGCCTTGTCCAGGTGAGAGGCTTGCCTTGAGCCTGCTCTTGAGGCGCCTTGAGAGACTCGCTGGCGCTGTGCATGTGGGAGGCGCGTGTGAAGGTGAAGGGCGTGGGCGTGGGCTCTGGCGCCTGGCGCCTTGTGGCTGAAAACCCCAGCGGCCACGCTTGTCTCCTCCCCTATCCTCTTACCCCCCTTTCCTGTAACTCCCTGATCCCTGTCATTCCCCTAATCCCTGAGCTCCCCCCTAATCCCTGGCATTCCCCCTATTCCCCACCCTTACCCCTATTCCCTGCCCTTCCTTCTAATCTCTACCCTTCCTCATAATCTCTGCCTTTCTCTCGCTGGCTCTGTTTGTCCTTCCCCGCACACACACCAGGCATACATGGAAGCCGACGATGCGGCTGGCAAGAACTTTGTGTACTTCTCCTCGCCGCCCAAGCTGCCGCGCACCGACATGCCGTCGTGGCCCGACAATGCGCTCATCCTCCCGCCCGCCGCGCTCCCCGCCCTTCCCCTTGATCCCTGCCCCCAATTTTTCGGCCTAAACCCTGCCTTTACCTTGCTGGCTCTGTCTGTCCTTCCCCGCACACACACACACATCAGGCCTACATGGAAGCTGACGACGCAGCCGGCAAGAACTTTGTGTACTTCTCCTCGCCGCCCAAGCTGCCGCACACCGACATGCCCTCGTGGCCCGACAACGCACTCATCCTCCCGCCACATCCCCCTATGCCTGTTCATCCTCCGCCCTTCACCCTAATCCCGCCCTTCCCCCGAATCCCCCCCTTTCCCCCTGAATCCTGCCTTTCTCTGGCTGGCTCTGTTTGTCTGTCCCGGCACGCACACACCAGGCATACATGGAAGCTGACGACGCAGCCGGCAAGAACTTTGTCTACTTCTCCTCGCCGCCCAAGCTGCCGCGCACTGACATGCCGTCGTGGCCCGACAACGCACTCATCCTCCCGCCCGCAGCCCTCCCCGTGCGCGTCACCTCCTCGCTGCTGCCCATGCCGTCCCCCTCCGCCCCCCCCGGGGGTGGCGGCACCACGATGACGCTCAAGGGCATGGGTCCGCTGCATGGCACGCCGCTGTCTGCGCCGTATGGTCCGCTCAGCTCCATTGATAAGAGGCGGCTCGCGGCTAGGAAGGCTGGGACCACCTTCTGCTATGACTTCCTCTCGGTAAGTGGGTGTTGTGATAGTGGTGGTGGTGGTAATGGATGGTAGTGCTGGTGGTTAAGGCTCTTTAAAAAGGTTCCCCCTCCGGCCCCCCGGGGGGTGGCGGCACCACGATGACGCTCAAGGGCATGGGCCCGCTGCATGGCACGCCGCTGTCGGCGCCCTACGGCCCGTTGAGCTCCATTGATAAGAGGAGGCTCGCGGCCAGGAAGGCTGGCACTACTTTCTGCTATGACCTCCTCTCCGTGAGTGGCGCTTGGGGTTGTGGTGGTGGTGATGGTGGTAATGATGATGATAATCAATTATTCTCACCCTCCACTGATCTCATCATCATCAATCTCGGTAGCTCCTTTGCCTCCCCTCCCCTTGATATCTCCTCCCCTTGCCTCCTCTCCCCTTGACCTCCCCTCCTCGTCCTCTTCGCCATCCATCGCCCTCTCCCGGTGCTCCCTCCAGGGTGATCTCTCCAGAGTCCAGATCTTCAAGGAGGTTTTGAATCAGATCTGGGCAGCAGAGTGGCTCCAACAAAAACTGACAATGAACGAGTGATGCTTTCATTCTAAAGCCGTCTTATTACCTCCCCTTTGCCCCTCATCTGCTCCCCTCCAGATCTTCGAGGAGGCCCTGAAGCAGATCTGGGCGGCAGCAGAGGCCAAGGGCACGCACACGGCGCCGCCCGCCCCGCACCTCACCTACAAGGAGCTCATCTTCGCCGACCCAAACATCGCATGGGACGCAAAGCTACAGGAAACGGGCCGCCCGGCGGGCCTGAACAGCATAGCCATGGTCGGCTGGCGGCTCACCCTCCGCACACCCGAATTCCCAGACGGCCGCACGGTCTACATCGTGGCGAACGATGTTACCAGAGGTGCTGGGGCCTTTGGTCTGCATGAGGACATGCTATTCAATGCGATCACTCTAAAGGCGATCAATGAGAAAGCGCCGCTGCTGTATCTCGCTGCGAACTCCGGTGCGAGGATCGGGATCGCGGAGGAGGTGAAGCGGTGCCTGCACGCCGCGTGGCTCGACGAGAAAAACCCGGAGCGAGGGTTCCATTATCTGTACCTCACTCCGGAGGACTATACCCGCGTGCGGTCGTCTGTCGTGGCGCATGAGGTGGTTATGGAGCCGTCAGGGGAGCGGCGGTGGGTGCTGACGGATATCATTGGGGCGGAGGAAGGGCTGGGAGTGGAGAATCTGTCCGGGAGCGGCGCGATCGCGAGCGTGTTCTCACGCGCTTTCCACGAGACGTTCACGCTGACGTTTGTCACGGGGAGAACGGTGGGGATCGGAGCGTACCTGGCGCGGCTGGGCAGCCGGGTGATTCAGAGGCAGGACCAGCCGATCATCCTCACAGGGTTCTCCGCTCTGAATAAGCTGCTCGGGAGGGACGTGTACTCGTCGCACATGCAGCTGGGTGGGCCGAAGGTCATGGCTGTGAACGGCGTGGTTCACAACACGGTCGCGAACGATCTCGATGGGGTTCTGGCGATTCTCCGCTGGCTCTCGTACGTCCCTGCGGCCGTCAACCGCCCGCTGCCGATCGTCTCGAAGCCGCTCGATCCGCCGTCGCGCAAGGTGGAGTACAACCCCACTACCTCCTGCGATCCCCGCGCTGCTGTGGCTGGGATCCAGTCCGGGACCCGCTTCCTCCGGGGGATCTTCGACGAGGGAAGCTTCATGGAAATGCTGGACGGGTGGGCGAAGACTGTGGTGGTGGGGCGGGCGCGATTGGGCGGCATTCCTGTCGGGGTAATTGCGGTGGAGACTCAGACAGTGTTTCAGAACATTCCGGCGGACCCCGGGCAGCCGGATTCGCACGAGCGGGTGCTGCCGCAGGCCGGGCAGGTGTGGTATCCGGATTCGGCTGCCAAAACGGCCCAGGCGCTGCTAGACCTGCGTTTGGAGGGGCTGCCACTGTTTATTCTTGCCAACTGGCGCGGGTTCTCAGGAGGGCAGAGGGATCTGTTCGAAGGGGTGCTTCAAGCGGGGTCGCTTATAGTGGAGCATTTGCGGACGTACGACCAGCCGGTGTTTGTTTATATCCCGAGGAAGGGAGAGCTGCGGGGCGGCGCGTGGGTCGTTGTGGACCATCGGATCAACCCGCACATGGTGGAGATGTACGCTGAGGATTCTGCGAGGGGAGCCGTGCTGGAGCCGGAAGGAGTGGTGGAGATTAAGTTCAGGCGGAGGGAGCTTATAGATGCGATGCACAGACTAGACCCGGAGATCATAGACTTGGATAAGGCGCTACGGGCAGCGAAGCAGCTGCAGGCGCAGGGGAGCGACAACGGCTCAGTCACGGTAACCGAGGGTCTGATTGCGCAGAGGGAGAAGGCGCTTCTACCCGTGTATACCCAGATTGCAGTGCGGTTTGCAGAGCTGCATGATACCCCGAGGCGGATGGCGGCAAAGGGCGCGATCCGGGATATCGTCACTTGGGAGAACTCGAGGGCGTATTTCTACTCGAGATTGTGTCGGAAGGTCGCGGAGGACGGGATCGCGAGGCAGTTCATGTTGCAGGTGGATGGGCTTGGGAAGATTGACGCGATCGCGGAGGTGAAGCGGTGGTACCTGGACGAGCAGAGGGTGAAGCGGGGGGAGAGTGAGGCGCTGAGGACGAGCGAGGCGATAGATGAGGATGACTGGTCGGATGATAAGCAGTTTGTGGCGTGGGTGCAGGGCACGAGGAGGAATGCGGAGGGGTTCAGGAGGCGGGTGATGAGTCTGAGGGGAGGGAGGCTGGCGGCGGTGCTGACGAGGGAGAGGGACGCTGGGAGCATTGCGGACGGGCTGGCACAGGCTGTGTCGAGTGTGCTACAGGCGGTACGTGCCTTTACCTGGTTGACCTGTAGGTTGCATTCCATGCTTTTGTTGCTTTTTGTTGCCTTTTGTTTCCATTTGTTTCCCAGTCGTTCCCTAAGCCTTCCATCTCCGTTTTTGCCTGATTCATGCCTTTCCTGTTTGTTCCTGTTGTTCTTGGTATTTTTGTTCTTGCTTTTTGTGATACCTATCCTACCAGCTCCCTGCAAGTGCTCGCAAGGACGCTGCTGCCAAATTGGCCCAAGTGCTGGGCCAGCAGTGAGGCCCTCTCGGCCCTGGCCTGCCTTCTTGCTCCTGATCCGACTGGTGTTTATGCCAAGCGTTGGGGCAGCAACGAGGCCATCCATCCATGACAATGGATATGCCACCACCACCACAAACACCTTGCATCCAGTCGGATATGCCACCACAAACACCTTGTATCCAGTTGGGATTTTGCCACCACAGAGGCTTGCATGCATTGAATGGGGACCGGGGTCTGTCTGTCAGCAATAGCGCCGTGCTATTGCCATAAGAGGAGGCAGTTTATCGCCTTCCTGCTCCCCCCCCCCTCTCTTCCCACCCCTCCACTCCCTCCCTTCCCTTCCCGAATATTATTTTGATGCACTTGTACAAACCCGGATATGAGAATGGGCACTGATCACTGGTGTACTGCCTCGTGCACAGCTGTGGCGAGACAAGTCATACTGAGGGAACAATGATATTATTTTTTTAGCACTTGTGGGTTGTGTTTTCTCCTCGTCTGTATGTTGGGTGGCTGAGTCACAGTTGATAGCAAATACAGAGATACTAGATATCGTTTTTGCATTTAATGTGCATAGCAATACAGTAGTTTGTAACATTTTTATCAACTGAACTCCACTTCATGCACCTCAGAAAAGGTAACAACTGTACATGAAGTGAAAAGCCAGGGCATCCGCTTGCGCTTTCATCAATAGCTCAGCTCAGCAGCAGCAACCAGGCAACCCTGCCCAGTACCACCAAAGAGCAGCAACGACCACGCACACAGTATTGGGACAAAGAGCAGCTGAGTCTCACAGGCCAGCACAGCCAGCAATCCTGCTCGGGCCTTGTAAGGCATGACCCATAGGGGACTGTTTCGCCATTCAATTAGGTACAATCAAAATGTGTGTAACCCGCGTGGAGAATGCGTTGTTTTACAGAATGATGGGCAATACAGAATGATGGGCAACTTGCTCGATAAAAACAGACAAAAATATGCATCAAACAAAAATGTTACAACAAAGGATGATACAACAAAGCGTTCTCTCCAGGCACTCACACGAAACAGGGCTTGAAAGTATCTAACAGAAACCGAAGGGGTCCTAATAGCTCTTTCACTTCTTTCCTCCCTTGCCACCCTTCCCCCCCTTTCCACCCTTTCCGCCCTTGCCGCCCTTCCCTCCCTTTCCACCCTTGGCACCTGTTGTATTGATCGCACTGCCTTTCACACTCTGAGTAGTGGCGACGCTCGAACTGCCTGCTCCACCCTGCTCCCCGCCAGCACCCCCTTGATCCCCGCCATCTGTCAAAAGTAGTAGGAGTACGGCCTAGGCTTAGTAGCCTAGGCCACAGTAGGACTAGTAACGAGGAGCCAAGTACGAGCTAGGATTGTGTGCAGGAGCAGAATTGAGAAGGAATGATGATTGAACTAGTAAGCAGCAGGATACAAATAGCAAACCCTAAGGGGCTGTACTCACTATAGAGTACCCCACTGCAGGCTACACAAACAACATATTCTGACACACCCCCATAGCCAAAGTGGGGTGTAATCAGCACAATGAGCAGTCATAGCAATAGTTCATAATTATCAGCAAAGCTAGAGGCTATCATAGAGGGCAAGTGAGGAGGAGGAGGGACTATGAAAGGAGAGAAGATGGGAGGCGACGACTGAAGCTGCAGACACACGGGCAACAGAAGCGGCTGACACAGTGGCGGCTGACACAGTGGCTACCGAGACAGAGCGCCCCGGAATACTGGAGTAACTGGCTCTGCGGCTACGACGAGCGGCAGAAGCAACGGACCCACGGGCGACTGGTGCAGCAGGCTCTCAGTGGCTACCGAGACAGTGCGTCCCGGAATACAGGAGTAACAGGCTCTGCGGCTGCGACGAGCGGCAGGAGCAACGGACCCACGGGCAACAGGTGCAGCAGGCTCTCTGAGCTACCAGGACAGTGCGCCCCGGACTACAGGTGCTGCGGACGACAAGACAGCAGCCTCCACTCAACCTCCCCCAACAGTCCCACACCCCTCTCACACACCCCCTGTTTCACCCCTAGCTCCATTCCCACATCACCCCCCTAGTGCCACTCCCCACGACTCCCACACCTCCACCCCCCTCAGCGGCAGCTGCAGCAGTGGGAGACGAAAAAGGAGGAGGGGAGAACCCACACCTCTCACCCCCATGCTCGCCACCCCACACCCCAACCACCACGGAACGCACGGTGGAATGGGAGCAATGGGCAGCACGGGGGGGGGGGGGGGGGGGGACGGGACGAGCTTCTGCAGGGGCGGCTGCTGCAGGTGCGGGCTGCTCCAGGGGCGGCTGCTGCAGGTGCGGGCTGCTCCAGGGGCGGCTGCTGCAGGTGTGGGCTGCTCCAGGAGCGGCTGCTGCAGGTGCGGGCTGCTCTAGGGGCGGCTGCTGCACTGGCGGGCGGCTCCAGGGGCGGCTGCTGCAGGTGCGGGCGGCTCCAGGGGCTGCTGCTGCAGTGGCGGGCGGCTCCAGGGGCGGCCGCGGGGGGGGAAAACGCACGGCCCCCAGGGCGCCCCGAGGGGCGACGAGAAGGGAGCCGCGCGGCCCCCCCCGGGGCGCCGCGACGGGCACCAGGGAGGGCGCCGCGACGGGCCCCCAGAGCCACCTCGACGGGCGACGGGGAGGGCGCCGCGCGGGCCCCCCGAAGTCGCCTCGACGGGCGACGGGGAGGGCCGCGCACGGCCCCCGAAGTCGCCACGACGGGCGACGGGGAGGGCGCCGCGCACGGCCCCCGAAGTCGCCTCGACGGGCGACGGGAGGGGACCGCGCGCGGCCCCCGTGGTCGCCACGACGGGCGACTGGTGGGGAGGCCGCGCGGGCCCCCAAGGTCGCCTCGACGGGCGACGGGAGGGGAGGCCGCGCGGGTCCCCGAGGTCGCCTCGACGGGCGACAGGGGGGGAGGCCGCGCGGGTCCCCGAGAGCGCCTCGACGGGCGCTTCGACGGGAGGGGACCGCGGAGGCCCCCCCAAGGGCACCACGACGGGCGCCACGGAAGGGAAAACCGCCAGGCGCCCCGAGCGCGCGGCGGGCAGAAATTAGGGTTTCGCCGCCGCGCACCACGGGGCGCGCGGCGGACAGTACGGCAGCGGAAGCGGGTGGTGGGCCCATACACAGGAAGGCGGCAGACATGCCGCCCTCTGATACCATGTCAAAAGTAGTAGGAGTACGGCCTAGGCTTAGTAGCCTAGGCCACAGTAGGACTAGTAACGAGGAGCCAAGTACGAGCTAGGATTGTGTGCAGGAGCAGAATTGAGAAGGAATGATGATTGAACTAGTAAGCAGCAGGATACAAATAGCAAACCCTAAGGGGCTGTACTCACTATAGAGTACCCCACTGCAGGCTACACAAACAACATATTCTGACACCATCTCCCCCAAGCTGTCCGCCCTGCTGTCCACCGGATCCGCCTTGCTCTCCGCCCTGAGGCGGTCCGCCCTGTCCGCCCTGCTGTCCGCCCTGCTGTCCGCCCTGCTGCGGCGGTCCGCCCTGTCCGCCCTGTTGTCCACTTTGCTGTCCGCCCTGCTGGCCGCCCTGCTGGCCGCCCTGCTGCGGCGGTCCGCCCTGTCCGCCCTGCTGTCCGCTCTGCTGTCCGCCCTGCTGCGGCGGTCCGCTCTGTCCGCCCTGCTGGCCGCCCTGCTGCGGCGGTCCGCCCTGTCCGCCCTGCTGGCCGCCCTGCTGCGGCGGTCCGCCCTTTCCGCCCTGCTGTCCGCCAGGTCCGCTCTGCTGTCCGCCGGGCTGTCCGCCCTGCTGTCCGCGGGTCCGCCCTGCTGTCCGCCGGGTCCGCCCTGCTGGCCCCCGGGTCCGCCCTGCTGTCCGCCGGGTCCGCCCTGCTGGCCCCCGGGTCCGCCCTGCTCTCTGCCGGGTCCGCCCTGCTCTCCGCCGGGTCCGCCCTGCTGTCCGCCATTGCCGCCGCTCAGGTTATGAAATCCTGAAATCCTGACACACTTCTCTGATTTTCAAACTAATTGAAAAAACGTAAGTGTTATGAAATCAACTGTTCTTACGTAACTGATATTCTGGCGCTCTTTCCGCAAACTGTTTGTACTTCATTCTATCGTGCAGCCGGGGCAAACAAATCTATACTCCTTGCGAGAAGGCATTTATAGTTCTTTTTTTAATGAAACATGTAATTCTAAAGAGGTGTATTTTTCCCACATGCAAAATTTCTCCAGCGTTGCAGTAATTACAAAAAGTAAAAGCCCCGAGGTTCTTTCGGGGGATGTTTTTTTATAATTTTGCAAGTTCGCAATCATGCTATCAAAAATATGATTTTAACCGTTTTTGTACGAGCTACATAAATATTTAAAACGGCCCTGAAACATTTCGGTCCGTGGTAATAGAACAAACGGGGTCCTTCAAAGTCGCGGCGGGACTTGTTCAAGAAAGATAAAAACAGTGCGTAAAAGCTTTCAAATTCGATAAATTCCTCGTTGTCAGGATCATTTCGGCGGGAGTTTCATGTAGTTACCATTCGCGTGATGGGCTGCTAGTGTATAGTTACCATACGCGTTAAGCGAGTTACCAAACGTGTTAAGCGAGTTACCAAACGCGTTAAGCGAGTTACCAAACGCGTTGAAATCGTTTCCGTACGCGTTATAGTGCCCCATGTAAGTTACCATTGACATATTTTCCCTTATACTAATGTGGTGGTGGGGAGGGGACGCGGCTCGAAAGCGTTTTCGCCTTGGGGGTGTGAATGGATGCGATTACTTTTGGCGGGCCATTTTTTTTCCCGCCAGGTCAAATCCGCAACTTGTGCCTCTGGCTCAGGTCGCGCAGCCGCAATTCACGACAGGGAGATTCAACAATGTCCTTTCGCGAGGTGTTACAATCCCAACCTGCGACGCCAAAATGACTCGCAAATGAGCTTCCGACTGTTCCACCGTGCTGCTTGGTCACGCCACAGGGCTCCACAGAACCTGCGCTATCGTTGAAGCTCGTTGACCGCTTCACCCATTGGAATCTGGGCACTGGGAAAGCGGTTGACGCGGCAGGCCCGTGAAATGCGCAAGTGCCACAGCATGCCATGAACGTGAAACGCGGATAACCCAACTATAAACGTGCACTCAAAATCTTGGAATCACATGTTACACTTGAAGCTGTTAACACCTAGAGATAATCTGAAGCTCTTAGTTTGTTCATGAAAATGCAGGTTCATTTGCTATGTTGTGTGTTACAGGTACCGGTAGTTGCATTTGTTTTATCCAAAGAGCCTATAGTGTAAAATTGACATCAAATTTCTCAGCAGCAATAGCCATGCAGCTACGCCGGGTAGCAAAACTTGCCCTCTCAGAAAAAAAATGGTAATGGAATAGCAGTTGATGAGGCAAGCAGCGAAACGCGCAAGTGAGTCATACCCGTCCATAAACCTGCACCTCCGGAATCGTATAACACGAATGTACCACCTCTTCCATGCGTAATATATTGTGTGTTACCGGAGACCTCACCACAAACATCACAAATCAAGTACAAAACCTAGACATGGAAGATCTTCACCACTTCTCGAATAGGAGCTCGGCACACAGGGCAACCCCAGCCCTTAGATTTAACCTCAGCAAGACACTCCACACACCCCGCTACATGCCCGCAAGGAGGTGACTTTTGAGTCGACTCAAAAGAAACCTAAACATGGAAGATCTTCACCACTTCTCGAATGGGAGCTCGGCAGACAGGTCAACCCCAACCCTTAGATCTAACCTCAGCTAGACACCCTACACACCCCGCCACGTGCCCGCAAGGCACACACACTGCCTGCACTGCTGAATCCCAGCAAATCACGCACTGACCCTCTCTAGATGCCTCTCCTGCTGCCCCTCCCGTTGCTGCTACTCCTGCTCCCACCCCTGCCTCTGCCCCTGCCTCGTATCCTGCTCCTGCTCCTGCTCCTGCGCCTGTCGCTGTACCTGCTGCCCTTCCTCTTGCTGCTCCGTGCCCTCGGCTCTGTGCCCTGGCGAGCTCTGCCCGCACCCTCTCAGGGTTGTAGCTCGGATGTAGCTCCGCTACAGATGCCGCACCTGGCGAAGGAAGCCCGGCAGATGAGCCGCCTACTGACGAAAACGACGCACCAGGGTAAGCTACAGATGCAGCAGCAGGGGATGGGACGTTGGAAGGTGTATGGGGATGGGAGTTGGGTGGTTGCACCTGAGGGTTCATGGAAACAGGTGGGTGCTGATGGGTGATAGGTGGTTGAACCTGGTGGGTGATAGGTGGCTGAGCCTGAGGGTGGATGGGAGGGTGTGGGTTTCGCCCGGGGCTGCTGGGAGGGGAGAAGTGGATGAGAGGAGGGTCGAAGAAAGAAGCACGGTGGCCCGTGGTTCGCTGCCATGCCGTCGCAGCTGCAGCGGCTGTTGCTGACGTGAGAGCCCCTGCTGCTGTTCCAATTGCCTCCGCAGCCTCTGCTGCTCTAGCATTGAAAGCTGGAGCTGCTCCTGCTGGTGCTGCTGGTGCTGCTGCTGGTGCTGCTGCTGCTGCTGCTGTTGCTGCTGAAGCTGGCTGGCCTGTCACGGCTGCTCCTGGCAAACTCCCTGCTCCCACTGATGCCCCTGCTGTGGAAGCAGGACCATCCACAGGGGGTGCTGATGGTGGGCCGGAAGCAAAGAGCGACGACACGGCTGCTGCTGCTCGGTTGAACGCCGGTGCCACAGATGAGAACTGATTCGCAATCTCGTCGTGCATTCTACCCCCTTCCACCCCTGCTGCAGCAGCAGTGCCAGCTGTACCGGCTGAGCCGGCCGCAGAGCCAGCAGCAGGACCAGCGGCAATGCCAGAAGAAGAGCCAGCGGCAGCAGAGGAAGAGGGGATGGGGGCAGCAGGTGGGGCAAAGGGGTGCTGGTCAGCAGAGGCTGAAACAGACCTCGAGGAGCGATGGGAAGCAGTGAATGCATCAGAGGCAGCAGCATCAACACCAGCAGCGGAAGAGGAAGATGAGGAGAGAGAGCGCCCGGATCTGGACTGAGGCTCGGAGGAGGAACGGGTGAGAATAAACCCGTCTGCTCCTTCCTCCCCTCTGCTCATGCCCTGAGCAGCCGCAGCAGCAGCGGTTCCCAAAGGACCAGGGGCATCGGCTCGAGCAGAGCTGGCAGTGCTGGCAGTGTGCATCGACTCAGAGAGCGCCAGCTGGAACGCCGTGTCCTCGTCCACGTCATCCTGCCACGCGTGCACGTTCACCACGCCCCTGGATTCAGATGATCCTGACGCCACCCCTCCTGCTCCCGCCGCTGCTCCTGAACAGCCCCCTTGCTGCTGTTGCTGCTGCTGCTGCTGCTGCTGCTGCTGCTGCTGCTGCTGCTGCTGCTGCTGCTGCTGCTGCTGCTGCTGCTGCTGCTGCTGCTGCTACTGCTGCTGCTGCTGCTGCTGCTGCTGCTGCTGCTACTGTTGCTGCTGCTTGTTAGAAACTAAGGACGGAGTCTAGGAAGCTTAGAGGCCGAAATATCACAAAATCGTTGGTCTCAATTTCTGGACAGAATCGTCGCGCTCACAAGAAACGCCGTCGACGAAAAACGCACCGTCAAAACTTCACCACTTTTTGATATGTTGTAGCTTTAGAGCGTTGCTACAATTCTCAATTTGAATCGTATCAAAAGGTGAAGTATTTCTCGACTTATCAATTTCGGCGCACAGGGGGGTATGCTGCCATAGGAACTTAACTCAATCACAAGAGTCTCAGAAGTTCACACAAGAAAAGTAAGAGTAGCAATAAACCAGGTAGGAGGGTAGAGTAGGACAAGAGGGAAGGTCCCCAATGAGTCCCCAACCAAGGAAACCCCATAGTCACACCAAATCCCTTCCCTATAGGCACCCCAACTTTGACCTTTGTCACTTTCCCAACCTCCACAATCCACCTCACCCCAACTTTGCCACACTTGCCAACCTGGTTTGGGTTTTCCCAACCACATGGCAGCAACTACAGTAGAAGTGACGAATTTCCCAACCCCCAAATGTCTATACCCCTTATGGAGTCAACCCCACAACTTCCCATAGTCACCACAACCAAATATCAAAAGCATACGAACTTCAAATGTTCGTAACTTTCGTGTTCGTGCTCCGATTGAAGCGATCCTTGGTTCGTCGGAATGCTCTCGAGCAGAGGAGTCACTTCAGATATCTGCTCAAGCCAAATAACATTCACACACACTCAGAAAATCCAAACCACACCAAATACAAATTCTTGCACACGCTCACACCACGCATGCAACGCACGAACATATGATGGGAGGCAGACAGACGTGAATGCAAATGATAGCATCACATAACAAACTCCCCCTCTGGCTGCCAACCATCATCCCACATGCCTCAGCTCATGCATGCACCCTCAATGCACACTCATTCCAGCAAGTTTCATGCCCTTCCAATGCTCAGTTTCAGCCAGGCGCTTGGTGAGAATGTCAGCCGCCTGCTCATGGGTCTTTACAATCTCCAGCCGCACCTCCTTGTCCAGGAGCCTTCTCACCCAGTGCCACTTGGGCCTGATGTGCTTCGTCAGCCCATGAAGGCAAGCGTTCTTAGCAAGCTTCACAGCCGACTCGTTGTCACAGAAAATCACAGTTGGCTCCCTCTGGCACACTCCGATCTCCTCCAACAAACGCCTCAGCCACACCACCTCCTTTGCCCCGTGATGCAGGGCCATATACTCTGTCTCACACGAGGACTGCCCCACCTCGTTCTGCTTCTTGCTGCGCCAGCTCACTGCACCACCTCCAAACAAGCACACATAGCCTCCAATGCTGGTGCCGTCCGTCTTCACAGAGTTGAAGCTAGCGTCAGTGTAGCAGGTCATGAGCATCTCCCCCTTGCTCAAATCAGCTGCACCCCTTTGCAGCCTCTGTCGAGCAGCACTATACTCCAAACCCACTGATGCCGTTGCACTCACATAGCGGACCAACCTCTTGGCCGCTTCCAGCTGCTCATGACTGGGGCGTGAAACCACACTGGCAAGCCTGGATGTTGCAAAGGCAATGTCAGGCCGCGTGTGGTTAGCCGCATAGTTGAGCGCCCCAACCATGGAATGAAACAGCTTCCTGTCACTCTCACCCACCACCTCCTCATCAGCACAGGGCTCCACAGTGAACCCCGAAGGTAGTGGGGTGGCTGGCTTTCCTCTATCTTGCAGCCCATACTTCTCAGCCAGCCCCTCACAATACTTCCTCTGGTGCAACCTCAACACTCCCTTGTCGAGGTCCCTCTCCACATGCATCCCCAAATAGTACTTCACATCTCCCATCTTGGAGCACTTAAACTGCATCTCCAGCATCTCCTCCACACGCTCAATCATTGCAGACGACTCCGAGAAGAGCAGGATGTCGTCCACATACACCAGGAGCATGAGAAACTGCTCCTTCTCTTGCAGCAGGAACAAGCTGTGGTCACACTCACTCTTCTTGAACCCCCCAGCCAGCAGTGTCTCCTCTAGCTTGTGGTACCATGCGCGAGGAGCCTGCTTCAAGCCATAAATGGCCTTCTTCAGCCTGCACACCCTGCCGCTCCCATCATCCAACCCCTCAGGCTGCAGCATGTACAGCTCCTCCAGAATGATCCCATTGAGGAAGGCGGTGGTAATGTCCATCTGCTTCACCCGCCATCCACGGTATGCTGCCATTGCCAATGACACCCGCAGTGTTGTGCCTTTCCCCACAGGAGCAAAGATCTCGTCAAAGTCCTTCCCCTTTGTCTGCTGAAACCCCTTAGCCACAAGCCTTGACTTGTAGCGGGTCAGCTCCCCATCTGGTCCGTACTTATGCCTGAAGATCAGCTTGGAAGAAATGGCCTTCTTCCCAGGAGGCAGCTCACACAGCTCCCACGTCTCATTCTCCAGCAGAGAATCATACTCCTCCTTCACACTCTGCTTCCACTTCTCAGCATCTGGCCCGCTCAATGCCTCAGCTAGCGTCTTGGGCTCAGGGACGGCTGCCCAATAGCAGTGTGCTATCTCTTCCTCATCACACTGCTCAGCCACACTCCCAGCCCTTACCACCTTTGGCTTGCCAAAGCTCGGATAGGTCAGCCAGTTAGGAGGGCGCACATCCCTCCTAGGACGGTCAGCCGGACGTGCGGCACCTTGTGGAGCATCTTGGTGCTGCTGCTGCGGCTGCTGCTGCTGCGGCTGCTGCTGCTGCTGCTGCTCCTCCACCTCAGGTTCTCCCCCATCCTCAGTCACCCCAGAAATCTCCTCCTCTGAGACAGTGACCTGCACTTGCCTCGAAGGCCGCTGCACCTCATCGGCCTCAATGATCAGTGGTGTAGTAGGAAGCTTCTGCTGCTGCTGCTTCCACTCCTTATAGTACAAGGACTCAAGGAACTTCACATCCCTTGACACAGTCAGCTGCTGGCTGGTCAAGTCCCAAATCAGCCAGCCTTTGTGATCCTTAGCAATCCCCAAGTGCACACCCCATCTCCCAGAAGCTTCCAGCTTTCCCCTCTTCTCCTTAGGCACATGAAACACCACCATGCAGCCGTAGGCTCTCATCATGTTGACTGCTGGCGCACTCCCATACCACTTGGTGTAGGGGACCCACTGCTTGTCCCCCACAGTCGCCAGCACCCGGTTCTTCACAAGGGCGACCTGCCGCAGTGCAGTCACCCAAAACGGATCCGGCAGCCCTGCACGCCCAAGGAGAGTGCGAGCACCTTCCTGCAGGGTCCGGTTGAACCGCTCAGCCACGCCGTTCTGCTGAGGGTTGTAGGGCACCGTGAGCTGATGCTGGATCCCCTTCTTCTTCAGCACCGCCTCAAAATCAGCGCCAATGAATTCTCCCCCGTTGTCAGTGCGGATCACCTTCACTTTGTGTCCGCTCTCCCTTTGAGCTCTCGGCATCCACTCCTTAAGAACAGCCGCTGCCACCTCCCCCTTAGTCTTGAGAGGGTAGACCCACACCGCACGCGTGTGGTCATCCACAATGGTCAGGAAGTAGCGCCTGCCCGAGAGAGAAAGGGCCCTCGTGGGGCCCACCACATCCATGTGCACAAGCGCAAGTGGAGCCTTGGCTGGTCCTGTGCTGCTGCTGAAGGGAAACTTTGTGAATTTGGTCTCAAGGCATGTAGGGCAGCTCCCAATCTCCTTCGCTGCCCCCTTCACCTCCAACCCCTTCAAGCTCCCATCCTTAACCAACTTTTGCAGCATAGGAAAATTCACATGGCATAGCCTTTCATGCCATGTCTCCCAATCGGCCTCACCACTCCAAGGCGAAGCCTTTGCCCATGCAGCTGTCGCATCCACACCAGCAAGCACCTCACCATGTGGCTGCTGTGGTTGCTGCACCTTCTTGACTGCATCCAGGGCCCCAACCGTTGGTGCAGTCTCCTCTCCTCCCGCAGTTGCCTTTGCCGTTGCTGCTGCTGCTGCCGCTGCTGGAGGTTTCCCACTCCAAGGGATGATGGGCAGCTGCCACAGGTCCTTGATGCAGCTGTTCTTCTCCTCCAGATCCCACAACAACAGCTTCCCAAGCTTTGCACGGCAGCTGGTTGGGCCGAAGGTCACTTTGGCCTTGCTCTTCTGCAGCCGGCGCACAGAATGAAGGTTAGCGGACAAACCTTCAACCAACAGCACATTCCCCAGCCCCACAAGCCCCCCATTAGCTCCCATTACCTTGGCATTCCCCACACCAATCACAGGGAGCAAAGCACCTGAAGCGGCAGCCACAAACTTGATCTTCCCGGGGGGTTTTACCTCATCAAGCAAATCTGCCCTCGGTGTCATGTGACTTGTGCAACCTGAATCGATCACCCAGTGAGTGAGGGGATGCATCACAACCTTCCCAACTGAACCCACATCACCCCCATTCCCTTTCACATCCTCAACCATGAGGAACATGCCAGGGTCGGCTTTTCCTTGTGCACCATCACCTTGTGCACCTGAACCTTGCACAGCACCACCTCGTGCACGTTCACCACTTGGCGGCTTCATGCCTGGAGGCGCCCATCCCTCAGGTCGGCTGAAACACTTGAACCACGGATGTCCAGCCTTCTTGCAGTACCAGCAGGCACCCTCCATTCGAGTGCTCCCCCTGCCACCAGAGCTCCCATGCCCCTCGTTGTAGTCACCTCGGCCTCTCCCTCTGCCAAAGCTCCTCCCACGGCCTCGGCCTCTCCCACCCCCTCTTCCTCTGCTGCCTCCTGCAGCTCCATACCCCTCAGCAGTTTTGTTGGCAGCACCACCTCCGGTGTGGCGCCTGCGGAAGTCCTCCTGCAGAATCTGCTGCCGTAGCCACTCAGGTGTCCACTGGTCCTGCTGAGAGTTGAGGGTGGGGATCAGGTTGTCCCATGAGTTGTCGAGCACCGAGATGATCTTGGTGCACTGCTGCATCTGCGACACATTGCTGCCCGCCGCTGCCATCCTCGCATAGGTGTCCTTGATCTTGTCAAGGACCAGCTTCACATCATCACCCGGTCGCATGGAGAGGGCAGCCAGCTCCTTCTCCAACACAATCACCATTGGCAGCGTGTTGGGCTGAATCACATCCCGAAGTAGCTTCCACGCCTTCGGTCCCGAGTCATCGAGCTCCACCAAATCTTTGATGTGCTGGAACATGTCGTTGTTGACCGACTGGAGGATGAGGTCGTACAGCACCGCGCTCTTCTCAATCCAACGATCGCGGGCGTCGCCTTCCTCCGGCATTTTCTCTTCTCCCATCGCAAGTTTCAGCAGCTTGTAGCGCTTAAACGCACTCCGCATCCGCCCGCTCCATTCCTCATAGTTGGAGCCATCCAATGCCTCGATCTTGGATGGTGGCGGTTCATTCCTCTTCTCAGCTGCATCTCCACTCCCTTGACTCATTTCCTCTGCTCCCAATCACAGGTTTCAGCTCCCCCCTTTGCTGTCCACACCGAAGATCCACAATATTTTCACAAGTGTCGGCGCCAACGAAATTTCGGCAGAGTTTCCCCCTTAGCGGAAGTCGCATCCAACCTCCAGAACTCCACTTAGGCACGCCCACAGGCCATAGTGGGTCTAGGAGGGTCTTCACACTTCAGTAGACTCTCCACAAAGTCCTTAATCATCTCTGATACCATTTGTTAGAAACTAAGGACGGGGTCTAGGAAGCTTAGAGGCCGAAATATCACAAAATCGTTGGTCTCAATTTCTGGACAGAATCGTCGCGCTCACAAGAAACGCCGTCGACGAAAAACGCACCGTCAAAACTTCACCACTTTTTGATATGTTGTAGCTTTAGAGCGTAGCTACAATTCCCAATTTGAATCGTATCAAAAAATGAAGTATTTCTCGACTTATCAATTTCGGCGCACAGGGGGGTATGCTGCCATAGGAACTTAACTCAATCACAAGAGTCTCAGAAGTTCACACAAGAAAAGTAAGAGTAGCAATAAACCAGGTAGGAGGGTAGAGTAGGACGAGAGGGAAGGTCCCCAATGAGTCCCCAACCAAGGAAACCCCATAGTCACACCAAATCCCTTCCCTATAGGCACCCCAACTTTGACCTTTGTCACTTTCCCAACCTCCACAATCCACCTCACCCCAACTTGGCCACACTTGCCAACCTGGTTTGGGTTTTCCCAACCACATGGCAGCAACTACAGTAGAAGTGACGAATTTCCCAACCCCCAAATGTCTATACCCCTTATGGAGTCAACCCCACAACTTCCCATAGTCACCACAACCAAATATCAAAAGCATACGAACTTCAAATGTTCGTAACTTTCGTGTTCGTGCTCCGATTGAAGCGATCCTTGGTTCGTCGGAATGCTCTCGAGCAGAGGAGTCACTTCAGATATCTGTTCAAGCCAAATAACATTCACACACACTCAGAAAATCCAAACCACACCAAATACAAATTCTTGCACACGCTCACACCACGCATGCAACGCACGAACATATGATGGGAGGCAGACAGACGTGAATGCAAATGATACTGCTGCTGCTGATACTGCTGCCATGCCTGCTGCTGTTGCTGCGCCTGCTGCTGAGTGTAGTAGGCCCCCCAGGGATAAGAATATGCGGCAGCAGCAGGAGTGGCATACGTGGGAGCAGCAGGAGCGGCATATGCGGCAGCAGCAGGAGTGACATACGTGGGAGCAGCAGGAGCGGCATATGCGGCAGCAGCAGGAACGGCAGGAGGTTGGGGGTACATGGTGGGATGCGTCTGCGGTGGGGGGGGGGTGGTGAATGGAGGAGGGGGCAGTGTGAGAGCGAGACGCTGGGAGCTGGGCTGCTGGTGGTGGTGCTAGTGATTGTGGGTTGCGGGGAGAGGATGCCACATGCTGAGGTGTCGGACGTTGATTGGCTGACTGAGTGCGAGCCTGTAGGCGGTAGAGAGGGGAGTGAGTGAGAATGGTAGTGTGTGAGGATGGGGGTCTGTGTGTGAGGATGGGAGTGTGTGAGGATGGAATGTTGTTATAGCTAATGCGAGGGGAATTACTCGTAAGACTTATAGATGTGAGATTTGAGTCATGTCAAGAATTGGCTACTCGACGAATTAAATAATAAGTTCAAAGGAAGGACTGTGAAAGAGGTGAAAGAGCAAGTGCATGTGCATGTGGTTGTGCATGTGCACGTGCTTGCGTTACTGCTGTGCGTGTGCTAATCCTGGGCATGAATGCACGTGCGCACCTTTCCCGTTTGAGAGGGGAGAGAAATGTCAACTGTGGCATTCTATTTTTGAGGCGCCTCAAGTGTGGCATTCCCCAACAGGCATCGTGCGGGAAGCATAAGAGATGAGGAAAGCGTGAAATTAGGAGGGGAGAGTGAGGAGGGAAGCGTGAGAGAGGAGTGAAGAGTGAGAGGGAAGATCTGCGAGGGGTCGGGTGAACTTTGAGTCGACTCGGAAGTCAGCTAGAGAGTGAGGGAAGAGAAAATAGAGAAGGGAGAGAAGAGAAAAGAGAGAAGGGAGAGAAGAGAAAAGAGAGAAGGGAGAGAAGAAAAAAGAGAAAAGAGAGAGAAGAACTACCCGTGGTGTTCCGCGGCAGGCGTCGTGCAGGCGGAATATCCGGGAGGGGTCGGGTGAATCCTTGTCGCTCACAAACTTCCACTTGCCCTTCTCCGCTGCCATAGAGGGATGCATGGAGGGATGCACACACACATGCACACATGCAATCACACACACATGCACACATGCAATCAAACACACATGCAATCACACAAACATGCTTACATGCAATCACACACACATGCACACATGCAATCACACACACATGCATACCTGCAATCACACACACATGCACACATGCAATCACACACACATGCACACATGCAATCACACACACATGCACACATGCAATCACACGCACATGCACACATGCAATCACACACACATGCACACATGCAATCACCCACACATGCACACATGCAATCACAAACACATGCACACATGCAATCACAAACACATGCACACATGCAATCACAAACGCATGCGTGCATACACATTCCATACGCATGTGGACATGTGTAATTAGATACGTGCATGCATGTACATGCCCTGCATGCGGACACACTTGTACACATGCAGGCACACGTGTGTGAACATGCAGGCACACGTGTGTAAACATGCAGGCACACGTGTGTGAACATGCACGCACACGTGTGTGAACATGCAGGCGCACGTGTGTGAACATGCAGGCACACGTGTGTGAACATGCAGGCACACGTGTGTGAACATGCAGGCAGGTGGGCACGCGAGATGCACATGAACACATATGGATGGGCACACACAGGCATAGAGTGCAATAAACACAGCACAAACCACACAGAGAGCAGAGACATTCCGAGTTATGAGACATCTAAAAACTCAGACACACAGAACAAAGATATCCCATTAGCAACACAGCACGGAAGGATGAGAGCTCGGCTGCCGGTTCCCCCAAGAAAAATAAATCAGAGAAGAAATATTCACACTGAGAGAACGACGAATTGCATAGAGCGTTGGAAAGAGTAGAATTGAAAGAGGAAGTGTCATACAATGAACGGGGTCCTCTATAACGAGTACAGGGTTGGCGGAGTCTAGCTTGGTCATGTGAATGCGGCACACGTGCAGTGCTATGTCGAAGTAGGGAGCGCCAAACTGCAACAAACAGGGAGGGAGGGAGGGAGGGAGGGAGGGAGGGAGGGGGCAGGGGGTGTAGTAAGTCGATTTTTGAGTCGACTAAAAAATCGACTTACTACGGGTGGGGGATGGGCTCTTGGAGAGGTGCCTCCAACGTGCGTGCAGTCCAGCTTGGTCATGTGAATGCGGCACACGTGCAGTGCTATGTCGAAATAGGTTGTGGGCAGTGCAGTGCAGTGCTCCAAACTGCAAGGGGTTGTGGGCGGGTTTGGAGGGGGGAAGGCGGGGTTGGGGAACTCTCAGGAGGCGCCTCAAAGGCACAGGCAGTGCTATGTTGGAATAGGGCGCTCCAAACTGCAGTGAGTTGGGGGGCGAGGGAGAGAGGGAGAGGGAGAGGGGCGAGGGAGAGGGGGAGAGGAGGGACACATGTTGAAATGGCCAAAAGGCATGTGTAGAGCTATGTAAAAAAAGGACGCGCCAAAGAGGAGGGGCCACAAAAGCACGTGCAGAGCTATGTCAAAATACGGTGCCCGAAACTGCAGCAGGTCGTGCATGCACTCACTGCCTTGCACTCATTGTCATGCACTCACTGCCATGCACCCACTGCCATGCACTCACTGCCATACACCCACTGCCATGCACCCACTGCCATGCACTCACTGCCATGCACTCACTGCCATGCACCCACTGCCATGCACCCACTGCCATGCACTCACTGCCATGCACTCACAGCCATGGATGGGTAGAGAGCGAGGCGGAATGTCTGGCGTCCGTCACTCATGGTGGGCCCTGGAAGCACTGCCACCCAGCTGCACAGGCATGGGCGGAGAGTGGTGGATCGGGGTGGAGAGGGATGGGAAGGATAGGAGAGGGGTGGAGAGGGGTGGTGAGAGGTGACAAGATGGACAGGGGATGGCAGAAATGTCTGACAAAGACAAACAACACTGGGAAAACAGCACCGACGAAAATCAGACACACACAATCGCCTGTACACTCATGGCCACTGAAAAAGCAAAAGCACACTCACATTCTCCGGTACACCCATTGCGGGATAAATTCTTTCACTAGCGATGGCGCCGAGAGGGTCTGCTGGCGCACATAGCCTTCGAACAATGCCACCCGGCTCTGATGGGGCAACCAGCCAGACAGAGGGGAACAGGGTGGGGGGAAAAGGAGAATGGAGGGAGGGGAACGGTGAGAGAGTTGCAAAAGAGATGAGAGGTTCTGCTGGCGCACAGAGCCCTCAAACAAGGCCACCCGGCTCTGATGGGGCAACAGGGAAGGGGCAGGGCAGTGGTGTGGGGTTGCGTGGTAAGAGGGAGATAGCCCGTGTCAGTAACGGTTCTTGCAAACCTTCATCAGTAAAAGCCCGAATAGAGGGATGGAGGGAGACAGCCAGGAACAGAGTGTTATCGGTGCTGAGAGTTGGTAAGCAAGCCTAATCATTGACACATGTACCATGTCGAACATGTTAGATTAGCTAAGTCGCGATTTTCACCATGCGGATGTAGCTCAGATGGAGCGCTCGCTTAGCATGCGAGAGGTATGGGGATCGATACCCCACTTCTCCAGTTAGCCTTTTCATCTTGCTTAGAACCACAGCTTCATGTGGTAAGTCTATTCTCTCTCCGCTCATGGCAACTACCCTATACTGGAAGACTCCAGCTCACAAACACACACAGACACATGCGACCTCCCCGCCCTCCTCCTCCCCTACCCCCCCCACATGCGACCTCCCCGCCTCCTCCTCCTTCCCCACCTCACCTCCACGAGTCTGACGACAGCAGTGGCATTTCTCTCTCTCTCGCCAGGTCCAGAGCACTCCTTTCATCGTCCTTATAATGCAGGCTAATTTACTCCACACATTCAAACTCTCTCCCCCGCTCGCACACCCAAACGCACATGCACACCTATGCGACCATCCCCCTCCTTCCCACACTCCTCCCCCAATGCGACCACCCGCCTCCTCACTGACCCCCACCTCACCTCTATGAGTCTGACGACAGAAGTTTCATTTCTCTCTCTCGCCAGGTCCAGAGCGGTTTTTCCATCATCGTTGGGGAAAAGGGGGTCCGCTGCAATAGGGGTAGGCAAGGCAGGGGGGAAGGAAAGAAAATCATTGAGAACAAGAGTGAGTTGGGAAGACTTTTCATGGCAGCAGCTTAGCTGTGGCATATCGATCATAACGTAACGTGGTTACAAACACATGGTTACCATCTCACCTCCATGGTCCAGCAGCAGCTTCACCATGGCATCGAGCTGCTTGCGAGCGGCATAGTGAATGGACGTGCCCCCTCCTGGACCTGCATGGATGACAACAGCGGAAGACAGGGGAAGACAGGGGAAGACAAGGGAAGACAGGGGAAGACAGGGGAAGGCAGGGAAAGACAGGGGAAGACAAGGGAAGACAGGGGAAGATAGGGGAAGACAACGGAAGACAGGGGAAGACAGGGGAAGACAAGGGAAGACAGGGGAAGACAGGGGAAGGCAGGGAAAGACAGGGGAAGACAAGGGAAGACAGGGGAAGATAGGGGAAGACAACGGAAGACAGGGGAAGACAGGGGAAGACAAGGGAAGACAGGGGAAGACAGGGGAAGACAAGGGAAGACAGGGGAAGACAGGGGAAGGCAGGGGGGAAGGAGAGATAAAGCACATGGATGGATGGATGGCCATGTGACATCTAGCTGCTTGCGAGCGGCATAGTGAGTGGCCGTTCCCCCTCTTGGACCTGCATGGATGGGACGAGAGAGGGGGAGGGGGAGGAGAGATGTAAGCCATGGATGGATGGCCGTGCTGTGGCATGGTGAATGACTGTGCTGTGGCATGGTGAATGACTGTGCTGTGGCATGGTGAATGACTGTGCTGTGGCATGGAAGAAAGTGGTAGCATGGTGGTGGAAATCAGGTGGGAATCGGAGAGGAGGATTTAAGATTGGGGGCCGAAACCACGCACGCACTTTAATGATTGACACTGATCAGAAATTCTGCTAATTGGCGCATGGGATGTATGCGAACGTGAGGATTGATTCGCAAAACCAAGCCAGCATGCCCACCTTTGGAGTAAACGCGAACGAGAGCGCCCATATGCAGCAAAGTTTCGCCGCCTCAAAGCCCTCCGCCTGGCTGCTGGCGAAAATGACTCTTGGGGCGCCTCAAAAGACAACAAGCCCACCTTTGGAGTAGGCGCGAACAAGAGCGCCCATCTGTAACAGAAGTTTCGCCGCCTCAAAGCCCTCCGCCCGGCTGCTGGCGAGAATCAAGGGCGTGCGACCCTTGGAATCCACGCACTGGTTGGGGGAACGAGGGAGGAGAGAAGCACAACGCATGTGATTTCGCCCATCTGCAGCAGCAGCAGCAGCAGCTTCGAGCCTCAAAGCCCTCTGCCCGGCTGCTGGCGAGAATCAAGGGCGTGCGACCCTTGGAATCCATGCACTGGTTGGGGGAACGAGGGGGACGCGGAGGGGTGGGGGGGGGGGGGGGGGGGGGGGGGGGGGGGGGGCAAAAAAGCATTTGCTTTAACCCATCTGCAGCAGAAGCTTCACCGCCTCAAAGCCCTCTGCCCGCCTGCTTGCGAGAATTAAAGGGGTGCGACCCTTGGAATCCACACACTGTGGGGGAGGATGAGGGGGGACGAGGTGGAATGACGGGGAAATGAGGGGGGATGGCCGCGAAAAGGGACGAGGAGGGACTGCGGGGCTGGGAGGGCAAGAGACACGGAAAAAAAAAACCCTCCAGGGTTACTGTGTATCACCTCATGTATGACCTCTAACTTACAAGAAAATGTAACAGGTTATTGTGTAACCCACGTCAGGCATGCTATCTTCCAATAAGCCTCACATTTGCGTAAAGAGGCATCGGCGACTTATAAGAGTAACAACATTGAACAGAGCGTTCCGGGTGAAATCCTTATGTAAAAGCTAAGAAAATGATTAGCTAGAATAAAAACCTCACGTTGACGCTGATTCCACGTGAAGCCAGCTCTCGAACGGCCGACGTGTTGCCGTGAGTTAGAAAGGATTGGAATCACAGCAAGCAAAGAGGGAATAAACCAATACCACAATGAGACGCACGTTGACCACAATGAGACTCACGTTGACCACAATGAGACTCACGTTGACGCTGATTCCACGTGAAGCCAGCTCTCTGATGGCTGAAGTATTGCCGTGCTTCGCGGCGTCACGAATCAGCTCCCCTCTCGATCCACTCTGACCCATGATCATCCAAAAAAAAAACGCCAGAGCTACAATGTAGTCACATCGGACCTGCATGCTAGATTCGATGCATCCACAATGCCTCGGAGAACATTGTATTTACAGGTTCTTATACAGACAATCTACCTCGAAACCCAGTACGAGGTGGCAACGAGGTAACTACGTTGTACATGCTTCGTAACCAGTAAAGTAACTTGATACTAAATAGAATATATGTACTGCTACGCCACTATGAAGCAGATTCGCCATTAACCACGTTGTAAAGTTCAAGCGTGTACTCCGCTCCAGCCGATTAGTAGCTGCAATGTATCCACCGAGTACAAACAAGGGAAGCACCCAATAATTACACCGTCCTGGGTCATCCAATATGCCTCTCGTCCAGTGTAATAGAATGGTTCCAGCATGTTAAAACCACACTTTATTATGCAGACAATTTACATAATATTGCAGACACAAAGCCTGCAAACCAATTACAGCCCGCTTCATGCCGCCGTCGTCCGCCCGCCGGAGCCCCGTGCCCTACCAGAGCCCGACGGGAAGTCGCGGTCACAAACCTCCCTTCCTACTATCTCAACCGGCATATTTGCCACCTCATCGGGTGGGGGAAAAAGGATGTAGACGTTGTAGTATTGCCCCGCACTGAATTGGTATGCGCTCTCCTCTGGAATCCAGCGGGGGCCATTGCCCGTTCCACCCCACCGAATGATTGTCTCGCGCATCCAGTTCCTCCCTATAGCGCGATTCCTGTCAGTGTTGCTGATGTTGGGCTGGTCCTTCGTTGGCAGCCCTGTCTTGTTCTTGGCGCTGTGGATGATGGGATACTCCGCCTGCAACGTTGGGGGTTTGGAGGTTTGGCACCAAGCTTGACGGTACATGATTGTACATGTTACCCAACATGCACCATACAATGGAGTATACGCGTAGGAGAACGGACACATTGTTGTTTGGAGTGTGGTTCATGCAGGGTAAACAAGTAGAACACATCCATACCAAACTATAAAACCTGCAGATCGTCTCACCCCATACAGCGCGAAGGCGACGCTGTACGGATGCAGTCGCAGCGTCTGACGCTCAATGCAGCGATCATATGATGATGCAATGAAGACCTCAAACTGCCACGTGCTGAACGGTACACCATCCGCGTTGCAGTGCCACGGCAGTGAGAAGGCACCTGCGCAACAGTTGGGTTTAGCAGAGAAGGGAGCAGAGGCACAACGCGAGAGAGTTGTTAGGCATATTACTTCAACTTACAGTGTATAAGGGGACAGGATACACAAACGCTGCAACGACAGCTTGGAAAGAAGTACTAACTCACCCAATGGGTAGTCCGCCAGTGCTGGCGCGGGTGTGCGTTCCTGGTCGCACACAACCTGATCACAGGTTACGTCGGTGGGCATGTCCGACACGCTGCGCGGAATCCCAAAGAAATGGAAGACAACCGTTTTACCGAGACGAGTTATCTCCCCACGCAGGCGAGAGGCAGCGTCCTTCCAGCAGTCCAAGTGCTCCTGGTCGTGCTTGAGACAGAACAGTAGCTTCTCCTTTTGGTTTTCCCGGATGACACCATTCTTCACCGTCCACATCACCACCAGCTCCAGGTCAGGCCACATGCTTAATCCTGCATCACCCGTCAACTTTCCCTCTGTGATGCACCGTTGGAACACAAGGACGTACGATGGTTGGAAGCACCACGATGGGTAAGGGGAAAGAGCAGAACACATTGGCAGAAGATATTGTTAGGCCACGTGTGATCACACACCCTTGGCAGGCCCATTGCATACAGCCTCACAAGGATCATTGCAGCATATAACTGTGCATATGCAGTCACTCACCGATAGCTTCTTAGGCTCAACAAGCGAGCCCAATGCGATCCTCAGCTCCCTCGCGTGCTGCCCTTCATCCGGAACGTTGCTGCCAGCGTTTGGAGACAGCACAGCGGTGTTGGTCTTCGAGGGGGAAGACTGATCTACAGGCGTCTGAATGCCCTGTAGCAGAGTCGAGTTGTTTTCCTGCAGGGCGATGCTCTTCTTCATCACCTCTTTCAACTCAATGAGCACTTGTGTTGGGGCCTTTACAGCCTCTGCAACGTCGTGGAACTGATTCTGCACGGCGTGAACATCGACGAGGAGGGTTTCGTTGTGATCCACACCCCACCCGTACTCCCGCAGCGGCCGTGACTCGCTTGGATGGTCGGCCACGTATGCCCCGCGTCCACTGAGTCGATTTACATCACTAACCCGATCTGCAAGACCCGCACGGAAAACGGTGGCTCAAAGAAGGACCATCACCGCATACTTTACCGATTGCGGACTCAAAATTTATTTCTCACCTGATACGCAGTCATCACCATCTCCCGCCTCGCGCGCAGCACCGACTTGCTGTCGTCCGGGCCTGGGCGGGCCCGGTAATCCCCGCTTACGACCTGGAATGTGTCACACACATGTCCGTCATGATGCTTTGATCGAGGAGAAATAGCAAAAACAGTAAGATAGGTCGAGCTCGACAAACCAAGGAGCTGAGCCACAGGTTTCGTAGCGGGATTGCTGGCAGGCATAGAACCGCGCTCTCCTACAGGCATTGTTCGTTGCGAGCTCGTGCCCACCTCATCGTAATCTGCACACGTAGACACCCGAGAAGCAGACGTTGAAAACACATGAGGTGAATAACCGCCCCGCACCATCCACTGAACAAACAACTTACCTTGCCCTTCGGCATCAGCTGCATTATCGTCGTCCAGTTGCAGCATCCCTCGACTTCTCAGGTATGCCATATAATCCTTGTGCTCGCCAACCGTCATATTGATGTTCCGTGTAACGCTGTCGCTTTTGCGTGGCTGTCTCGGAGTCCGTTGTTGGACATTATCCAGCTCGTACGGTGTGAGCCGAGAGTTGGGTCTAGATATGCGTTTCCCATACGTAGGTCCCTCCTCCTGTACCCTGTCGTTCTGCTGCTCAGACATGGTCAACCGAAACCGACCCTACTGTCTAGCCTACAGTGTGACTGGAGGAGAGGTAAAACCAAGCATGGCGACGTGGGTGATTCATGACCCATTATGTAGATCTAGATAGCGTCGAGAGTAGGTGTGTCGCTGTGATAGAGGTGTTGGTATGAGTAGCTGCAGCTACTGTAGGAGGAGAACAGACTGGCTAGGGTTTGAGCTCGGAAGGTCCTCATAGGCCACGATCCTGTGCTTGGTCTAATGACCAATCGATTTGCTAGCTCATGCCATGGTTGCAGCTGCAATGTTTTGCTCAAATCTGGTCCGTACAGACGGACTGGGCTGAAACAATCCAACGGCTTACCGACAAACTAACCGTGCCGTGGGGTCCTACCATGCAGATAACGTTGCCTCAAACAAGTGTTTGGACTCCGAACATGGGAGTTCGGACCTGCCGAGAACTCACGATCCCAGCACTTCCGCTTCAACCAATTGTCGTGATCCACCACCAAACATGCGGCAATTTTGCCCACTACCAATCGGATGTGCAGCTCAGCCAATTTCGATGCTCTAGTTTCACGGGGAAGAGTCGATGTGAAGCCAGAAGCATGACGATCAACGGCAAAGGCGATAGCTCTAGGCTCTTAGAGTTCTGCTCGGTTGTGTGTAGCTCGCGTCATAACACCTCATCATGTGAGTATAAGATAGCCTACCGCCTACTCGTATTCAGCCAACCATCTCTTTTGGCCTATTTTTCTCAGTCTAAGCACCGCGATGAGTACTCCTTGCAAGCTCAAGCCTAGGACAACCATCATTGTCGACGACTCCCAGCCCAATCCAGTCCTGCCCGAAGGCCCTACATATGGCGACGAGCCACCAAAGCGTGAGCCGTACGTGTGGGACAACTTTGACGACAGCGCTGCCGGCAATTTCGGAGTGAATGGGAATATTTCGCGCCTGAGAAAAGTCACCAAGCTCTCCCGCGCGTCGCTTGCGTCCGACCAGGACCCCATGCCTCGCAAGAATGACCGGTCGCCCAAGCGTAAGCTACCGCGATCGTTCATTGATGAGGACTCGCCCATCAAGCTACGCCGTGAACCGTCAGCACCTCCGCCGGTTGCAGCTCCAACCACTTCGGATTCTAAGAAGTGCACAACGCGCAAGCTTACAGAACGTAAGTACAAGCACTTTAGTGACGTGTTGACATTGGCTATGCAGAGTGGGAATAACGGTAACGGTAGACTCATCGCTTCACTAGTTTCAGCTATTAACCCTGTCTGATAACCCTGGAAGCCCATACCCATTCCCACCCCATTGTGCTATTAACAGGACGAGGTGGTGTCTCAACTCCACCGCACTTTCCCTAACTATTACACGAATGTGCAGGTCCATACAGCGCTGGCCATTCCTGGTCCCGAGGGCCCTGGAGGTAGCCGAGATCACAACGCATGGGTTCGAGCTTCCCCCAGCTTCCATGGGAAGCCCTGCTTCTCTTTTGTAAAGTTCGTTCATGGCTCGGTGGAGTGTCTTGCTCGTGTGATGCTGCTTTTCAGTGCAGATGATGCACACAAGGAGGGATTTGCATTTGTGCAGGTGATGCGGCGCCTCGGAGTTGACTCGAACACAGGTTCTCAGGTATACAACTTCCCGTGTGGCGCAGATGAAGCCGAAGCATTTTTAGTTGTTAAAATGGAGGAGATTTGCGAGGTTGTGCAGGTCATTCAGTCATTCGTGCGTGATGATTGGTGGTATCTCAACGAATACCTTTTTGAGAAGCACAGGACGCGTTTTGTTCCGGAGTAACCGTGCAGCCACAAATGTTGTCCCTTACTCATTGATGAGTCTTGGTACACCTCTAATTATTCGTCATATTTATGTGTGAGTCGTAGCGCTATTGGCTGAACATCCCTAATGACGGTGTTTGTATTACGATTCGTTGGTTGTATTGGGATTTTATTGTACTGTGAATTATGCTGCACAATTATGACACTGGGTTTTTGAGATAGCAATTGGCTACACCGAGTCAGCCCAAAGGCTCCGAACACCTTGTCGTTGCTCTGATTGGTGGATCGAAGTTGTGGTAACGGTAGACTCATCGCTTCACTAGTTTCAGCTGCGCGAAGTGTTTGTGATCTGAAAAGCGCGTGAGTGGTTCAACCAGCAATTTTTTTATTGGTCATTTGGGTTTCCATCACTAATAGTGTCAAAAGAGTGAGTTTCGTAAAAGGGGTTAAATAAAAATAGAATAGTACGTGGGACGGTTGGGGTCGCGAAAATTGGGCACCCCGAAATGAACAATAGCGAGAAAACTTGACTGTTCATGCAGAGTATGGTCATTGTGGTGCCTTTGTGGCTGGGTGGGGGGGCAATGCCTGTTGGGCGTTTGGTACTGGATGCACTGATTGGTCGATGTGGTTGCAAGGTACAAGTTCGGTAGCACGAAACATTGTATCCAGTCTGTTGGGGGCTAGGCTCGACATGGCAGGTACATACGGGGTCTCACGAAAATGTGTGTACCTTCGTTGCATTGAGATGGTACCTGGTCCAAACCTAACTTCGACGTACCCACTTCCAAGCCCGCTAGACCAAACCCAACTTTTGCAATTTTGGGATGATGTTGCGCTTAGTATGCTTATAAAGCTGTTTGACAACGCAGATTCTGAAGACAAATAGGCTCCGGATTTCTCTAAAACACGCACTGATAGAGGACGTTCACGTTTGGGGCCACGGAACACGCTGCGAGTTTGTGAAAACATGGAAACGATTCGAGAGTTTTTTTTCTCCAGCGCGGCGGCGAATGCGGGTACGGAGCTGAAGCATGCCCGATTTGACTGTGAAGAGGATGGATGACGTGGGAAGCGGCGGACTACCATCAAATAAGCAGTAAAGCGGCGGACTACCATCATATGAGGGCTTACGAGGGCTGACCCAAATTAGTGGGCAAGCTGACTATTTCCAGGAAATAGCTCCCAATGCAGTTGCTTGTGGTTGACGTGTGAATGCGAAACGTCTACGCGAACATTTTTGTCGGCACGAAGTTGACATTCCTCCTGTGTGAACCTTGCTCTTGCCCCCTCAGCACATTTTCCATGGCTGTTGGGGTGTGGTTTCAATGCGGTTTGGTAGGTACTTATAGCGTTTCAGAGTAATCCTATACATGTATAGATAGGTGGTCCAATCCAAAATATTTAGTTATGACACACCCCGAGTGTGAGCCCTGGTGTCACAAAAGCCTGGATGGCCCCAGCCATGAAAATACTTCGGCATATGAAATCAAGCTTGAGTTTCTGAACAAGTACCACACACCCGAGTCGATTTGGTTTCCAGGTGGAAGGCGCAAGTTCAAGGTTCATGAGGTGATAAAGACTGATATCACGTAACTGTAGTCACCTTATCTCCAAGCGGTTCACAATGAATCAGTCTCTATCGTTGCAAAATCCGTTATTTTACATACGGATTTTAGAGCGGGCCTGTACGTTCTGAAAAGGTATTCAGGGTTTCATTTTGCTGAGGATTCGAAGCTGCGCGCCTCACGAATTGAACGGTTGAGCATTATGCGTGCACAAGCAAGCAAACAGACCTCGTGTTGCTGCAAGAGTCACCATGGTCCACCTAGGCCTAGAGTCGCCGAGCCATAATCGTCAATTACCTCACCAAGCCGCGGCGTTCCTGAAAGCGATCCCATTTGTCCAATATGCAGTCCTCGTAATTACCACCTCCACGATCCTCGCGTTCTGGGTCGCGTTTCCACCAAACGCGACCTACCTGCCCGCCGATTTCAAGCACGCTGATTTACCTGTCGACGAGCGAAATGATCGTGTCCCGTCGGATGAACTTGCACCGTTGGATCGGCCGTTAACTGCCCGTGGCGCGAAGATTCGAATGTGTATGGGAAGCATGTCCGCGCCGTTCGCGCAGGGAACGTTCGTAACGAAGCCTATCAAGCATGGAAAAGCGTTTCACAACCGGTTCGCGCAGCTCACCGTGTTTGAAGCGGAGGTTCGGCACGAACCGGAGCTTCGGACCGAGGCAGATGCTTGGCGCGAAGCTGCGGGGGTGATGACAGGTGGAGAAAGCAGCGGAAAGGGGGCAGGAGAAAGCGCAACGGCTGGAGGACCGGGTGGAGATGGCGGAAAGGTGGGGGGGCAGCAAGGGGAACCGCAAGGAGGACAACAAGCGGAGCCGCAAGGGGACCAGCAGCAAGTGCGGCAGAACCAAGGGAGTCCCGGGCGGGCAAAACCGACAAAAACGACACTGCGACTGCTGTCGTTTCTGGAGGATGACGATTTGATTCGCAAGTCGCAGTGGCAGGGGTGGGGCGAGGCGGAATATAGCGACCTCTTCTCTCCGAGTGTATTTGAGGTGCAGTGCCACGTGTGGCCCACGCACGACGCTTATATGCAGACCCTCGAGCCTGCTTATATCGTGGACGCGGTCGCAAATAACAGCTATATGTGGCACAACATCATCGAATGCCCACTGCCACTGTACGTTGAGCTTACTACTGCTAACGAGAACGTTTCAAGTGGATGGGTCAATGCTACTGCTCTTTCTACTGATCCCTCTACCGATCCTGCGTCTACGAGCAGTCGAGAGCGGTTGGGAATGGCGGAGGGGAGAAAGTGGGCGATGCATCACTGGCAGCAGGTGCAGGTGCAGCTGGTGGCGGCAGAGGATGGGGCGGACCTACGCATGCCGCCGCTGCTGCTGTGCTGTGCTGACAGTGACAAAACAAACACACCCTCGCCTCCTCCCCGCTCTTTCTCTCCCTCACTTCCTCCCGCCACACCACTGCTGCTGCTGCTACGGCCCAGACCATCCCTGTCTCCTTC